AATCTTGGAAAATATGCTGTTGATTACGCTACTTATTAATTTAAAAGTTTAGAATCGATATTTGGCTTAACTATTTCAGTCTTAATCCTTTATTTTAAGGCTTATCTCTGATTAAAATGAGGTACTTCAATCGATTTATTAATTAAATTAAACTAAGTATCTATATTTTAAGGAGCTAAAATATTTAATGTAATTTATTGAAAGTTACTTGGTAAAAGCATAGAACTTTATAAACTAGCATTTTTTATTGATTTCATTTAATAGATAGCTAAAAAATTAGTTTATTGAACTCTCTTTCGATTCTTATTTCCACTTTGAGTGAGACGATAATAATGATTATTATTCATAAAATTTTAATATAATGTTATCTTTACTTGAATAACAGAAATTTTATGGTTCTACATATTGGGACACTTACCCTGATGATAACATCCATGCTATCATACTTCAAAAAGAAGGTAAAAGCGGAATCTACATTGGCAATATATATGCTGCAAGAGATACAAAATTGCATATTCGTTATAATATTAAAAGTGTTTTAACAGTTTAATAAAAATGCTTAGTTAAATATTAGGGAAGCGAATAAATCTTATTTCATAAGGTTATTCCAATTGATATAGAAAATTGTGGAGATTTATTTAAAGCATTTTATGATTCTTATATGTTTATTGAAAATGGAATTACTTATGGGAATGTTTTAATTCACTGTTAAGATTGTATTACAATAAGTCCTGTATTTGTAATAGCGTATATGTTACAAAAGAATGGATTTACAGTTGAGAGAGCTTGGGAAATAGTTAAAATTTAAAATCCATTTGTTTAAGTTAGACATTGTATTATATGAATTTAAATAGAGTTTTTTCAATAGTTATTGATATATGAGTAATCATTGAATTTAGACACTTATCTTGGTTAACCTCCAAAAGAAGGAAAACATTTAAGAAATGTAGAGATTAAAGAACTTAGTAGATTAGAAAAGATCAGAGAGAGAGAGTAAAAACAAAAAACATTTATAGAATCAGTTTATAATAAATATCATCTAGAAAATAATTATTAAATAGATTATGAAGAATTAAAAAAAAGATATCCTAAAAATTAGAATTATTGAATACATAATACATATGTCTTTACTAGTAATGAATTTAAGGATTATCAATTTTTATTTATATTAATAATATGAATACTCCAAATTATAATATATTCAGCTCCCTAATAAAATAATTAGAACCTTACTAATTTGATGATCCAACACTACCATAATGGCCAATTTCAAGTATAAAATAATTCATACTATCTCCTTATTTTGAAAATGCTTAGGAAATATAAAGTTCAAATTTTGAATTTGTTAAAAAATAAAATGGTCGTGTAAATTTTAAAGTTATATTACCTCCATAAACATCACTAAAATTTTAACTCAGACCCAATTTTTAAGTGGTATGAGTTTCTAATAAAGAGATCTTAGGATTAGGGGAGGGAAAATTGATTTGTAAAACAGAACATAGTTATAATGAAATACCTTTAAAATAACCATGCAATATATATAAATCATTCGAATTAATTAATTAAGGACAAAAAGAGTGTAAAATTGGAATACAAGTTAGTTGAATTTATTATATATGAGCTATAAACAATAGAATTCATTCTAAAATTCATTATTAATTATTATGCTTTGATCCATAAAGTCTTAAATCCTTTTTTGAATGTTAAAGAAGAACTAACCCTAAAAGCAACTAATATCAATTCAAAATCTACATACTATCATAAATCAGGTAGAAATTTTAAATAGGATAAATCATATCCATTTATAGATAAGCATTTATCAAATAAGTTTTCTACTTATATATCCTTTAAGAAATATAACAAAAAAATTTTAAAAAGAAAAGAACTTAGAAGCGCTTAAAATGCAAAAATGTAAGCTAATCTCATTATTCACTAATAAGTAAAAAAGAAATTAATGTTAAATCTTTAGATTCTTTAATTTAGATAATATATCTAAAAAAATTAATTATAAGATTCTAATATTGAACTTTATTTTAAAAATAAAAAATTAAATAAAACTTGAAGGAGGGAAATAATATTTTCTATGGAAAGATGATGTATCAGTATAAATATAATTATATATTGTTTTAATGCAAACAAATGATATAAAAATTTCATAAGTTTAAAATTAATAACATTTATAGTCTATTGAAAATATTTAATAAATTCAAGGTTAATAGAAACTTTAAGTCAAAAAGAAATGAGAATAATAATTACTTCTGAAAACAGTAAATCTAAAGATCTGAAAATTAAGAGTTTATAAAGTCTTTACAATGAATAGGAAAGAATTATTGAACAAAGAAATAAAGCTTAAAAGATGTCTTAAGAATAGAGTTTTAGGAGTATACATAAAATTTAGGAATTTAAAAATATTGAAATATCTAAACAAATATTTTAAATAATAATTATCAATGGCTAAGTCTAAGAACGCTACCTCTCATCATAATGCCCGTAAACATCACAGAAATGGTATTAAAAAGCTTCCAAATCAAAGATATAAATCATTGAAAGGAGTAATTGTTAATTCTAATCAAAGTGCAATTAAAGATTCGCAAAAAATAGAAGATTTGCTATTAAGAATGATCCTTCTATTAAAAAGAATAAGAGTCTTGAAGTCAGATTAGCCAAAAGAAAAGGAAAGAAAAATATTAAATGATCATGACGTACACATATAAATATCATACATTAAATTGCTAAACATATCTATATATATATATATTTTTATGAGTTATTCTTTTTTAGAGTGATACATTATTTTACTTATCTTTTCTATCAATTAATATTATGTTTTCAATCATGTAAAATACCTTTATGCCATTTTCTTAATTTTCAATTTATTAAATTTTATTTATCATCTTGTAATAAATGATTGTGTAAACAATCTTTCATTATTTAATGATTTAGGATATATCTTATTCTATTCCATTTATGCCGTTTTATAATTAATAATTAAATATATGTATATGAATATTATTCCTCAACTATTGTTCACTGAATTATAGATCAGATTTAATCTTTCCATCATAGAAAATTAAAAACTTCCAATTGTTGATAACATAGAAACTACTTGTGTTAATGTTTAAGAGTGCTAATTCAATATTGACATCATTTCATAAGAACCATAATATTGCTATTTAATTTCATGATTTTAAACATTTGGTTGATGTAAAGCTTAATTTAATTATTATTGGATTAAACTAAGTTCAGAAGTGACTGAGGCTTACTTAGTTATCAAATAATCTATATTTTAATTTTTTTAAGGAATAAGTTGACTGTTAGGACTCTATTATAAAGATTAATGAGTTACATTTGACAATCTTTATTATTAAATTTTTTATTTCGCTTAAGAAATTTCATTTTAACTCTAATTTGAGTTTTGTTGCTCCTAGTAATTTATTTATTTTTACTCAATAATCTATTAAATATTTGTATTATTTTATATCTCACTTATATTTTATTATAAAACTTACTTCTAATTATAAACTATAGATGATTATTTTTATAACTATGATTCATTATTAGAAACATTATTGGTTTCTTATACTGCATTTTATTTTTATTATATTTATTCTTATTATTAAATACTCTTTGGGTTATATACTTATTCATTTTAAGTTTAATTTCGTTAATTTTAGAAATTTTAATCTTATTATTCATTTACAGTTAATTAAAGATCAATCTTTTTATTTTATTGTTAGGATGTATTATGATCTGATAGACTATTATATTAAGGTTATTGATTTGCTTAAGTAGTTATTTATTAATTAGGATTTGGTATTTGATTTTTTCTATTTAAACTATTTTAATCTTTATTCATTATTTTTTTATTAAGACTTTGGTTTAAAATCTAATTTTATTATTCTGAATCCTTTGGTTTTTATTGAACCTACTTTCTTTTGCTATTATTATTATTACTTTAACTTATATTAAAATCATCATCTAATACAATAATATGTTTAATTTTTTCGCTACTTTAATTATGACTTTATTGAATCTGATTTAATTTCTATTAATTATTTGCTTATTATTATTAAGTATTTATTTTTTAAATATTTGACTGCAAAAATTATTTTCGAATTTATTATTGTTGTTGCATATTTGATGATTGCCCATTTGTCAAATTCTAATTCAAATCTGGATTTATTTGACTTTAATTTAATTATGTTTATGTAACTGGTTTTTCTGTATTTTTTTATTATAATTACTTTTAAGGCTATTCCTAATTTTAGATACAAATCCTAAGTGGTTTTGTTACTGACTCAGTTTATTTATTTTAATTTTATGTTTGAGTTTTTTGATTAGAAATCTAATAATCTTATTTACTAATTTGATTTTAATTAAATTCTTATTAAGATTGATTAATCTCAATATCATTTTATACCATTTCATTTAATTGAAGCTAAATCTAATCGAATTGTTTTAATAAATTATAATTATTTTATTAATTCTAATTTTAATTATTACTATTATTATCTTACTGTTGTTTATCTTAAGTTTAGTGATTAGGATTGTTTTAATTTTTAGAATTTAATTTTTAAAGCTTTTTATTTGTAATTGTTTATTTATTTACTTCTTTCTTCTTTTACTATTTTCCTTTATCAGTAGGTTCAGGAGTCTTATTTTTTTTTTTCTACTATTCAGAAGTCTATAATTATTATGATGGTTCTTCCTCCTTTACTTAAATATGTTATAGACTTAATAATTTAATTTTTTTTTATGTGATTCCAATAATTTCTACATCTTTTTCTTCTTCTGGTTGGATTTCAATTTAAACATCTAATCCCGCTTTTTCATCGAGCCATTATCTAATAGTAAGTAATGGAATTTTCAATAAATAGCTAACATATTTAATATCAACTTCTGTAGGATTATCACCTAACTATTCATATGCTTATCTTTTCTAATCTTCCTCTAATTCTTTCTATAAAATCATTGCTATATTTTTGATTATATTTTGAATGAACTCTCAATTATTAACATGCAATTTGACTATTTTTTGTAAACCTTTTTATAGAATTATTTATCTATAATATCAATTTAAATATAAATAAAAAACTCTTTATTTTCAAATTGAACTAAATTTTAAATGAATGGCAGGAGATCAATAATATAAATAATGAGATTCTATTACATAAAGAATTTAAAATAAAATACAAATATATGTAATTAATTATTCAAAAAATTATTGTTAATATAAATATGAATTCTAAAGTTCATTCTTAATTAAATGAATCAGAATATAAAATGTCCTTTATCCTAATTTGAATGATTTTGATATGATTTTAAAAAAGAATTTTTATAATCCCAACTTAAAACTATTAATGAAACTCCTTACATGAATGTTCATTTTTTATCTTAAAAATCAATCATTGTAATCTAAATTCAAGGTAAATCTTGTCTGTAAAGTAGTACTCACTTTGAAGCTTAATAAATTTAGTTCATTATTATGGATTTTTCATTTTTGCTTTGTATTTTTTTCCTTAAGCTTATTTTTTACCAATACTCCTAAAAATTGCAAGGATAAAGTATGTTAATGTCATAATTGTTGATAATTTATCAAAAAAAGAAATAAAAATTATACAATGATGATCGAATATTCAATAATCATAATTCTAAACACAATATAAATGAATGTTCATTAAGTTATTATGAAATCTATTGGACATATTCTTATTTATAATTTTGTCGATGTTTTAATACTCCTTATAATATAGAATCAATAAAAATTAGAATATACGAAGTTAAGATTTACAAGTAAAATTATTTTTTATAAATTTAAAAGAAAATTTCAATATTAATTTTTCATTTTGCTTTTATATTTTGGATTTTTTTTTGTCTCATATTCATTCTTAAGATGATAATTCAATCATGTAAGAATTGGAACTTATAAAAATTTATTAAAAACTTAAATCAGAAAAGAGAAGGAGAATCAGAAAACCCTAATGGAAACAATTAATAATTATTATTAATATCAATTGTTTAGATCAAAGTTTATGTGAAATATGTATATGAATATATTAAAAAATGAGATTGAATTAACAAAATAGATATTTAGTCATAATAATCAGTTATCAGTTTCTATATTTGATTTTTCATTATTGTTAAAACTATCTACTTCAAAATCATCATTTTCATCTATTAAAACCTCCATTTGCTTATTTAAATTTTACAATTTTGGTATTACTTCTTATAATTCATGCCTCCATATAACCCTAAATTATATTTGGAATTTACTAAAGTGCAAAGACTTCTTCTTCATCCTTCTATTGAAAAATAAATGCTGGATGATTAACTTTCTTTTTATAGGATTTGGAAATTTTGAATTTATCTATGTTTACATTATATACTAGATCCGAAGCTAATAATATATCAATTATATCAAGACAAGGTTATTTTAGTTTTTATTCAATTATTTTCATTTTTTCGTTGATAATTTATTAGTAATCAATTTTACTAAGATCCTCATCTTCTTTTATTTTTTATGAGACCATCTCCTAATTTAATTAAATAGGATTTGTTATTACTATTTATTACTTTGCTGAATTTTTAATAATGATTTGATTTTCTTATTGTAATTATTTAATTTTAGATTCTTCCTTTATTTCTTTTGGTTCTATGTCATTTAAAAGTGCATTTTAATCAGAAGTATTTTCATCTAGAATTTCTTATTAAATTTATTCTTAACTTAATGAAGGTTTTCTTTAATTTAAATCAATACTTTCTATATATTATGAATTGGAGTTATTATTATGTTATTATATCTAAACAATTTTATTGTTTTCTTATTAAATTGGTTTAGGTTTTGGATTTGATTTTTGAATTGTAGTTTTAGTATTATCCCAAATATCTATAGCATCTCTTTATTCAGGGTAATGTGATTATTTATTGATTGTAGGTTTAATAATTTATTAATTCTAGATTGTATCTATTTATTAATTTTCAACTTCTTAAACTTTTTGAATTTCTTCTTTTTCTTAAATTTCAATTTATTAAATTTTTTATTCTTATTTTGGAGATTCCTACTTTTTAATTTAGATTTCTTCTAATTATTATGTTTCATCATGAGATTTTTCACTCAAGGTTTCTAAAACTTATTCTTTTGGTATATCTAAATAAACAGGTACTTATCTTTAAGTAACAGTATCTCCTGTGATTTTTCTTGAATGAACTTTGCCTTTATGTTTATCAATATTTTACTGTTTTTTATTATTATTCTAAATAATGTGTTAATTTTAAATTACTTGAACTTACTAATTTTAATTAGGAATAATATCGACCTATTTTTATTATTAGATTTAAATTGGTTAAGAATTTTATTAATTATTTTTTTTCTCTTTATGTTCTTTTTTATTAGGTTTAGGTTGAAACTATTGTATAGAAGAGATATCTGGTAATTCCGTTTAACTAGATTATTAAGATTTTGTATTATTTATTTCAGATGTTGATTCATTTTATTTTTATTATGATTATTATATTTATTATTATTTTTTTTTTGGCTTTGCTTTTCTTTATGATATCTTTCTTTCACGAATCTATTCATTATTTAAATCATCTTATTTTGGAGGAGTCTCTTCCTCTTTTATACAAACAGGTTCAGTTTTAATTACCTCCTCTATACATGGAGAAAATTCTTCTTATTACACTTCATTAATTTGAGTTTACATTTATGGTGTAGATTCTCTTGATTACTAAATTTCCTATATTATTTAGTCAGCCAATAGATCTAATTTATCATTTAAAGAAGGAATCTATGGTTCTTCTTTTTTATAATAGAACTCATTATAGTCACTCATTTAAATTTGATAATTTTATGGAAGTTTAATTGTGTAAGCTTATTGTCTTATCCTATTAACAATGTCTTCATATTAATCTATCATTGTTTACATCCTAATAAAAATAAGTTTGGATACTTCAAATCATAATTAAATCTTTCATCTTTTAGAAAATGCTCCATTTATTTAAGTAATCTCTGTTAAATTAATTCACTTGAAATTATTTATCTTGAAACAACCTTATTATTACTTATAACAAGTATTTCTGTTGCTTTCATAGATTTATCTAAAATAAGAAATATAATACTTACATTCAGTACGAATAGTATACTTATTAGAACATAGAGATTTATTTAACTATTCTCCATTATTGGTTGATTGAAATGATTCTAATTCATGTTATGATGAGGTTATTTTACTACCAACCATATTTATTTTGTAATTATTTTTAGATAGGAATGCATCTACTTTTTTTTTGAAATCTGCAACCATAATTTTAGTCTATAATTCAGTATATTTCGTTAGATTATTCTCTTGTTAGCTAAAAGTAAGAATGTAAACTTACTCTTAAACTTTGTTCAATTCTTTAAACTCTCTTACATTATATATAGTAGAATGATGATAGAAGTTCTTACTATCATCTTTTTTGTGTGATAAAGCTTACTTTGAGAATAATGAACATGCATACCAGTTTCGGTTTTAAAAAATTCTTCTTAGTCCTCGACGTAATCATTTCCTAAGAGAGACTAATCTATAACTCTCTCTGTACTTGAAAATTTGACTGCCTGTGGCATTAAGTGATGGTAATCTACGGTAACGATTAGGATTGATTCTCAAGTATTCTACGCTAAATTGTTGATTCATTTTATTAATTTTATTATAAACTTAATTACAACCATAACAAAAAATACATAATTTTAAACTTATTAGACTCTTTTAGAAATAGTTATAATTTATTATTATAGTGTATTCATTAAATTTTGTTTGCATAATGAATAAAAGTGGATTAATCAAATTTACAAACGAATCCTTCATTTATTATTTAATAATACTAAAAAGCTCCATAACATACTAATAGATCAGCAATATTCTAATGATGGACTGGCTCTTATTCTTATTTTTTTTGTTTTCAAATAAAGGTTCATTTATACTGGTAAGAGTTAAAATTCTCTAAGAGTTCTTAAAGAATTTATTTAAGAATAATCACTCATTCAAGATACTTCCTATGTAATTCAAGAATGATGTTTTGATTTTTTCATGAAAGATTTTAATTTTTTTGGTTAGAGTTGTTTATAGTTCTGATTATTAAATTTAATTAATTTCCTCAAATTCAAGCATGATTGTGTTATCTTGCAAATTTAATATTTCATGTGTATCATCAAATATAAAATCTAAAAACTCTAAAAATCACTATTTTATTTAATTATAATTATTATAAACTTCCAATAATATACAAACCTAATCTTGGATTTTAAATTATAAATGTCGAATAAAATGTTAAGGATTCTTTATAAAACTTCTTATATTATATCATTGCAAAAAAATACCTCAAATATGAAAATTGAACTAGAGTCATATTTTTCCAAAAGGAACCTACAATTTTTAAAAAGGTTTTTAGATTTAATTTGCTTGCAATTATCGTATTATATTTTTTATTTATTTCCCAAACGACGAATAATTAATTTCTTCATAATTACAGTTACTTTAAAAAAAAAGTATAATAGAGTATTCAGGTTAGATTTTCATTTTAGATTAATTCTCAATTAGACATTTTCTAAAGCAAGATTTGATTATTGATATAATTTTTTTGAAAATTAACTTAGATCCTCTTAAATATGATAGTGAGTATTATATTGAGGTTTTATTAAAAATACTTTAGATTTTGAAGTATAATTCTTAAGTTGTACTGAAATTTCTTCGAATTATAGATCTGTTTTTTTTAATTGTAGGTATTAAAAAGTAGTTTGAATTTTAAGAATAGATATAATATTGCTAAATCTATCTAGATATTCTGATTTGGTTGAGAAGTTATAAAAATCGTTCTGAGTTAATAGGGACTTGGATTAGAATTACTATCTCATAATTAATTAAAATTATGACAACAATAAATGAAATGAAAGATGCTCTAAAAGAAACTCTTGAATCAAGAGGAGTTTTATCTTAATTAAGAGCAAGAATAAGAGCAGAGATATTTAATGCTTTAAATGAAGACCCAGAAGATAAACCAAAACTTTCAATGGGTATATTTAGATTTTGAATTAGAAAATATGATAATTAATGATTTAATAAGAGAATACATGGAATATAATCATTATAGTTAAACAACAAGTGTATTTAGTTCAGAAGCTGGAATGCCTTAAGAAATGCTTGATAGAGGATTCATAACAAAAAAATTAAAAATTGTAGAAGATAACAATTCTAAATAAACTCCATTGTTATATGGTAGTTAAATTAATTATTTTTAATATAGGTCTTGTTTTTGGAATGAAAAAGGTTATTAATAATTAAGAAGTTTAAAATGAACCATTAACAGGACCAAAATATAGAAATGTATATCCTGAATCTGGTTAAGTTGTTGAATCGAATAATGAATTTGAGTTTTAAGGAGGTAGAAGAAACATTTCTGATTAAATTTTTAAATGAAATCATCATTTTTATTATTATTATTAATTTAACAAAAAATTCAAATAAATATGTCCAAGAAAGGTATTGATTGGGTAAGCACTTTGAAAAAGTTTGTAGATTCTAAACAATAAAGAACTGCTTAAGAAATAGATGATGAAACTGATTAATTGTTTCTAGATTATATTGAATAGGCAAGAAAAAAAGTATTACTAACTGTCTAATTTAATAGGAATAAGAAGAAGATCCAAGTTATAAAAAGATACCTAAATTTTTCTAAAAGGCTTCTGTTACAAATGAAAATTAATTAAGTTTCAGAGTTAGACAAGAAGCAAGAACAAGATTTTTGAATCACAAAACTGGTGAAATTTTAGATAAAGAAGATTTAGAAAAATTATGGACAGAACTTAAAAATAACATATCACCACCTGATGATAAGAAAGAAAGAATTAATTATAATTCCTTTTTAACAATTGCCTCATTACTACCTATTAAATGCAGACATTTTTTTAGTGCATCAACTTTTTTAAAATTTGATAGAGATGAATATGGAAGAATAGATATTGTTGCATTCTTTCATTCCATAGTTAGAAAAGTTAATTTATTTCAAACTAGAATATAAATTAGTTTGTATGATTCTATTGGGTATAATATTAGAAATTATATTCTAGAAATGGATATTTACGTGAAAAAGATTTAGAAAATTATATCTTTGAATTAATACCAACATTTCCATAGTTAGAGAAACTAGATGTATATTCAAATTTAATGTTATAATTTAGTAAAACTTTTATCCTTTTTATGTTATAACAGCTGTCAGAAAATTTTTTTTCTTTTTAGATTCTAAAAGAACAGGAAGAATTTATATAAAAGATATGTTGACATCTCCAATCTTAGCTGAACTATATGAATTAAGATAAGAAAAATTGACTTTAGAAGAATTAGGTTAGAATTGGTTTTCAAAATAATCTGCTTTAAAAGTTTATGAAAGATATTTAAAATTAGATAATGATCATAATGGTTTATTATCTAAATAAGAATTATCTAAATATTCATGGGGTTTAACAGATATTTTTATAGATAGAGTATTTGAAGAATATTAAACTTTTGAGGGAGAAATGGATTACAAAACATTTTTAGGTTTTAAATAATTTTTATATGTTGATAGATTTTGTACTCGCTATGGAAAATAAGAAAAGTTAATAAGCAATCTAATATTTTTGGAGAATTCTTAATGTTTATCATAAACCAGCTATTGATTCTTTCGTTATCAATATGTTTTTTAGACCGATTATTTAAAAACTAGAACATAAAGTAGATATGTAATTATATTTAAGGATAAATTTGGTTTTAATGTTGAAGATGTTAAAGATGAAATATTTGATATGGCTAAACCAGCTATGTCAACTGCTATCACTTTGACTGATTTATAAAATTGTGGTCAAGGGGATATCATTATTAGTATGTTAATAGATGCCAAAGCATTTTATGAATATGATCAAAGAGAAAGTGGATAATTACTTGAAGTTGATGATTATGAAGAATTTTGATTATTTTTTAATTATTTAAATACAAAGCAAAGGTTTTAATTTTTAATATTTATTTATTAAAATTAATAAAATAAATAATAATATCTAAAAGTTAATCCACTTTTTAAATATAAAAACACATCAAAATTAAATATTTTAATAATAGTTTTAGATTATCATAATTTAATAACTGGTATACAATTATGGAATTTTGTAATATAAGATACAATGTAAGAAAATGTTATTATTTAATATGATAAATGAATCAATAATCAATTTTTATGGATACAAGATTATTAGATTCATAAAATATTTGTTGCAGATATCCTTTTAGAAAATTCGTAATATATAAGTAATTATAAATAATAATAAATTTTCTTATCGTTAAGTATTGTGAATGTTTTTAATTAAAAAAATTGTTTCTAAAAATCAGAGATATAAATAAGAAAAATTTTTAAGTAATGGATAAGTTGCGAGGAGAAATTTATTAAACTAAAATTACATTCATAATTTTTGTTATTTCTAAATTAGATCATATATATTAATATTAATAATTTGATGGATACAAAAAAGAAAGGTATAATGAAAGGATCAAAAAAGGAATTATAGGTTCAAAGAATAGATAAATTTAGAAATAATATAACTCTAGGATCTAAGAAACATAGAATTTCTTTTATTGATGAGATTAATAAATAACAATCTCTTGCTTAAGTGCATGAGGTAGAAAATTGGAAAATCTATAATATTGAAGGACCTATTTAAGAAGCAAAATAATCATGTGGATGCATAATAATTTGAAGTTATATCATAAAATCACTTCCATATATCTCATTAAACCTAAAATTGGCTGCATAATATGTTATAAAATTAGTAATTTGTAATTGGAAATAATCTCTTTTAATATGAATGAATGCATCAGTGCATTTGAAAGTAGTTTATAAATTTTAAACAAAATTTTTCATCAATCATCTTAATCTTAGGTTTTTGTTTTTGGGTTAAAATTATCTTAATTACATATAATATTATATGATATCTGATAATGTTATTAGTTTATATTTAGTTTTTCGATCTAAAATAATTATAAGTTTTAATAATTAATAGTTCTTTTTTCTAAGGTGTTATATAAAAATAGAAGTTAAAGTTTAAAGATAGGAGTAATTAATAAAAATGAGATTTGAGAAATGAAAAATAGTGCAAAGTTGGAAAACTAATAAATTTGCATTAAAATAATAATTGTATTTGGTGCTTAAATGAAATTAATTTAGAATTTTGATAAAATTGATTAATATTTACTTAAAGAATTATAAATAATGAATAAATATGAAGTTTTAGGAGTAGTAGGAGAAGGCGCATATGGAGTAGTTTTGAAGTGTAAAAATAAAGAGACAAATGAAATTGGTAGAATTAGTAATTAAATAAATAAGTGGCAATAAAGAAATTTAAGGAAACAGAAGATAATGAGATAGTTAAAAAGAGTATATAGAGAGAAGTAAAGGTGTTGAGATTATTGAGACATCAAAATATAGTAGAATTAAAAGAAGCATTTAAGAGGTTGAGATATAGAGTTATAATTATAAATAGGAAGGGCAGAATATATTTAGTATTTGAATATGTGGAGAGAAATCTTTTAGAAGTATTGGAAGCATCTCCTTCTGGTTTAGAAGTATATAAAATAAGATAAATGTTAGCCTTTATATATAAAGAAGACAATCTTTTAACTTTTAAAAGCAATATATTGTTGTCATTAGCATGATATAGTACATAGAGATATAAAACCAGAGAATTTACTGATAAGTAATGCGAATGTATTAAAATTATGTGATTTTGGATTTGCAAGAGTAAAATAAAAAGAAATATTAAGTCATTAACAGCTTAAACTTAAGATCTTACTGATTATGTAGCAACTAGATGGTATAGAGCTCCTGAATTATTATTAAGTTATTCAAATTATGATAAAGGAGTTGATATGTGGTAATAATTAAATAATATAAAAGGGCAATTGGATGTCTATTATGTGAATTAACAGATGGAAATCCATTATTTCCAGGAGAAAATGAAATGGATTAATTGTATTTAATATAAAAAATGCTTGGACCTTTGACAGCTAGTTAATAAGAAACATTTTCTAAAAATCCTCGATTTTTAGGAATGAAATTTCCAGAAATCTCTAAACCAGAAACTTTAGAATAAAGGTAATAATATAATAAAAATAAATTAATTAGATATTTATGCAAATTACCAAAGAGAGCAATTAATTTTGTTAAAGGTTTGTTAAAAATGGAACCATCAGAACGATTAACTTGTAGATAAGCTTTGAAACATTAATATTTTGAAGATTTACCAGAAGCTATTGAATTTATGAAAGAATTAGATTTATAAAATGAATAAGAAAAAAGATAAGTAAGTGCTGGAGTTAATAGAACAGCATAATCACCAACCAGTTAATAAAATGTTATAAGAACTAAAGTATTAGATTATATATTAATAGACATCATTTAAAGTTCCTAATTATTTAGGATAACAATTAAATATGTAAAACACAGCATATGCATATAATATTTAATAATAAGATTAAACTTAATAGTAATAATAATCAATGAAAAAAACGGTATGATTTTAATTTAATTTTTAGCAGTCTATTGATAAATTGGTTCCATAATATAAAGATGCAAAAGTAGGTTTTGTTTCAGATACAAATAAAATAAAAATTTCAGGTTCTTAATTTAGTCAATAATAATTTACAATAGGAAAACAACCTTAATCGATTAAGATTTAGAATTTAAATATCATATACAATTCAAACACTTTTAATTAATCATAAAAAAAGGGAGGTGCTTAAACTAAAAAATGAATATTATTAAATTTTTGAGATTAGGATAATTTAATTAAAATGAGTAGAGGAAGCCAAGGTCATGAATTCTATATTACTCTTTTTTCACCTGAAGGTAGATTATATTAGGTGGAATATGCTTTTAAAGCAGTTAAAACTAGTGGATTAACATCTATAGGAGTCAAAGGAACAGACACAGTTTGTTTGATTACAGAAAAAAGAGTGCCAGATAAATTAATTGATGAGAAATCTGTTACTAATCTATTTAATATATCAGAAAAAATTGGTGCTTTGACAACAGGTATTCCATCAGATGCAAGAGCACTTGTAACAAGAATGAGATATGAAGCAGGAGAATTTAGATTAAAAAATGGTATTATTATTTTATTCATATTTATTAGGTTACTATTGTCCAGTTGATGTATTATCAAAAAGAATGGCTGATTTAGCATAAACTAATACTTAATATTATTAAATGAGATCATATGGTGTTGAGACTATTTTATGTTAATTTGATGATGAATTAGGACCATTACTTTATAAACTTGATCCATCAGGACATTATAGTGGATATAAAGCAACTGCTAGTGGTGTTAAAGAATAAGAAGCAATCAATTATTTAGAAAAATAAATCAAAAAAAAAGCAGATTTAAATTATGATGAAACCATTATGCTTGCTATATAAACATTATAAAATGTATATCTTTTACTTTTAATCTTAGGTTATTTCATAAGATTTTAAACCCACTGATATTGAAGTTGGTATTGTTACTAAATAAGATAAGAAATTCCATAAACTTACCAATGAACAAGTTGATCATTATTTGAATTTAATAGCCAATAGAGATTGAATAAATCTAATAAATAGTATTATTCCATATATATTAATATATTTATTTTTATTACTTATTATTTAGCTAATCATAATTATCATTCCCCTTTATTTTCTCAATACTTCCAAAACTAAATTTATTTTATTCAATTTTTATTAAAATTAATTTTATTTATACCGAAACAATTTACTAATACATATTCATTCTCTTCAATTCTCAAATCTACTTTATTATTACCTTTTATTATTTTCTTCTAATTATTTTTATGCCATTCTAAATACTTTTTATTTTATGTGAGTAATTAACAGATAAAAGCTCAATTTTAGTTTTATAAATCTTACCATTTTTCATTTATTATACTATTTATAAATTCCAATTCCAGTCTTCTAAATATTATTATCACAATATCAAAGATAAACTAAATAACTTGTATATCATAATAAATAATTACAAAATTTTATGATCGAATATCTTAAAAGTGAGGATCATATTAAACCTGAATGTAAGTTTAAACTATAATTAGCTGAAAAAATTATTATTGAAAACCATATACATAGAAAAATATTTGAAAAAATATAAATGCATCCAATAGAAACACAATGCCTTAAAAATTTAAAACAAATTTTATGTTAAATGCCACCATTACGTTTACCAAATTAGTAAATTGTCATATTATATTAATTTATAGTTGGTAGGATTCTGACTATTTGAGAATTTTAGCTTTCTATGATTATGAGATTTCTAAAGCAGCCTAGGTTAAAAAAATAATTATTCTTTAGGGTTTGATTGATCATCTCAAATGGATATTTAAAATTGATTTGTCGATTCAGCCACATAAATTATTGGTAAATCTCATATGTATTTATTAGCTTGATGGAGCATTGTATGTAAATGGATTTGATCGAGGTTTTAGACCAGTAATAATTATTAATTTACAAAAAGCATTAGAAGTATTAATATAAATATAAATGTTAAGTACTCTCTTCAAGAATTTTAATCTAGTTTTGATTTTCTACTTTGCTATTTAATTAGGAATGTTTTAATTTCACATTATATTGAATCAATTGTAATACTTATCGATATTAATGTCCATCCTTTAAAATTTTTAAATTGCTCTTTAACATAATTACAAGATTATATTAAAAATTGCTAAAGAAACTTTTACGGAAGAATACATAAAGTATATATTTTACATGAAATCAAATCAGAATTATTTAATTCTTTATTTAAGACTTTAAAACCAGAATTTTAAGAGAAAATAATCTTTTTAGAAAAAAAAAATCTCATTTAATTGTAAAATTAAATAGATCCTAAATAATTAGAATAAAAATTACTTGGTAATTCTCAAAATTTAATTAATTTTTGGTAATTATTCAATTTAATTTAGGCCACCTAAAAATCCTCAAAAAAAAATAGAGAGTAATGTCGTATAAATATATATTGATGATAATTAATAAAAATGTAATGACATTCTATCAAAATATAAAAATGAATGTAATTAGAATAACTAATTTATATTATAAGTATAAAATGAAGAAAAGTAGATTATTTTTTTTGAAAGTGTTCAACTTGTATATCGAGATTCTTCTAGAAATGTAAGTTTATATTATAAATAAGAATTCTGATTCAATTTTATATTCTGAAAATGAAATAAAACTTTCAATGGAATATTTTATGTAAGAATTTTCAGAATTGAAAATAATAAGCCACTCATCATGTGATTAAGATAGCTGGGAAAATTTTGAAATGAATTTCAATTCCAAATACTAGAATAAATAAATAAATATTTAATCTAATTGTAAAATGGAAAAATTTTGATTAACTTGATTATAGATGTAAAGTTTAATTGTATTTGAATACAAATTTTAATCAATCAACTTAAGGATATATTCCACTTTCTTATATAGTGAAAGCAGCATCATCTAAAGCAACTCTATGAGAAATATCAATTCTAAAATGTCGGATCAATCCCTTTTTTTCAACTTAAATTCTTTCATCTATCATTTCTGACCATTTTTAACCTAGACTGGGATATAATTTATTATTTTAAGTTGAAGTTACAACATTATTCACAAATACCACAGCTATATTATGTTTTTTAGCTAATTTTCTAAAATGATTTGAAAATTTCTTCAGTATTGATGTTTTTTGCATTTAATTTAATGTTAATTGTATCTCTTGCAAATAGGTTGTAATATTATCTATAATAATTAATTTGAATTAATATTATTCTAATAAAGTTGGCAATTGTTCATATATGTATTCATCCATAAATTTAGGATTATTTAAATGTTATATTATACATTTGTTGAATAAATTAGTAAACTTATCTTTAGATTTCTTACCTACTCGATATTCTAATTCCAATAACATAAGTATTTTTACATAATAATTAATTAAAACGATCTTATTGCAATTATTTAGCTGTACTAATGTAAATCACTTTAGAGGTTTTATAATTTATTATTGTGTTTATCATTAAAGTCATGCATACATGAGTCTTACCACAACCTGCTTCACCAAATATTTCTGTTAATATTCCAGTTTATATTCCCCCACTTAATAATTTTTAATTTGTACTTTAGGATTTCATCGAAAATTGGAATAATTGAAAGATGCTCAAATTTACTTTCAATTTCTAATAATTATTACAAATTCATTTAATTTAATGAATTAAAAAATTTTCATTCTTTCTCGAAGCTTATTTACCTTATTTGGAATTTTTGGCTCACTAAGAGTCTTTAAAAAATTTTAAAGATACATGGATATATTTTTTTATTAGAAAATCAACAAAATTCCTTTGACAATAAGCGAATCAAAAGAATATTTATCATAAAATCCTTAATCAAAATATTTATTATTGACTGGGCATATTCTCCCAGCAAATTAAACATAAACAAGATTTCTTAAGCTTGAGTGCATTCTTAAGAATAAATAAGAATTTTAAGTTGATGAATTTTAATTGCTTGATGCTTAACATAAGTATAAATACGTAATATATTAAAAGTTAAAGAAAAAATATCAAAATAAATAGAGACAGTATTCTACTACCTGAATTAGTTGATTATTAAAAGACTTATTCATATTAAAAAGAGAGCTTTTCATTAATTTAAAAAGTAAAATGATTAAAAATTTAGATTTTAAACAAATTGCCCTTCTTTAATAAATAATCTAAAATTATTGAAACTCATAAAGGAACTTAATTTGGATAGTTCACAACTATGTTGTGTAAAAGAAATGGAGAAAATTTAAATTTATTGTATCTATCTAATCAAAATTATGATAAAATATTTTTATAACTTTAGAGGGATATCATTAATTTTGCTTCATTAGTTTAAATATTAACTTCTTTTGGAGCAATTGCTCAATTAATTTATTTTTTTGTTAAACAATGGTAAGAGAAACAAAATTAAAATCAATAGGCAGAGGCAATTCCTCCAAATTTAAATAAAAAGTCTGTAAGTACGATTTTAAACAGCCAAAATGAACAAGATATATGTGTTGTATGTCTATCCAAAACTAGAAGTATTATTTTAGAACCTTGCCTTCATTTTATTGTTTGTTAAGATTGTGTGGATCATTTAGATAAATAAATATGTCCATTTTGTAGAATAAAGATAGAAAAAAAAATAAAGGTCTTGTATGATTGATGAAAAATAAATATTAAAATCATTATCTAAGTTTATCACTAAATTTAGAATGAGTTGTATAAAATGTTTACATTAATCCATCAGTGAGAGATTTAGTTATCTTCTTTGATCCTAAAAATAGATTTAAATGTTACCATCCTCATTAGATTTATAAAAGTTCATAGCAGTTCTACCTGTTTGAGCAACAAGTCTTTCTCTCGGCATTTTATACCTAAAAAGTATAAATAGACAATTTACATTTGTTCTAAACTTCCTTTATAAGCTTTAGTCTCTAATGATCTTTTTTGTTGCTTAACAGGAGGAAAGTAATTAGTTTTAATTCCTATTTGTTTACCCCATTCCTTTTAATTTAATAATTATTAATTAAATATGTCAATAGGATTTCTATATACATATTAGTTTGAATTTACTTAGAAACTCCATCAGGAAGTTAAGTCAAAGGAATTTCTTATTTTGAAGATTTAGGAGTATCTGGTAGTGCAGTTACAATTAAATTTTCTATCATTTTAACGTTTTTAAGTTGAATTCTTTCAGTTTGAAAAGTTTATTAGGGAGGTAGATCTTTTTTTATAGGTTATAATAAATTAGATCCAGTATTAAATTAGACTTATTTAGAATCTTGTTAAATTTCAGCTTTGCCAATCTCTCCTAATTTCTTTTTTAATAAAATGGATTATTAATTAACTTATTAATCATGATCTGGATTATTAATATTTTCACTAGGCATAAATTAAGATTTAGTAGCTTATAAAGTTTAGGCATCTGTTAAAAGTTGATATTCAGCTTTTGTTAATCTAATTTAAGAAGCAAATTTTTAAGCATCATCACCAGATAGTAGATTTGAACCTGATAATTTGATTTACAAATGTTCTGCAGAATCACTTATTTAATGTCTTATTCCTTCTTTCATTTTATGTTCAAAGAATAATTTAACTCCATTATTCATTGTAAAAACTTCATAAGGAAATTAGGATGTTTTGTCAATTCTTAAAGCTTTATCTCCAATAACTTCTTTAGTTGTATCTTTGCGTTCTTATAAAACCTTATGTGTAAATATTATACTCTATTTGGTATCTCTTATTCAGGACATTATGGCTTATTAATTTTAGTGGAATCTCTTTTTCCTCCTTTTTTTTATGGTTAAATTTATTGTTCAATTTTTTAAGGTTCTTTAAATTCAACTTTTAATTTCTAATTTGTTGGTTATAATTTATCCATTTTTACAGCTCTAGCTAATAAAATTTTACCATCAAAATCATAAGTATATTTTTATGACCCTCCATCTTTTTTTTCAATCTAAAATTATTAATATATAAATATATTTACTTAGCTTTATAATTTATCTTCTTTTTTCTTTTATTCAATTTCATTTTTTTTTTTCATTTCATATAATTTAGCATTTCTTAATTTATCTTCAAATTCATCTTCAAATTCTTCTGAATAAATGGAGATCAATTTAGCTTCAAATTAATTTTATTATGGGGTTGTTGGAAGTCTTAAAGTAGTTCTCTTAGTATTATTAGTTGAATAATCTGTAGTAAAGTGCTTTTAAAGTGTTTATTTTTAATTATCAAGTATTTTATTTGGATCAGATGTATATTTTTCATCATTTTAATCTTTATCATGATTATCTAATTCTATTTGATTTAATTTATTATAAAGTACTACCATTTATGATTGATATTCTATTTCTTCTCCATCTATCGCAAAAGATAGGTTCCTTAATATAGAATAATTAAATACAGGTTCTTGATCTTCATTTAAATAACATGTTTCTACTTCAATTCCTCCATCATTTAATTAAGCATTCAATAAAAGTTTAGTTTCAGATTCAATTTCATTAATAGCATTAATAGGAATATTTCTTTAGATAAACTTTTTAAATAATTTAGACTTTTACTCTTTCTTAAGCTTCAATTATAGCATTTTTAATGATAGTATTTGAAAGTTACCTAGAAATTTAAATTGATTATGCAAAAGTGCCATAATTTTATATAACTCCTGGTATTTCACTATATACCTTGAAATATAATAGTAAAATACTTAATCAATATTAAAAAAGAAGGTTAAATGTTCATCTTCTGAGAATTCGATCATTTCTCTATCAGATAGATCATGTGCAACACTAGCACTCATTAAAATGATAAAAATATTAATAATAATAATAATAATAATAATAATAATAATAATAATAATAATAATAATAATAATAATTGTATTTATTTGTATATTTATACTCAAATCCAATGGATAAAGTGGGCATCCTTATGATATGGGTCTGCTAATCTTTCCAAAGGTTGATTAAATGTACCATCCTTATTTATTATAAATATTAAATACCCAATGTGCAATATGAGTTGGACGACCATGCCATTTCTTAAGAATATGTAAACACCAATTTGTATCATTATATAATAAATGTGCTGGTTATTTAGCTCTCCAAGCTAGAGATTCAGATATCCTATTTTAAAATGTTGGCATTTCTAAGAAATGTAATGCACTACAAACATTATGATATTGATTTATATCTTTGCTATAAGATATTTTTATTTATTTACTTTGAAAATCTATCTGTTTAAGTAGATATCACTAATTTTCCATGATATGGAAGAATTGAACTAAAATGATCACTTAATTTAGCCAAAAAGATCCACATAACAAAAACTCTTGCATAAAAATTACGTAGTGGTAACTAAATTCAAATTTATTTTATACTTCTCTTAAAACCAAATATCCTAAACCAAATCCTGACAACCATTTTGTAACTGTCCATTCTCTCCAATATGTATGATTTGGCTTAATAAATATATATTTGTTAACAAACTCTTCACATGAATATGATTAAAATGGTCTGGCTAACTATCATTTTTATTTATATTAATAATTTACTTTAGATAAATCCTTCTTATATCTTTCACTTGCTTATAAGAAGAATTCTTTTTTACTCCTATTGAACACTGGGGAAAAGTTTTCATCATCAAAATCTAATGATTTCAATTCTATGTTAGCAATCATTCTATCATCATATGCATCCTTTTATATTTATCAATTATCTACTTATTCTTCTTATGTTGGATGCCACAATTTAGCTTTTCCTTATACAATAGGCATAAATAAATTATTAATAAATAATTATATGATTTCCTCGATATAAATCAAGTCAATAAGTATTTATTTATTACAACTCATACAAATGGACATTTTATTGATACATTTTTATTTAAAAAAAATAAAACAAAAATTATTTCTTATGTTAGATATTATTCATAAAAAAGTAAAGTTGGATATTGAATAAATCTATATTGACAAACCCTCTACAAATACAAATAATTAAAGAGAAAATGAATCTTAATCAACTAAATTGTATTAAGATGTAATTAATGATCTTCCAATTTCAGGAGAATGTGATTAGTCACTCTCTTTAGATTAAGAAATCATAAATTTACTAAAGTATTCTTAATATTATGGAATGCAAATACTATCTAAAGTTGTTGACTCTTCAATTCTTATTGAAAAACTCAGACTTAAGCAGTTGTAATTAAAAAAAGAATTGATGATCTATTTCTTATAAAATGTTAGAAATCAGTCCCTATTTTTACATGATTTAATTTATTTGGAAGCAGCTAATCTAGATAAAGATATTAGATTAGCTGCAATAGAATGTATGAGCAGACTTAAAATCAATGATGATTAAGAAATCCTCAATTTAATTAGGAAACCTAAAGATAGTTTAGATTTATTATAAAATCACTCAAAAGGACTTCTTATATCTATTCTAGAAGATTAATATTATATTATAAGAATTAATGCTATAAGGGCCATTATGAATTTTAATAAATAATCAACCATTTTTGCTAATCATGTTTTAGAAATATTAATTAATATGCTTAATGATGAAAGTGATTTAGTTAGAATAGAAGCTATCTAAGTCTTATTAAATTATTCTAAAATTGAATTCAACAGAGCAGATTCAAATGCAATTAAATTTAATTTGAATGAATAAAATTTTAATTTAAGAAAAGCAATCTATGATCTAATTGGATAATCAATTTTTCCAGAAACTTTACATGATATTTTTGAATCAAGTAATTATTTCTAAATTTTATTTAGTCTGTTTAAATCTTTCAAAGTTTCCATAAGACTTTATTTATATTGCAAATTCCATCAGACAATTAGCCCTCAAAAATCCTAATGTTTTGCAAATACCAGATATTATTAAAAAAGAAAGACTTACATAAGAACCTAATATTTATTCAGAGTCTTAAGAATATATTGTAAGAATGATCTATGCTTATCATACAACTAGAAAAGATACTGATCCATTCTATTTTTCAAAACATTTTGCTTATTTTTCTGATAAATATCCAGATTTATTTTAATCTAATAAAGTTACTCCAGAAGAATTTTATGCTTTCAAATTGTACAATGAATATTAGCAATTAATGAAAGAAGTCTTTAATTCACTTAAAATTTATAGATTACAAGAATGTAAAACAATTTATTCAGAATTATGTGCTAAATTTTAATTTGATTAATCAATTATACCTCCTCCTCCTTTAGAATATAATCATGAATTTAGACTCCCTAATTGGGAAATTACTAAATTTTAAAGTAGATCATTTAAATTTATATTACCACTTGAAGGTACTAATTTTAGAGTATTTCCTGAATTTCCATTAACTTTTATTATCTAAGGAGAATTCAATAATTTGAAAATGCCTATTTCTAAAAATTATGCTATCTAACTATAATTTATGGATGGAACAAGTGAACTTAATAAGATTTCAACTATTGAAGATAATATAATTAAAGCTACTTTAGAAATGTAAAGAAAAGTACAAGATTTTTCATAACCAGCTAAAATATTATTTGTTCAATTAACAGATGGATTACAATTAGGCAATCCTATAAATATTTATCTATAAATCTGATTTTGTTTATATGAATTGATTTAATATAGATTTAAGTTTAATATTCATTCTAGTTTATAATATTTTAAGTTTATTTTAATTTGTATATATATTTTTATGAATAAAAGTGATATTATTAAAAAATTTTCACTTGAATTTTCAGATGAATTTTAGAAGCGAGTTGAAAATTAAAGCTTAACTCAAATCATAAAACTTATTTTTGAAAACCCAATATCTAAAATAGCTAAACCTCTTGATTTGAAAAACCAAAAATAATTAAACAGGCCAACATTATTTGAAATATTAGCTGTCTAAAATTTAAGTGAGCCAAAAAAAACAAGGTATACAAATACTAAAGATGCTACCTTACAATTTATTTTTTATCCAAATATTGTTGCAATCTCTTTATAAAAGCATCCTGAAATAGATTAAGATTTATTTTAATTAGAAGGAAAAAAAGTATTTAGTAATTTTTAGAATTAGATTTTAATTCCATAAGGAACAGAAATTTGTAGATCCATTTTAATTTTAAAATAGTTCATTCTCATTAATGATTACAATTAATTGCTATGATAAATATAATAAAATGTTTGAATTTCTATAATTATTTAATTAAAAATATTTAATTAGAATTTCTCATTATAATCTCTATTTTATTTACTAATACCTTAAAAGAGCACATTTTTGTATTTAGACTTCTTAATAAAATTAATTATTTTATAAACAAAAAGCTCTTTCTAAAATATTTTTATTTTTTTAAATTTAAATATATAGCTCATAATTTAAATACAGAGTTTTGTAATTACTTTAATCTCCTCGATTAAACTGAATTTAAGATGAGTATTTAAAAAATAAAGCATTTATGATTTTATTCAGGCTAAAGTAATATTAGTTACTTTACTTTGATTAATTATGCTTATATATTTATTATAAAAAGACCCTGATGAAAGATGTCATAAAGATCATTAAGCTATAGAAGATTAATTGATTTGCTTATAATATTTTGATTTTTTATAAAGCTAAACTAAAACAAAACTTTATAAAGCTTTACTTCGTGAGATGGCATAAAATGCAGTTTTAACATAGTTTGAATCTGGTAAATTTTATTTATCTAATATAAAGGTTAAATTATTTGGAAGTTTCATGATAGATAGGATAGAATAATGATTTTATATTCGGGTTAAATATAAGAGTATTAAGAAATCTCAGAAGTTGAATTAGATGATAAAAGAAAAAATTTGATGAAGTAATATAAATCAGATATTTTTATTGAAAGACCAGGTAGAAAAGTAACTGCAAAATACTAGCAAAATGGTTTATTAAGTTTAACAATAAATGATTAACCACGATTACGTAGAGCTTAGGTTTGTGAAATACCATAAAAGATAGAATTAAAAAGAACAAATAGTATAAGGCACAATCGGTTTCCCTAATTGCCACCTTAATACTTATAGGTTTTAAATATTGAATTAGATTAACTATTAAAAGGAGTAAAACTATATAATGAATCATACTTTTAATATTTATTAAACCAGTGTGTTTGTAATACAAAATAAACTCATTTATTTTAAGAAGGAGAATTATTAAACAATGATCTTCTAGTGAAAAAACATAATACTTTGCTACTTGCTTTAACTGATTGTGTAATCATTTAGATGAATTTAAGTGATTATTAAAATGTGGAAAATCAAATAAGAATATAAAAATAATCAAAAATATATAGATAATTAGAATCTGGGTTTGTTAGTGAAATTACAGAATCAGAGAATGAAATGCATTAATTAGTTAAGTCACTTATGAATAAATTTATAAAATTTAAATATAATCCTAATAATACAATTTATACAAAAGGGTAATAATTTATATATATATATATTCTTATTTCTGGAGAATGTTAAATTAATGATGATAATAATGCTTTGGCTCGTATTAATTAAGGATGTTTATTAGGAGAAGAATCATTTGATAATAATCAGTATGAATATAAATGTGTAACAACAACCAAATGTAAATTATATGGAGTCAAAATTACTGATATTAATCTATTATGTTAAAGATACTATTGGTTTAAGTAATAATTATTAAGCAAAAAGCAAATCAAATCTAATTGGTTACGTAGTAGACTTATGGATCAATAAAAAAGAAAAAGAACTGAATCAACCAATCTTAAATTTTAATTTCAAATCTAAATTAATAAAATACCAAATAATCAACAATAATAATTTAAAACTCATAGACCTGCATAATCCTAAAATATTTTTGATAAAAACTAATATTAAGAAATAATGTCTTATCGTGGTTAATATAGAAATTCAAGTCCTTCAAAAATAAAGACTAAGTAATTTAAATAACCATAATCTTAACCCAGTTTCTCTAAAGATTTTAGTAATGATGTTGACATCTTACCTATGTTAATGAATTTAGATAAATAATAAAGTAATAGCCTTAAAGAATTACTAAAAAAAGGTAAAATAAAGCCTTATTAATAATAAAATCAAAAATGCTCCCCAGCTTAAAATATATTAACTATTCCTTGTAAAGAATCCACTTTAAAAATTATGAAACGTATCCAATAATACTTAGGTTGATTGACTAAATAATTCATATTCAAATTTACATGTATATAAATATAAACTAATCTAAAGATTTGATAATTGAAATTATCATAAATTAGATAATTAAATTAAATAATAATCCATTAAAAATAATATATAATTGTTCGATAAAAATATAATTATGTCTATGTAATTTTTTTCGGCTAATTCTATTGTGCAAAATTAAGAGCTAAAACTTTCTCTACTTTAAGGTTAAAAAACAGTTAATATTTTATGATCATAACGTAAATTTTATTTTTAACTGTAAATATTTACTCTAAGGGTGTCTCATTATTTAAAAAGAATGGCATTATTTTTCCTTGAACATCTTTAAAATTATTCTTTTAATTTATAGAAAAATAAAATAAAATCACTAATTAGAAATTAGATCAAATGAACCTAAAACAGGATCAAAAATAGAAAGTTCTAACTGTTTTGGAAATTCTTTTATCACTAAAATGAATATTTGTCTATTCTTCAACTCATTCAATTAAATATGGAATGATAACATTCATATTTTTTTAACAAAGTTGTATGTATTTGATATAAAATAATATTAATTAAATGTATATTGAAAGTCATGAAATCAGAAAATGTATTAGATATTTTAAAAATAAAGATTGGCAGAAAGAATATAATCCACATTTGGAAATCTACAAAAACAAGTAAGGAGCTGATGAAATAAATAATAACTTAAGAATCTTAATTTTTTACACAGATTGAAAATTAAAAGGAAAATGCATTCATTCAGATTATCTCTTTTGATATTAATAATCATAAAATTTTATAAATGCTGGATATATGAAATTTAGTATATTTATTATATGATTCTCTTTTTGAAATAATCATGAATTAAACTAGATAAAGATTTGAGAAATAAAATTAAAAAGAGTACTTATGACTCTGAAATTTTATTTTCTTCAAAAAAGAAAATATTTACATAATAAGATAATAATTTTATTTATAAAGAAAAAGTCATATTCAATAGATAAAATAAAGTAATGACTTAAATTAATGACTTTTAAGAGCTTTAAATATTATGATAAGAGAGCAAAATGTATAAAATGATTATAAAAAATTAATAATTGTCTTTATAATTATTCTTGTATCCAAAAATGTTTTTTCTTTTTCTAAGTTTTAGTCAAATTTACAGAATAAAAATCATTTTTGTTTTTGAGTATTGTTAATTTGAAAAGTATAGGAGCATAAACATCTTGATTATTTTTGATAATATTTTTATTTAAATTCAAACAAATCAATGAATTGTAGTGTCTTCGCTTATTATGTTGAATAGACATTGCCAAATTATGTTCAATAGAAATTAGAGGAATGCTTTGTATAATTGGATAATAATTAAAACATAATAATGTGTGTTGACATGATATGTTAATAGATTGAATTTTGTCGGAAATTGTGCAATCGATTATAAGCATAAAAATAATTATTAATATTGATAAAATTGTTGGAGTAATAAATATATCCGATTAAAGATGCTGAAAAAAATAATACGCATCTACTCTCTATTTAAGATGTTTATGTATTTCAAATAATACTAAGATTACTTTGTATAATGATTTAATTTGAATCCAAAAAATATCAGGATAATTTTGATGATGATTAAACAGAAAAGTAAGTGATAATTAAATAAAATTTAGATTTAGTAATGATTTAGTAAAGGGTTTGTTAATATTAAGAACTAATTAAGCTAATTAATTAGACATGTAATTATTAGAAATTTTTCTAAAGTTGAATTCTAGATCTATTTTATTTTATAAGTATTTAATAAAATGGAGTGAATAATTTCAATTGAGAAATTGTTTATCATCATTAAAAAAATTAAAATAGCAATTAAAAAAAAAACAAAGAGTTTAAATAATTGAAAAAAGACTATAAGTAGACACTATTAAATAAGAATCAAAAGGTGAATGCTCTAATTCATTTTTTGAATAAAATGATTTTAGAATTAAAGATAAAAGGTTATAAATGATAATGAAAGTAAATTAACCAAAATAAGAACAGCAATATATATCATTTTAGGATATATTGAAATAGAAAGAAAACACTAAATTTATTAATACTACAGAGTCAACTCTAAGTCGACCATCTCTGAGTAAAAGAACGATAAATGGCGGTATTAATGGAAAATACAAAGTATTTATTATATATAAATATAAAGTTAGGAAATGATATAAAAATTGTAAGAAAAGCCACGCCTTCAAATACTAAGAAAAATACAAAAACAGAAATTTAGCCCTTTTAAATTTTATAATAATAATATTAATTAGAATTTTGTAGAGAGGTAAGTAGGAAGCTCCTGAAATTAGAATAGAAGAAGAAAATGAATTGGAACAATTAGTATTTGGCTGCAGAAACTGAATCTGATAGTGGTTTTAATTGATAATTTAATTAATAAGACTAGTCGTTTTTGTTGTAATCTTAGCTTTTTTTATGTGTTCATTTTCATATAATTATTTTAATGAAAACATTGTTCTTGATTAGTTTGATTGCAATTGCATTGACTGCAAGAGTGTAAGAAAGAAGTCTTTAAAAAATGACAACAGATTTGAAAAAGAGTACATATGGAAGTGCTCTTCTTCATTTAGTTGAATTACATTCGATGGCTGGTGGTCCAGTATAAGAATTGATTGATGCTATTGAAGAATTAATAAATGATCTTGAAGATGAATTAGAAGAATTAGAATTTAATTTTTAATAGAGAACAAATGAACATAATTCATTAGTGATTGGATTTTAATAAGATATATAAGATGCTGTAATAGGTATATAATAAATAAATTTTTAGATGTTAATAACACTTAAGATACTTTAGATAATTTATTATTCCCAAGAAGAGAATAATTATAAGTTAGAATCGAATAGATTTAAGAAAATTAAGAAGCAAATAGAAAAAATTATGATGAAGCTATTCTTATAAGAGAATAAGAACATGAAGATTTTGAATTATAAGTTGCAGAATTAAATGATGCTACAGCTGCTGTTGATGATGCACTTGCACTTCTTTCTTCATTAACAAATCCATCACTTCTTTAAATTAAGAGATTCTAAAATTCATTAAAAAATATTGAATAAAAGATTAAATCAAGATCAAAGATGGCTCCAATGATTAAAGCACTTATAACTTTAGCTTCAAATTAAAATTTCTCAGATTAAGGAATTATTGGTTAAATTGTTGATGCACTTAATGAATTCAGAAATGCTATTGTAGATTCAATTAATGCTTAAACAGCAGCTGAAGCTGATGCTTAATCTGAACATGAAGAATATCTTGAATAATTAGATGCTGAATATGCTGAATTCTAAAGATAAATCAATAGAGTTAATGTTGATTTGACTGCAACTAATGGTATTATATATATAGTATTAATATAGAAAAAATTGATTAATTGAGTGAATTTAGAGATTAAAGAGAAGCTGATAGAAAATAATATATTGCAGAACTTGAATTAGAAAATAACACTTATGCTGAAGAAACTGATATCTACAATAACTTAAAGAATGAATTTACTAGAGAATTAGGAATTAGTGAATAAGCATTGTCAGTTGTTTAAAGTGCTGACCTTAGTAACATTTAAGTTTGAAAGGAATGATTTTAAGTTTCTTTTTAATATCATAAGAATTAACTTTAAATTTCAGTCTCTATTTTACATTATTTAATATTATTTTTTTATTTGCTTTATAATATCGTTTTTATTTATAATTATAAAAAATGAATTTATTTCTTATTTTCTCTTTGGTACTTTTAGTCAAAGCAAATGATTATGAATTATTAGCTTCACTATAAAATTATGAATTTGGAAAAACTATTATAGCTACAATGTAAATTACATTATCAAGTGAAGAGTAAAATTATTAATTTATTATAAGTGCATCAATTGATGGAGTAGTTAATTAACTTAAGGCTATGTAAAAAGCTACTTAAAGTGATTTAGATGATAATTCATCACTTATTAAATAAAGTTAAGAATCATGCACTTAAAGATTTAATGAATTATAAGTAGTTATTGAAAATGCTTAAAATAAAAAAGCTGATAATGAAAGAACTTTGCCTTTTAAATAAGAAGAATTAAATATCATAACATATTAAATTAAAGATAAAGTTGATTAACAAAAAAGAATTTAGGATAGAAGAAATGGAGCAGAGTTTTCAAGATCAGAAGAAAAGGTATGAGTAATAAATAAATTAGAAAGATTTTAATTTAAAGTAATAAGAATCAATAGATTTTATATCAGGATTAAAAAAAGCAAAAGCAATTTTATCATAACTTAAAAGTGCATTTTTATAAGTCGGTGATGTTAGAACAAAATTACATAACCATTTTGAATCATTAAATAAAAATAGTCCATATCATGGATTAGTGAAAATTTTAATTGGAGCAGCTGGTGATGATAATGTTCCAAAGATAATTTAAATTATTGATGAACTTGTAGAAGTAATAAAATTATAAATTAAAAAAGTCATTGTAAAACTTACTTTCAGTTGATAGATCTGGAGATTAATAAAAAGAAGAATTATATTAATTATAAAAAAATAGATATGATTTAGAATTATAAACTTTAACTACTACAATAGCACAACTTTAAGCAGAGGCAGAAAAATAAAAATAAAAATTGTTAGAATTTTAAAATGATATTGAGACAAAAGAATAACTTTTAAATGTTAAAAATTAAGAATATAATGATTGGAAAAAAACATGTGATGATGATTTAAGAGCAAATTAAAATTTAAGATAAATAAAGTAAATTGTTTATATACTAATTTTTCAGATTCAATGAATTAAATACCATTAATGAATGTCTTGAAATTTTTACTTCAAGACTTAATCCATCTATAAAAAGTTATATCTAAGAATTAGAGATTTGAAATAAAAAATAAAAATATATTTTTAAATTATTTTCTTAAGAATTTCCAAAATTCTTCTTTTTAATCATTTTCATATATATTTCCATAAATTTTCTTTTTTTCTAATATAACCATTTTCTTAAATATTTAACTTGAATAAATTATAGATATACTTTGAAGAATTTTTAAACATTAAAAAATATAATAATAAAATAAAATAAGATAAATTTTGATTTATTTTTACAATTTTTAATTATTTAAAGAACTCATTTAATAACTATAAGATACTGGGTTATAAAAGGAAATAAAATTTGACTAGTGAAATAAGAATATTTATAATTTTTACTAGTATTATATAAATGGTATAATTAGATATCAAGTAAACTAATTTGTGATCAAATTTGAAATTTGAAGTGAAAATTTATACTTAATCACATTTTAATAAATATAAAAATTCTTACGCATTAAGAAAAGCATCTTAAGCATCTCAAATAAATCCTTTGAAATTAATTATTTATTCAATCTCTTTGAGAAATGATTCATTTGAAAATCCATTTCAAAACAGAATACGGTTAAGCAGTATATTTGTGTGGAAATTCAAAGTTTTTGGGATAATGGAATCCTAAATAAGCTATTAGAATGAATTGGACTGAAGTAATATATAAATAAATGTTTTAGAATGATATTTGGGAGGTGGAAGTAGCCTATCATGAAATGGAATATAAATATTTTATTTCTCAATATGAGAGTGTTTCAAGAGTACTGTGGGAATCAGGACCTAATAGAATAACAACTAAACATACAGTCGATATTTGGAACTACAGAAAAGTTTGCTTTTAATGCTTAAATCCTTCAAATTATGAAATTTATATTTCTGGATCACCTGAGACTCTAGGCAAATTTAAAAAAAGAATTAGAATGAAAAATAAACAAGGAATTTCTTAATATACTTGTTTTTTAGATATTACTGATTCTTAAATACAATACTAATATTTCTTTCTGACTAAAAGTGAATTTTCAAGTCCTGTATATAAATTAACTTTAGAATCTGAATGTAAACAGTATTATTTATTAATATTAGAATCATATTATAAAGATGCTTTACTTGTGTATTCAGATGGTCTGGCAAAGGTAAAACAAATGATTTTTTAATTAAATAAAAATATCTGTTACGGATATGTTCCATAATTTAAAGAAGATTATAGAGCTTTGAAGAAGTTTAATTTAAAAACAATAGTAGAATTTTGTAATTCTTAAGAGAAGAACTTATTAGAACAATAACTTTAAAAAGATGATTGTCTACATATGATTATCAATCTTTATCACTTTAAATAAGAGAATTTCACTTAAAGAATACTTTAACTTATTTAAGTTTTTATCCAAAAGTATAAAGTAAATAATTTAAATCTATTAATAGTTTATTTACATATGTAATAATTCGCTCTCTCATCTTAGAAAATATCTACTAGTCTATGAAAAACTTTCAAAATGCAAATGATAATAATTGAATATAATATTCTATTGTGTGTATATATGGATTCTAATAAGTAACAAATTATAAAATCATCATTTCTCTTTTGTAACAGTACTTTATAAATAATTCCAGTATTGTTATTGTTAATCATTCCAATTATGAATTTCTTTATTAGGTTATTCTCCTTCATTATAATTTAATAAGATTTCTTATTCAGGATCTATATTTTTAATTGCATAAATAGCCAATTAATATTAACCTAATAATAATGATAATTTAATTAATTTTACCACAAGTAAACATTTATTTAGTTCTACAATTATTAAAATTTAGGCTGTTATGATTAATGAATCTACTTTCATTTCCACAAAATCGACTATCTAATGAGTATCTCTCATCACTTAATTAATAATTATAAAATGAGAATGTATCATCAAATTAATCCCTAATCTCTTCTTCATCATCTATTAAAACTTCACCAATATATAAAATAATCAACTCTCCTTTCATTATAAACTATCTTGAAAAGAGTCCTAATCCATTACAAACTGCAGATCTTGCTAAAAGAGTAGGTTTTAAATTATTTATTAAGATTTAAGTGTTTGAACATATACAATTAGAATCTGAACTACAACATTTACAAAGTAAAGGATCACATTCAGTATTATCTTTTCTACATGTACATCTCCCATCAGATGAACATCTATCTCTACAATTACATCCTCTAAACTTTTTTAAACATTAATTCGACGGACAGTCACAATATTTTGAACAAAATATTTCACATTTACATTGTTGACATTCAAAATCTTATTTATGACAACATGATATATATAGAGATGCACATTTACATGGATTATTTATTAAAGCATTCTAATCCTTTGATTTTTATATTTTACTTAAACCTTTTATATAATCTTCTCTTAATTCATTATATTAAAGTTTAGCTAATAAAAATATAGATAAACAATCCAAGTTATATACTTTAGCTATTATACAGGGATCTTAATCTATTTTTATTTTCTTCAATTAATCAATATAATTTTCAGGTAAACTTGCTTTTTTTTAATTATTAAAATTGTTAGGATTTTTATAACATTTAATATTACATGCATATTTCATATTAAATTACAAAACATCATTAACCCATATGACTTTCTTACCATTTACTTTGTAATTCAAAGCTTAACAATAATCTAATAGATTTCTAAGTTAAGCAATTTTATTATTAAATTCACAATTACATTAAGATAAAAATCTTAAACAAGAATTACATAAATAAGCTTATTCTTTATTTAAATATTCATGTGTTTAAAAAGATTTATAAGAAAGTTGTTAAATTTATTGCAGATTAAATTGTTATATGAAGTTAATGTTTTAAAAAATTGTTGGTTTGATTTATTGAAATTATTAATTTTAAAGTTAAAGAAAAATTGAACCTAATGAATATAAATTAATCTTCAAGAAAATATTCTTTTGAATAATTCTCTCTTTTAAAAATCTTTATAAATCTTCAAAATTTAAAAGTGAGATATTCTCATTCTCCACAATAAATAAATATAATGAATATAATTAAACTAAATAAATTTAAAATGATTTACTTATATCTAAATAATGCATAGCATATTTCGTATTTAATTAAATCATTTAAATTATTCCATCTTAAGATCTCCAAACATCTCGAGGTATTTTTAGAATTTCTAATTTATATTTTTCCCTTTAATCTGTTGTAAAATTGTATTTAAAGTTAATATCTTAAACTTCCAATCTCTAAATTAATATGAAAAATACTTTAATATTTTAATCTATTTTTAAATATGTTGAATATTAATGTACAGATTATGGATATATGTTATGTGTTGTCAAATTTTGATTAAAGTTTAATAGTAAAAAAACTTAAGCCTCAAGTGGTAAATTGGATTTTTAGATTTTTTAAATTTATTTATTTTAAGCTAGCCATTCTGTTTTTGGGTATTTTAGCAATTTTACATTTTTTTTATTTGTTTTTAAAAACTAAACATGTATATATTGTTACTTATTGTATTTATGGTTTCAATAAAAATTTTATATTTTGTTCAATCTGTTATAATAATTCATCTCCTTTAGGTTTAAACTCAAATATTTGTGATAAATTAAAATTCACTTTTTGTCGAAGATTGTAATTCCAAAATGAATCTGTTTCTTCTACTTTATAATCTAAAGAAGAGTTTGATATTGCATTTTTAGGAGTATTTGCCAAATTTTTGGTTTCTTAATCTTTTTCCATTTTATTGATCAACGATTTTTTTTCTTCGCTTTAATTTTTTAGGTTAATTATTTGAGTTTTATTTTTGATAAATTTACAAATATTTTGTGCAAATTATTAAAAGCATTTTATAATAATGAAAATTTATATAAATATATTTAATTACTGATTTTATCAGTATTATTAAATTACTTGCAATTCAATATAATGAAATGATTCTAATGCATATCAAAAGAACATCTATAAATTCTTATAATAGAATAAAAATATGATCAAAAAATCGGTTTTTAATATTCTATCAGAAAAACATTTTCTTTGATGGAGTAATTTAAAATTCTTTTGGTAATCCCTTTGAAGGATTTTTATAAAAAGTAAAATCCATTTTGTTCGGACTAACTAATCTAATATTGTCTTTTGATTGTTAATAACCTTTATCATTTGAAAAATGTAAACTTGTAACTCTTTTAATTTAAGTTCTATCATCCCTAAGCATTTCTATAAGTTTATTTTTTTTATCATTTTCCTCTTTTAATTTTAAGTTTTATAATAACAACTAATTAATTAGGCTTTGTTTATTTGCATTTTGACATTAAAAAAAAAAATCATTTCTTGAAGCAGTTTTGTTTTAATTAAAATCTGTTTAATGCTCATCTTATTTTTTACAACTCTAAAAACTAATAACCCTAATATTTGATTACCTATGTTATTTTAGAATTTGAATTAATAAAACAATCAATTTTTTAGATAATTTTTATCTCATGTCCTTTTGCAGTTGGGAAATATATGTGACTAGGTGATTTTATTCTTTTTGCAGACATAGTCTATTTTTATTAAATTTATTAAATAATAAATAATCATTAGTATCATGTTCTTTATTCAAATGAAGTATCTCTTTTTACTGCAAGGCATTATCTAAAATTCTTTAGGCAATCTTAATTTATACTATAAAATGTAAATTTAAATTAGTCATCTTTAATTATTGATGATTTCAATAACTATTATTATATTTCTTAATTTGGTTCTGTGTTTAAAATAGTGTCCTTCCTTTTTGTTATAAATATTTTAGATGGAAATACTTATTCTTAAATCATTATTGATTTTCGACAAGTTTGTTAACGAAATTAAAGGCTTTCTTAAAAATATTTATTAATAAGTTAAGATTGAAGTGATTTACTTGTTGCAGGAGTAGTTAAAACTAGAGATAACTTGAAATTATATATACTATTTTATTCTGAATATTTAATTCCTCTTAATATTTATTTTGGAATGAAATACATATTTTCTTATATGAGCTAATCAGAATTTTATTGATTGTTTGTATAACAATTTTATTCTTAATATTTAAATTATTTAGGAAGTAACAGTTTATTTATTGTGAAATTAGACATAGATTTTCCATTATTTTTGATTCCATTAATTTTTTTTTTGTTCCCATTGATGTCGAATGCATGATTGATTAAGCAAAACTAATAAGATATTTAATTATAAAAATATGAAATAAAAGGCAAATAAAGAAGCAAAAATTATATATTTTAATTAATCTAAAAATTAAAATATCATATCCCTACTGCTTTTATAAAATATGTTTGTGTTTAAAGAAAAAGATAGAAGATTATTTATTTTATAAATCAGATAAAAAAATTAAATTATCAATGTTATCAAATAATAACAGAGAGTCATATAAAATATTTTCTTTTGTTAGGGGCAACTTAAAACACTTTAGGAAGTTTACATACACTTGTTTTCTAATTTGGTTCTGGACTAAAGAAAGTAAATAGCATTTTATCATCTTTGCTTTCTCTTTCTCTTGTGTAAATAGGTTTTTAAATTTTAATGATTTATTTCTTATCATTATTTCGAACATTATTTAAAGTATTTACTCTGCTCGATCGTATTGGTTCTAATTCTTCTATTTGTTATAATTTATTAATGATTAAATCTTGGACAGAACTTTTATGAATCAACTTTTAATTTTCTTCTAAAAGTTCTTTAATTTTTGCTTAATATTGTGAATCTGATTAATTAGGTAAATCTATTTAATAATTTTATGGATAATACTTGAGTGTGATAGTGCAGATGAAGTCCAAATCTATGGTGATTTAGGTGACAACTATCTAGAAGCAGTTTGAATTGTTGATTCTGTCGAATAAATACTTTAAGTTTTTCCATTCTTTAACTAAAATTAGTTTTTGTGTCTCATTAAGATGTTGATGGAAGAAGTAAATGTCTTCTTTAATCTTGAATTAATTTTATATACAAAACACAAATATTGAAATTAAAATATCTCAATTAATTAATTACTATGATTAGATAATATATCTTTTTTTGTTGGAAGCTACTTGATTTTGATTTGGAAGTCTAACACGCTTACTATTAAAAAGATTATTCATATTATCATGTTATAATCTAAATTTTGAAGAACTTTAATTTAATGAATCAACTTTCTCAAAATTTTTTATATTTTTTAAAAGAAAATTCAGTTTTATACATTTAATCTTACTTTTAGGGATGTTTTCATTCTTAAAATTACATTTTTTTTAATTATTTATTCTTCATAATTATAAATTAATATATAAGACTTAGTATTTAATTTTATATATTGAATTTTATTAGATTTATTATTAAATAAATAAAGGTTAATTTATACTATCTTGTGTAATTAAAGGCTTCTCTTAATCTTCTATTAATTTTAAATGTTTGTTTTTTAGTTAAAGTTTTAAATTATTTATAAAAATAAAAAATAAAAAATAAATATTATTTGATTAAAAGATTGACTATAAAATGTATTAATTAGAATTCTTTGGTTTTGTTATGTTTGTTAATTTCTTTTTATAAATTATTAATTATATTCAACTTTTCTTAAGAATTTCTTTATAGGAAGTAAATTAATAGTATTTATGTGATCAATTTATGAGAGAGAATTGAAAAGACATTATTAAATAAAATATTAATATAGAGAATAATAAATTGAGAGAATTTAAAAAAATGTGGTATTGAATAATTAAATTATAAATATTTAAGTGATTATTGATAAATATTGATTAAATTAGAATTGCATAAAATTTTTTAAATAAATACTAGTATATTATAATAATATAATTTATTAAAAAGGAGAGTATAATAAAGTTTATTATGTTTAATAGTTATTAGTATGATAAGTAATTGTCTTTTACAAAAGATATAGAAAAAATTAAAAAGGACTATTTAAAGTAAAGAGAGAATCGTAAAGGTATTTAAAAAAGATTAAAATAGATCTTAATCAAAGATTATCAAAAAATTATAAGAAAAGAATAGAAAATTTTGTGATAAATATGTTAGAGAACCCAATAGTTTGTAATTAATATAAGCCACTTGAGGCATATTAATTTAGGGATGAAGATCCAAGAAGAAATTTAGGAGATCCAAAAATACATTTTAAAGGATTTAAGCATGAAAAGGATAGAATTTAAGAGGCTTGAGGGGGAAATAACAATTTAGATTTTTTGCCAAATTTAAAAGCAGGAAAATATTGTTTTAGGGAGAGATGTTTTTAGATATAGAGATAAAACTGCTTTAGCAAGAATTGAATAATTTTTGAAAGATCATACTTAATCTTAAGTAGAAAATATGAAACTTGATCATAAGAATAAATATAATTTTATCATTTGTAAATCAATATCAGAAATAGATAAAGAACTATATAAAGTCGAAATTGGATAATCTAAATTACGATGAAAATAATTTTTATATATAATAAGAATATTATATATATAAATATATTTTATATGTGGGAAATCAAAATAAAGAGAGAGAAAAGTTTGCCTGAGCCAGTTGGTTATAAAAAAGCATTTGATGATTGTCAAGGATAAGAGTTAAGAGAAGATTTAGAGAAAGTAATTAGTTTATGATAAAGACTTAGAAAGCAATGGGAATAGCAAAAGGAGGATTTGGAAATATATTTATGATAATGTTTACATTATATATGACAGGAAATATGATGAATATATTTACAATAGTAATAATAGGATAATTTTTATGGTAAGCAATTTCAACAATAGCAAAAATGGATTAAGCATTTTAATTATTAGAGAATAGAGGAATATCTTTATTTTTTTATAAATTGATTTATTTATCTGCAGGATTATTACAATTAGGAGTTGTACTTTATAAATTATACAATATTGGTTTGCTTCCATTAAATAGTGCTGATTGGATTGATTTAGTTCCATTACATCATGTAAATACAATTATGATTTCTTATTTAGTAAGAAGAGATTGTTGTACCATATAGCTATAATTGATTTTATATTAATACACATATAATATAAATTAAAATGTATTTGTTATTATAGTTTAATAAAATTTTCCATTCTGAAATCTTGGGATGAATTGCTAAAATTCTAAATGCAATTAGTAGATACAATACAACTCTATTATAAGTGGTACCTAAATAACTTGTGATAATTGTTCAAATGCCTTTTATTGTTCAACCAAATGTAGAGACTTTGATTGGTACATTGTGATTACAATTGGTATAGGGAAGGAAATCATCAAATGGTTTGCAATGATTTATTTGAAAAAGTTCCTAAATTAACTGTAAGTTAATTAGATGATTAAATCAAACAAATAGGACAAGGTAGTTTTGGAATTGTGTACTTAAAATAACTTAATGGATATAATTTTGCTATAAAAAAAATAAATAAAAATCTAGCTTACAGAGAACTTAAAATACACAAATAACTAAACCATAAATATATTATCTAGTTATTATAGTTTATAGAAAAAGATGATCATATTTATTTAATTTTAGAATATGCAAGTATTGATTAACTTTTAATATAATTAGAAAATGGTCATTTGAAAATTGATACAAATATAGATCCAAAACGAATAATACTATAATTGTGTATTGCACTTCAATATCTTCATAAAAAAGGAATAATACATCGAGATATTAAACCTAAAAATATTTTACTAGATGGTAATAATAATGTTAAGTTGTGTGATTTTGGTTTAGCTACTTATAAAGATATTATTAGTAACTTTTCTGGTACTTATGAATTTATGGCACCTGAAATTATTTAAAATTATCCTCAATCATATTCTGTTGATATTTGGAGTCTAGGTTGTCTCTTATATTGGATGCTTGAAAAAAAACCACTTATAACAGGTATTTCTAAACTATTATATATTTAATAGGTAATGAAACTGAAATGATTGAATAAATCTTATATTTTACAAAACCACAGTTCACTATTACTGATATCTATGCCAAAGATTTATTAATCTAAATGCTTACTCCTGATCCTAATAATAGAATCACACTTAATCAAATTATTAACCATCCTTATTTAAATAGAGACAATCAAATTCATTTAAAAAGCGAAGAAATCTCAAATTCATGTTCAGATGAAACATAAGCAAGTTATCTTCCTAAATAAATTGTTCCTCCAATACAAAATGAAGAAAGTAACACCTTTAAAAGAATAGCCAGATTATTTTCATGCATGACTAGAGATAAATGATATGAATGAGTAAAAAAAAAAGTAGAGTTATAATATATATTATGGTAAAATCAACAATAATTAAAATTAATTTAAATTATTATTTATTCACATATACTTTTTATCTTCTATGTAAATATTAATAATTTTTTAATACTACCTTTATTTTATTAGATTTCAAAAATTTTATTTTACTCTAATTTCAGTTTTACTATCAAAATACCATTAAACTATTATTTTTGATTTTCCTTCATTTAATGTTATTGTGTTTTGTATTTCAATAACAGTCAAAAATACATTTAAATCTAAATCTAAATTATTCATTCTGTCTTCTTAATCTATATTTTTGGATAGCAAAAACTGATTAAAAAATAATAGCCTATTTTCATGATTAAGACTTTTGAACAACAATAATCATTAATAAAAATAAGATTAATAATATGAAGAAAATTAACAAACATCCTTAATTAAAATATAAAAAGTATGTAAATCAAAAAAAATTTAATTTAGATAGGAAAATTTTGAGCATGAAAATATTAGTAAAAAAATATATTTTTAAAGTTTGAATATAAAAAGTATATATAATTGAGAATAATTAATTTAAAATTGAATCATTATAGAATGGTTCTATTAATAATTATAATAGGTATAGGACTAAATATAATTAATATAATAATAATCAATAAAAAAATATTCCATTTCATAAGTAATTATTATAAGTAGTTTTTGATTAATATTTAATTTTTGCAAGCTTTACTAATAGGATTTAAAATACCTCTAAAAAATTTCTCGTGTTTTTTTGAGTTTAATTAATGAATATATAAATTCATTATTTTCTAACATATTTAATGGATTATTGATATGTAAAATAATATATAATTGGTGAAATCAGTATTAAGTTTATAAATGATTAAATCTGATGAAATTTTATAGAAATATTTTTTATGATAATTATGTTTCACTTTTTCAAAATACAAACTGAAAAAAAGTTGATTATTTTTCCTAATTTTTAATTAAGATAGAATATGAATAAAATCTAAATATTTGATAAAATAATTTTTTATGATTACTAACTTTATAATTTTAGTATATTTAGCATCATGGACATTATTCATTGTTTTGATAATATTGATAGGATATCTATTAGATAAATCATTTAAATTAGCATAAATATCTCCTTAACCTAAGAATAAAAGTCCAGCTGAAACAACATTTGCAATTCAACCAATAACATCTAAATAATAAAGTTAAATTCGAACATAATAAATAACAAGATTTGAAAACAATGAATTAGAGGATTTTTTTAATAATCATGGAGATAATTCACCTAATGTGAATTAAGAAGATTAATTTTATAATAATGGAGAAAGAAATATTACAGAATAGAATTCTCCAATACGGTTAACGGTTGATCCAAAATAAGTTTCTTCTCCAAGAATGAATAGAACACCTTAAAGATCAAATACATTAAGGAGAACAATATTGAGAAAACCAACGATAGGTACATATGAGGGAATAGAAACTGCATAAACTACAAATAGAAGAAGTTTAAAACCAACTGGAAAATAATATATATAAAGTGATAGAAGCAGTGTTGGTGATCTTACACCAAGATCAACGAATTAAAAATAATAATAACATAATTAACCAAGAACTTCATAATTTAGTATTCTTGGAAAGAATGAAGCAATAAAAAAAGATCAAAATGTTTAGATACCTAAACCAGAAAATGATATTTATGTATAAATTAATGTAAAAATAGAAATGTCATCAATTTAGTAGGATATTTTATTCTCACAAAGAAGGGATATCTAGAATATTTATGATCTTAACAATATATTTTCGATAATTAATTTGTTTGGATGTATCAGGATTACTTATACATTATTTACCAAATCTTAATCTATGGATTATAATTGGTATAATAACAGGCATAATAATATTATTAAAAATAAGTGATTATTATGTAATCAAAGGAATAGTTCATCATTATTAAAAGTTGAAATATATTTTAATTATTTTATGGATGTCAAGTATAGGAATACTAGTTTGGCTCATAATATTTTATAGTTTTGATAATTTATAATGGTTAATTGAATATCTACCTAGTTTACTATTAGATTTAGTAGTGATTGATCCATTAAAGTACTTAATGATAAAATATTGTTTATAAGAACCAAAGAAAGTCAGAGAACCTAAATCAAAGGTAGATGTTATAAAAGTAATGCAATAAATTAAATGATTGTTTTCATATTATTCGTATCGTAACTGTGTATAATTATAGATAATATATGTGAAGATAGTAGTTTATAGATAAAGTCTAAAAGAGTATGTGTTATTATTATATCTAAATAAAATACATCCTTATAAAGACTTGTCCATAAAGCTATTTACCAAAGTTAATGCTAATAATTTAGGATTTGTTTAAAATATTATTAATTCATATATCACCATATCATCTTCTCCATGATCTATAAATGTTAGATGATAATTACTTTTGAATAGGACCTCTACTTATTTTAAGAATTCCACTAGTTTATCTGTCATCGCTATTTTTATTATTCTATCCAACCAATTTAGCAGATAGTCTTCTCAACTATAAGAATAATTAAGAATCCTTACACTTTTATCATCTCCATTAACATTAACCACCTCTCCGTCAACCTTTGAAACAAATAACTCAGCATTATCTTATTTAAAGAATCTAATCAAACCAATTCCTTCAGGCTATATAAATATATTTTAATATAAATACTTTGACATTTCCAAAATTATCTCTCTCTAATTTACACATCTCCATAGGTCCATATTATGAACAAAATTCCTTTATTATTTAAATTAAGATATATACTCTTAATCCTGTTTCTGTTTAATGTGGATCTAAACCTCTTACTATTACATTTGGTCTAGGCCCTTTTGATATAACTTCTCTATCTCTTTCTCTCTCTCTCTCTCTATTATTATTCGATCTCTATTCTTCTCTATTTCTAATTCTTTCTATATCTCTTTCTCTATCTCTCACTCTATCTCTTCCTCTCTCTCTTTCTCTTTACTATTATCTTGGTCTATTTTAGATTCTATTTATTCTCTATCTTCTTGCTTATCCAGTTGGTATTCTTCTAAATCTATTTTATCTTTATTATTATCCCTGTTATGTTTTCAACAAACATGTACATGCTATTATTATTATCTTTATTGTGTTTATCTTTATTTCCAAACTGGTCTTCTACCTCTATTTGATTAAAATCTATCTCCTCTTCTTCCTCTTCCATTAAATTACTTATTATTTCTATTTCTATTCCCTTTCTATCCTTTTTCAAGATTCACATATTCCAATTCACTCATTTTAATATTTAATTTATTATTTCTCTCTATATATTTCAACACAAATTTATAATTACAAATTATCAATCATCATCAGTATAAAAATCCAATCTTGAATTTGTAAATTTTAAAGAATATAACCAATACGAGAAATGCTAAGTAACATACACAGCATTTTTTAATTTTTCTGCACTACTACCAAATATTTTCAAATTCTTTTCAATTGTCTCCAATCCTTAATAAGACTATGGTAAAAATGATAATATAAATTCATTTGCAATTAAAAGCATATGTTCTCCATTTTATACATCACAAAACTCTTAATTTTATGTAACCTCTATTATATATTTTCAATATATAACCTTCTTTGATATCCAATTATTTATTATCTCCATTCCTCATTTCTTATTAATAATTTTAAAGTGCTTAATAACCTAAAGAATTCAAACATTTTTAATAAAAAACTGTAAATATAGCCATCTATTTTAATTTAATTAATAAATACTTCTTTATATGCTTCAACACATAACTTTGGACCTATTTAAGTTAAAAAATATGCTAAAATTTTAGTAACATTTGTTTTTCTTAAAGATTTATCATTATCAAAAGGTTCATTAGCAAGTAAATCTATATCTTATGTTTTTATCTTTAATATAAAATTTGAATTCTACTTTTTCATTTGTAAGATCTTTAATTTAATCATATATTCCTTAATATTCAGAACAATTTGAAAAAACAGTACAAGGAAAATTTTAAAGAAGAAAAACTTATGCCTCAATATCATTCTTAAATTTTTCAACTTATCTAAAACTCCCTAAACTGTCTAAAAATGTTAAAAGCTCTTCTAATGTCTCATCTGGCTCATTTCCACTTTCAGATTATCCATCATCAGATTTAGCACTTTTTCTATCTTAATCTTCTTGCTTTGTATTATATTGCACATAAATACTCTTCTTGGTCTACCTCTTCCTGGTCTTTAATTTGCATTATTAGGCAATTAAGTTCCATCAGGAGCTACTGAATCATGTTTCTATCTTTACATTATAAAAAGCTTATTACTTTAAATGAGTATATAATGCAGCATAACTAAGATAACTTTTACCACAACCACAAGAATAATCTCTATTATTTGAATCATTTCGTCTCCTTCTTAATCTTGCCTAAACTGAATTCTCATCTCGATTGGCTGAATTTTATTAATCCATAATTTATTTTATATATTAAAAACTAAATTATTATTATTTATTGATGATGATATATTAAATAGTTACAAAAATATCAATCATCATTAGATTCTTTTTCTGGTTAAATAAATTCACAAGTTACACATAAAAATGTTAAAATTATGCTTAAACCTAATAGTCCACAAACAAAATAATAAAATATTCGATTAAATTTATTTCGAAATTTCATTTTCTTCACTTGGCTTACTAAAAATACATAAAATAATGTAGGAAGCCCTAATTAAATTGCATTACAAGCTATTGCTCCTAATAAATTATACACAGTTCCCAAATTTTATATAAAAACTGCTCCAATAGCCAATAATATAAATAAACCAATACTGATTCCATAAAATCGAATCGCTTAAGATTTTTTTCTGAATTACAAAAGATCCTTGTAATACTACTCAGTTTATTAAGAATCTATTAGTTTCTTTTTTGCTTAAATATTTACTTTTTTATTTTCCTATGATTAATAATAAGTATTACTGTGAATTGTTTAATCATCTAAATAAAGTTATTTCTTCCTCCAAAAAATATAACTGGTAATGTAAGTGTTGTCGAAAAAACAAATGATAAATTTAAAATAACAAACAAAACAGCACCAACATCTTTTTCATTAATACTTAATAAGAAATTCGGTTATATCTATAATTATATAATAATATTTCTTACATTTGCTCCATAAGTTGCATATCCAAGTAATCCAACAATTAAATATAAAAAAGATCCCTAACAAAATCCTAGAATTGTTGATTTGATTAAATTTTAATCAGTTGGTTAAGCCATTCCTTTAAAAATTGGAAATAAATTAAATTGCCAATTAAATGCTAATATTAATGTTGGCATAGAGGCTAATGCTCGATTAATATTGAAATTATCAGGAATCCACCATGAAAATTCATGACTTGATTATTCAATTCTGAAAAAATTATAGATAACAAGGCATGAAAATGAACTGATTGATAAAATAGCAAATAAACTTACAAATCTCAACTTCTCTATAGATTTAACAAGCAAAAAAGGAAGCAAAATTATACTTATTACAGCTAGAAATACTGGTCTTTTTAAATAGAATGGTTAGTCTTCGGTTGTTCTATCAGTAAAAAAATTGATAAGGTTGCTAGTTGTATCTCCAAAAATGCTAAAATAATTTAATAATTTACATTAATTCACTTAAACATACCCCCAAATTTGATAAAATAATCATTATATTTACAACAATGATAATCCATTTATGTTTGAAGATATAAAATCCTATCGTTGAAAAATTACTTCTTTTTGATAAATTCTTAGATTTCAATAATAAATTTGAAGAAAGGATACCCACACAAAAAATAATCATCAAAATAAAAATTGTTAAAATAGCACCAAAGTTAGATGCTACATAAGGCTAGATTATAATTATTAAAATACTATTCCTAGGATTCCTACTCCAACCATACTTTTCATTACAATCACAGATGTCATTGGAAGAGAAGTTTTTTATCCCCTTTTTTACCAAATAGATGATTGGCCTGTAGATTACATAAAACTCTTCTCTAATGCTTCATCTCCACTAAAAAATATATAATACAAAAAACCTTAATTAATTAGCAGGAATTTCATCAGTTGAATTTCTATAACCTTCTTAAACATTAAATTAATCATCCATTGAATATGATCCTTATACTTCATCAAAAGCATCTTATGATGGTTTATTTTATTGCATTTCCTTTATTTTTAGAAGCAATTTGATTTTATTTATTGAAAATGTATATGGATTATTGTTGACGTATTTATAAATGTATATTTTATGATGAAAATTAATATTTCACAAATAAATACTTTCTATATGTAATTGATAGATACTTAATTTAAAATTCACTCTTAAAAACAACTAAATACATTTTACTGATTACTCTACTTAATCAAATAAATAATTATTAAATAAAAAAGTCAAAATCTTTTTTCAGCTAATGCTTATTATCTCCAACTTTCGCTGAATTCATTAATATTAGCCATAAATTCATCTTAATATCCAATTGGGGCTTTTTTAGGATCTTTTAATGGATTTAAATTTAAAGCTAATCCTATTATTTTTTTTTCATTTTTTATTATTGTTTAAGGATCAACTATTAATTTATCAAACTATAATAATACCAAATGGAATTGAATCATCTGAACTATATTTTTAAGATTCATCTATAAATTCAGATTATTCTTATTTTAATTTACATGTTTCGACATTATCTTAACATTTTTTTAACATTTTTCGAGGATCAACTCCATGAGATCTAAGTGTGTTCATGATTGAAATGAAATTTTCTTCATTTTTAATTTTGATTTATTTCTGTTAATCTTCAATAACAGATTTGAATTTATCTAATTGAGAATTCATTTCTTAGATTTAAGATTTTAACAAATTATTTTATCGAAGAAGAGAATCAATTTCTTTCTTTTAGGTTTATATATCATTTCTAATAGATTATGCTAGTATAATGAAAAGTTTTTTTAAATCTGAAAAAATTGAGATTTTTAAGGATTACTCTTTGATTTCCATTTTATCAAGCAATTCTTGAAATGAATTAAGTGAAACTTAGTTCTTAAGATTCTAGCATTCAGCAAAAAGAAAGTTTTCAAGAATTTTAAACATAGGTTTAGGTGAAAGCTCTTTTTCAGGAACTGTGAATGATGATGCTTCTTAACAAGTGTTGTATTTCTAAACTTTTTAATTAATCTTTTCACTAACTTTTTCTTTAAGTGTACTAATTAAATAACTAGTAGAAATGTTAGAATGTGATCCTCTTAAAACTGTGAAAATAATTACATACATTTACTTTCATCTAATAATTTTTATTTTATATCTCCTCCTGCTTTGGATTAAAGTCGTTGATGTAAATTTGAATTATAGTTACATGATTTATTTAATTTTTATTTGCTAGTTAAATTCAAAAGATCCTTGTTAGATGTTTGATTGCTATTTGGATGAGAGTACATCTCTCTAGAATAATCATTTGGAGTTTACTTTTTGTTAACATATTAGACTTACATTTTTACGTTATCGGTAGATTTTGGAAATTAACTAATCCATATGAGGAGTTCTATTCATTTTATTTTTATATTTTATTAATTAAATGTTAAAGAGCTAAATGTATTCATATACAAATACATAAAAATACAATAGTTCTATTATAATGATGTCTTAATTTTATGGGACTTCAAATAGAGTATTATATTTAACATGAATATTTTCCAATGAATCTAAAGGAATTTAATTGAGCAAAATCCTATATTAATTATATATAGATTTGAATAGGACATTTGAAAAAGAATATAAAAGAATTAAATAGAATTCAATAAATTAAAGGGCTCAAAAAGTATTTTAAAATATGTATAATAGATTTTAAAATATTATTTGAGTAATTAATAAAATCTAAGAAACGTTAAGATATGATTTAATTTTCATAAAGGTAAAATTTAATAAAAACTTATTATTAGACTAATTCACAAAGCTTTTTTGAATATAATCTAAAAAAAAAGAATTTATAGGGTTGGAAACTTTGAATATAAAAAAAAGTAAAGATTAATAATCAGAACTCAAAGGAATTGATGACTATAGAAATAAACAAAATTAAAAATTTTTCAATAAATATAGAAAAGATATAATAGAGATGAGATTGATAATATTTTGATGATTAAATATCATATATAATTGGGTGGAGAATTAAATGAGAAAATGATTAAATTGTATAAATTTAATTAAAATCATAATAATTTATTAATTATATCAATAATCATCTTCATCTTCATCAACTTCATTTTCTCTATCTTCTTATTCGATGACACGTTATTTCAAAATATAAAATAATCTATCTTCTCCTTTTTTATCTTCTTCTCCTATTATTTATTAATTTCTTTTAAATCTAAAATTTTTTATGAAACATACCCTCTTAATGATATGATAGGTGTTGATTCACAATCAGTTTGGTATGCTCTTTTAGTTTTTTTTTAATTTTAAATCAACTCTAAAAAATATTTTTGATCAATTTCTGAAACTACACTATAATCAGGTGATCTTGGAATGTTTTCTTCAGTGTTGTCTATTGAATCATCAAATTGTTTGTTAATTTTTTTATTTAATTTCTTTTAGCTTTTTTTCTTTTAAATTAAACTATTCATACCAGGTCTTATATAACATCTATATATTGAGGATTATTTTCATCCAGATTTTTTTAACTTGATGCTTTTTTTTTTATTTTTTTTTCTGGCTTTTCAGGTTCAGGTTATTTCTCCTCTTTATATTATTTATTTAAAAGGTATAAGCAAGAAAGTAGACTTATGCCAAACAATATTTAAGGAGTAGATTGTTTAATAACTGAAACAGACAAGGATATTTTATGCTGAAAAGTTTAGAATACTGTATGCATTATATTATTAATTATAAAAAATATGCTATCAATTTCTCAAACATAAAAATCCCTATAAGTACATTCATAAAAGCAATTACATCGATAAAACTTATATTCTAGAAATAGAACTCTTGATAATGTAGAAGCTAATAAATTAAGAGCAAAATACATTATACATGATAAGGAAAGTTTATATGAAGAAATTTAGAAACTGAAATAAGAGAACAATCAATTGAAGTTAACATTAAGATAGTTTCAATCATAAATTTAATATTTTAAAAGAGAAGTGCAATCAATATCGAAAGATGAAAGTACACCCACTAAAAGTTATTCTAAATTAAAATAAGGTTATTTAGAGAAGATCTCAAGATTAGAAGTATTATTGTTTTATGAAAATTTAGGATGAAAATATTAGATTATAATAATAATTAACAGAGTAGTAAACATATATAGGATAACTCTAAAGTCCATTAAATAAAAATAATGTTGAAAATTTATGTATGTCTTTAAGTGAGGATAATATGAAGTTAAATCAATTGATCTAATAACAAGAGTAAACAGTTAATTAAACTTAAGTATAAAAATAATGAAATTTAGAGTTAATTCAATAAGTTGAATGTAAAACATAATGCAATTTTGAATAAGTATAAATAATTGAAGAACTTGAATGCTTAATTACTTTTAGAGATAGCTGAATTAAAGAAAAAGGATACTTTATTTCTTGAAAGACCTTAATAGAAAGATAATAAAAAGGTTGAAGAATAGTTATAGTTAGATTTTGATTAAGCACTTGTCGATTTAAGAAATGAAAGATAGAAAAATAAGTATTTAGAAAATATGATGTAAAAGATTCAAGCAGAAAATTAGGAATAAATAGATAATCTTGAGAAAAAATTAACAGATTAAAAAAGATAATATGAGACATTGTAAAGAGAATATGATTTAGAAAAAATATAAAAATATCAATCAAAAAGAACAATACTGATAAAAAATAATGGACCATAACAACCAGAAGAATAAGTATAATAATAAGAGGAAAATGAATTATAAAAGAAAAAGATAATTAATGTTGATAAAAATGAAATTACATCAATAGCTCGTTAAGTTAAATTAAATCTTATTGGATTAAAGATTTCACTCTAATAGGTTGAATAATATCTATTAACACATGAAAATTTAACTTAACATTAATTAAAATAGAATTTGTCCAATAGAATATTCGGTCTTTAATCTTTAGAGTAAATAGAAATGGCAGCTATTTATTTAGCAGATGTTGAAAATGAAACTGAAACTACTACTAATGCAAGAGTTAGAAGTATATTTAAAACTTTAATGGAAAATTATTAAATATTGACAACTTAACAATTAAATAATATCAATTAATAAATCATGAAAAAGAAAAATGAAATTTCAGATATACTAATAAAGAAATATCCAGAAACATATACAAATGGATATATCAATATAGATGTAAATATATTTGGAATATTATTAGATTTATTTAGAAGTTTTATAATAGGTTGATATTACATTAAATAAATTAGAAATCGATCATTTCTATGCACTAATAACTAGATAAAATAGATAATAAAGAATTTTACTTTAATAAATTCATAGTCCTTTCGATATCAATCAGAATGAAGATGATGAAGATATAAATGAACAATAATAATTAAATGAACTGAATAATAATGATCAACAAAAGAATATTAAATTAAATTAATAAATTGAAGTATAAAATAAATAAGAATCACAATTAATTAATGTAATAAAAAATGAAGAAGAAACAGAAGAAAAAAACAGTTTAATTTAATAAGAAATTAAAAATAGCCAAGAATATGGAGAGAATGATAGAAATTAGAATTAGGACTTATCGAATGAGGAAGAACAACTACCTAAAGAAGACAAAAATCCTTTATCAGATGTTCAAAATAGTGATCCAGATTAAAAGATGATTGATTCGTAAGAATTAAGAAAATAAAGTTAACCTGATTTATAATAATTTTGAATTTAAATAATGGATAACCGATTAGAAAGAAATGTAAACAAACTTATTGATCGATACAAAAAAACAACTTAATAGATTGATTAAATTATGTAATATGAATCAAGTCTTTAACAGCCAGCTACATATTTAATAGGAAGATCTAGACCATCTAAAATTAATGAGGATGAGTAAACAATTCTTTCTTTATTTAGTGAGGATTCTTCTAGAGAAAGACGGGGATAAAGTACTTCACTTGAATAAATAAGTAGATTAAGAGAAACTTTAAATGCAAAGGAACTCTAAGAAAAAGAAAAATATGAAAGAGTTAGAATATTAAATTAAGAATTAAAAGTACATTTTTTATTTTATCAGATCACTCTTAAAGACTATATGAATATAAACAAAGAACTTGAAAATAAATTACAGCTTAAAGAAAAACAAATTAAATCTTTTGAATAAGAAAATAGATTGTTATAAGATTAATTAAATAAAGGAGATTTTAGCAATAAAGAAGCAAAAGGTAAATTTGATAATCAAGAGAAAAATCTTGAATCATTATAATAATAAAATCATGTTCTCCGCTTAAAATTACAAGATAAGAAGTAAAAATTAGTTTCTTACAGAGAATAATTGAAATAAGCAGAAAATGTATTTGAATAACAAGGATAAAGTTTTGGAAAAGAACTTGAAAGAGTTTAATAATTATGTGAAGAATTCTCTAATGAAATGTAATCCTAAATATTAATATTATTAGAAAAAATCAAGAATAATAAAATACAGAATTGTAAGCAGAATTAGACCAATCTAAAAATGAATTAGTTAATAAAGAAGAATAATTAAGATATTTTGAATAGTTATTTTAAGATATGCATTAAAGAGATAATGATCAATAATAATAAATTTAATATTTGAATCAACAACTAGATTATTATAAATAATAGTTAGATCAAGCTAATTATAAATGTGAAGAAATACAAAATTAACTTTTACAATCTGAAAACCATCAATAGCGTCTATTATCAAATTAATAAGCAGATATTGAAAAAAAATTATCACAGTAATAGACTCTTTTCGATAAAAAAAAATAAAAAATTTGTAATTAAAAAGTCCTTATTGATATTTTGAACACCAAAATTTAGGAGTGTCAAAGAAAACTTGAAAATGAAGAAAAAAATAGTAATATTTATAAATAAGACCAAAAAAAATTATAAGATATTAATAATGAAATGAATACATTTATTGAAAATTTATAAGTTAAGTTACAGAATGCAGAAAATAAAATCTTAGATTTAAATTAAGAGATTTAAGATCAGAAATCTGTATTCTAATAAAAAAAAATGAAATCTGAAGAACTCGAATTAATTACAAGATAAGATTTTCGAACTATAGAATAAGTAATGAATTAAACTATTTTAAGCTAAAACATTAAGTTTTAAGTTTATAAGAATAATTAAAAATGTCTTAATAAGATAATAGAGAATTAGAGAACATACTACAATTAAAATAACATGAAAATGATTAAACTATGGATGAAATTGAAATTAAGATAGATTAACTAGTCAAATCATTAACTTCCTCAAAAGATGAAATAAAAGTATGTAAAGTTCGTGAAAATGAATATAAGTAAAAAATAAAACTTTAAGATGAAGAAATCTTAAAGTTAACATAAAAATCAACAAAATTAAAATAATAAGTTGAATAAAGTTCATATTCATTAAAACAAGTAAAGAAAAATTTATCATACTATTATAGATAGAAGAAAAAGTTAAATTTTATGAAAATGAAAGAGAAATTAAGTAGCGATAAGAGACATAAGTGAAACAAGATCAAGCTACCACATAAAATAAGTTAAGAGTTTTAGATGATATTCATTCTTTAATCAAGATGCATAAGAAATTTTGATTAAAGATTTTTTATTTTATTTAGACTATTTTTATTTTTAATTTATTAACATTTATTAATTGCTAATTATTAGTATTACCTTATTCTTATATAATACTTAATATAGAAAAAATATTCATGTTAAATTCAAACGATATTATTTTTAAAACAAAAATATTGTGAGCTCTGCAAAATTATTGTTCTATTGAGAGATCTTATTTTTTGATAATTATTTATTTTGACAAAATTTTATTATCAATAGGAAGTTAAATTGAATTTTTTAAATTATAAAATTTGATTATTAGAGTAATTTATTTCATAAATATAATTTATAAAAATTGTAAAATAAAAATTAAAAAGAAAAAAACTAATTTATTTTTTTGACCTTCTTTTCAAAACAAAATTGCAGATCAAGAATAAGTCAATATATATGATAATTATATAAGTTTAAAATTATAAAAATTATTAAAACATAATTAGAATAGAAGGGATTTTTATAAATAAATATATATTAAGTGATTAAATGTATCACTAAAAAGAAAATATATTTTGGGTGTTTCTACTAATAATTTTTTCATTCAATTATTAATATTGAAGTTTAAGGATCTATGATTCCTTTTATCTTTGGGCTATTTCAATTTCTAATTTATTCAAATCTACATTAGAATGTAAATGATATCTATTGCTTTTGCTATCAGATTGAGATAAGTTTTTTTCAACTTTATTTATATCCAATGTTTAGACTTTATGTTATTATGAAGTTTATCTTATTTTATTTTATTTTTCATATTAGATTAATTATTAAATAAAACCGTAATTAGGCTTAACTTAAGGTCTTTTTTAAACGACAAAATTTAATGCAGTTTAAAATCCCCATTAAAATTTAAACATCAAATAAGCTATAATAACTGATGCACTTCTAGAAATACCAGCAAAGCAATGTACCATAACATTTGTATGTTACCGGTGTTTTTCAATAAATTGGTTTGTTTGTGGAAAATAATCTTAGATGTTTTGTTAAGTACAATCAGGAATATTAATGACTTCATGTATTATATAAGCAGAAGCGTCAATTTTAGGCTCATCAATAATACTTAATAAAGCTCCAATTTGTAAGGATTTTAAAAGATCTAAGCTAAGTGCACAATCAATGTCTGCTAAATATAAACCTGAACTTAAAATTAAATAAAAATATTACATGTAAACATTATTTTTGATAATAGGTTCTAGGATGCAATCCCATTTGTTTAATTTTTGTGTCATTAACAGACAAAATATTTTAATTTATAAAATATAATAATAGTCGTGAACGGTGATCATATTTATTTAACATTAATAACTATGTCATCCTGATTTAATTCATTATGGGTTTAGAATGATAGTTGATTGTCTTTGTCTTTTTCAAGATTTGGAACAATAGTAGCTTATTCATTAATACTTTTTTTAGGGAAGACTAAAATTTGATTTGGATGTCTATAACAAGTAAATCTAGAATAAAAAGATAGTAAATACTATTTATTATAAGATTTGCCTTTTTCTTTTAATTAAACATGAAGGAGAACTCGTCCAATTTGATAGAGAACTTTTTATGGAGATTATAATTCATATTTAAGTAATTTACCAGATGAGGCATGTAATAATGTTCCAAATTTAGAGTTATTATCTTAGAGAAGTAATTTGTATTAATTATATTCTGATTTAATTACTTTGATAAGAGCATGATTTCTTGAAACCGAGATATCTTTTAATTTGATATCACAATCAGGGACTCTTCCGATTTTAATATCTTATTTATCAATTAATTCCATGACTTAAATGATACCTTCTTTAGATTTATCATCAGATGTTATTTTCCAAATCATATATGGAACAATAGGTTTTTAAATTTACATTATACAAAATATTTAGCCTTAGTAGGTATAAGTACTTTGTAATGGCATTTTACAGACTTCACATTCCATTTTTTTCCAAATATATTATATAGAAGATTGCTGATTTTTAATTTTAATTGATTACTGAATCCAAATTTATAAACAATTAAGATGAACATATTTCATAGAACCAATACCTAAAATAATTAATAATGAAGATTATTACATTTACAAGGACTAAAGAGAGGATTAGACAAAGAACCATTTTTAGANTAAGCAGAAGCGTCAATTTTAGGCTCATCAATAATACTTAATAAAGCTCCAATTTGTAAGGATTTTAAAAGATCTAAGCTAAGTGCACAATCAATGTCTGCTAAATATAAACCTGAACTTAAAATTAAATAAAAATATTACATGTAAACATTATTTTTGATAATAGGTTCTAGGATGCAATCCCATTTGTTTAATTTTTGTGTCATTAACAGACAAAATATTTTAATTTATAAAATATAATAATAGTCGTGAACGGTGATCATATTTATTTAACATTAATAACTATGTCATCCTGATTTAATTCATTATGGGTTTAGAATGATAGTTGATTGTCTTTGTCTTTTTCAAGATTTGGAACAATAGTAGCTTATTCATTAATACTTTTTTTAGGGAAGACTAAAATTTGATTTGGATGTCTATAACAAGTAAATCTAGAATAAAAAGATAGTAAATACTATTTATTATAAGATTTGCCTTTTTCTTTTAATTAAACATGAAGGAGAACTCGTCCAATTTGATAGAGAACTTTTTATGGAGATTATAATTCATATTTAAGTAATTTACCAGATGAGGCATGTAATAATGTTCCAAATTTAGAGTTATTATCTTAGAGAAGTAATTTGTATTAATTATATTCTGATTTAATTACTTTGATAAGAGCATGATTTCTTGAAACCGAGATATCTTTTAATTTGATATCACAATCAGGGACTCTTCCGATTTTAATATCTTATTTATCAATTAATTCCATGACTTAAATGATACCTTCTTTAGATTTATCATCAGATGTTATTTTCCAAATCATATATGGAACAATAGGTTTTTAAATTTACATTATACAAAATATTTAGCCTTAGTAGGTATAAGTACTTTGTAATGGCATTTTACAGACTTCACATTCCATTTTTTTCCAAATATATTATATAGAAGATTGCTGATTTTTAATTTTAATTGATTACTGAATCCAAATTTATAAACAATTAAGATGAACATATTTCATAGAACCAATACCTAAAATAATTAATAATGAAGATTATTACATTTACAAGGACTAAAGAGAGGATTAGACAAAGAACCATTTTTAGAAAAACAAATTCTACATTAACTAGCTTCCAATTCTAAATCTTTAGACTATAATTCATCATCATTTTCTATTTATTCTTTTTATTATTAAAGAGTATCAATATCATGATTAATTTCAAGTAGTTATAATTTCATTCTTCCTAATTTAATCATATCACCTTTTTAAAGTTCCCATTCCTTTTATATAAATTTATTTATTTATTACATTTAATGATTCAAAATCAGGTCTATTACATAATATAGCCCAAACTCTTTAATCTGATTTTTGACTCATTCCAGATAACATCATATATTCTTATTCACAATCTACTCTTAGTAATTGGATCTATTTATTTACATATTCCTGTTTTATATTTTTGAGAATTTTATACATTATCTGTTAATGCAATTATTTAATTGTCCACCATTGAAAGTGTTCCTAATTATCTAACTCATAACTACCTGAAAAATCTAATTCTATTTCTTTTTTTGTTACCTAATTACTCTCAAAATCAAATAAATTATGACTTTCCTTATTCCAAATAAATGCAGTTATACATACTCTATCAAAAAAATCATTTATTTATTTACTTATAGGGTACTATTTATACATTTTCATCCACTTTTCTTTTTGATGTGCATATCCCCATTATAATACTAATAAATATTAATAATAATTAAATGTTATAATAATCACAATAAATTGATTACTTATATATTCCAACTAGTAAGAATTTATAATAATTACTCAAATCATCAACCTTCTGGACTATTGGTAATATATAAGCTACTCATTTAATCAAATCATAATTGCTTGTTAGAACAAAGAATAGGAATTATGAGTTTGCTTTAACTAATAATGGCTATTTTATTAAATTTGGGACTCGTAACACTAAATATTGTGATTTGTTGAATAATATTTATATTCTTACTTATACAGATTAGTATTTTACTATTCGATCTCATGACAGATCCAAAGAATACTAAAGTATTAATTAGAAGCAAACAAAGATCTGGATAGAGTATTTAACTAAGTTTTGTATCATTAGAGGAGAAGTCTATAAAAGATTTAAGTTTGTCAATTAAATTAGTAATGGAAATTATTCGAAAGTATAACTAATTTAATTATTTATTATTAGGGATACTTAATAGAGAACAACAAAAATCAATAATATGTTTGTAAATCATTTTAAAAGGTAGATTTACAGAGTGTTATTAAACTTAGAGATTCTGTAATTGGTGAAATATTATTATTAAGGTAAGTAAATCATCCAAATATTATTAAACTTTTTGAAATTCATGAAGATTTTAAAAATATCTATTTGATTTATGAATGGGCAAAAGGTGAATTGTTTTAAGAATTTTAGAAAACAAAAACAAATAAATCTCGTTTTACTGAACAATAAGTCAGTCATATAATGAGATAAATCTTTTTAGGTTTAAGTCATATTCATTCTTTAAATATTATACATAGAGATATTAAATTAGAAAATATTTTACTTAAAGATTAAAGTTCTATTCTCATTGCTGATTTTAGTTTAGCAGCAAAAAAACTAACAAAGTTTGAATATAAAAAATATGGGACACCTGGTTATATAGCCCCAGAAGTTTTGAATATGAAAGTTTATAATGAAAAAATTGATGTTTTTAGTGCTGGTGTTGTTGCTTATATTTTATTAACATAAAAACCAGTATTTTCAGGATCAACAATTAGTGCTATTTTAAATTAAAATACAGCAGGAAAAATTGATTTTGATAATCCAGCATTTATCAATCTAAGCAAAGATGCCTAATTTTTCTTAAGGAAAGTATTATCATTACAAGAAGAATAACGTCCTTCTGCATTTGATTGTTTAGAGTCCTCATTTCTTAAAAATTCATTCTAATTAAATTAAATTGGAAGCCCAATTAAACCTAATTTAGATGTATATTTTATATCAAATTAATAGATTAGATTAAGCTATTTAAGTTCTAGTGTATTACCTCAATAGATTAATCTATCAAAAGCTAAAAGAAAATCAATGAGGCAATATATTTTATTAAAATAAGCTATTATTACTGAAAAATAAAAATCATTATTAATGCAATAAATAGCTGAATAATAAAATGAAGAAGAAGATAGTGAATAATTAATAGTTTAAGAAAGTGTCAAAAATGTATTTAATTATATTCATATTTATAGATAGCTGGATCCTTTTATACAGAAAAATAGTAGGAAAATACAAAACATAATGATTCAGATGAAGATTCTTCAGGTGAAAGTATGAATGGATCATCCTCTGGAAGTGAAGATGATTCTAATTTATTTCTAGAGGAAGATGCATATTAAAATTTATCATCCAAAATAACATAATTAGGTGGTTTATAAATTAAAATTAAAAGATGAATTTAATTTGATAATTTTATTGTTTTTATGTGTATAAATATTTACTTATTTAAATCTATGTATAAGAATCTTATAAAACTAAATTACTTCATTAAATTATAAATGAAATCATAACTTTTTCTTCTTTTTTTTCATTAAATTTACCATATTTTTTTCCCAATTTGGAGGCAATTTTGGTTATTATTTTTCATTATCAGGAAGATTAGTCATTGCACATTCTAATCTCTTTTCAAAATCCTTAATTTCATCAATTCCTTATTCGCATTAACTATATGTAAGCCAATTAGTCATTAAGTCTTAGTGAGTTGTAATTTTTGGTTTAAAGTATTAGAAGATTTAAGAACAAAATAGTGGTTCAATCGCTTGATTAAATTTATAGATTCTGCATATATCTCTTAATACTAAATTGATCTTATTGTCTTGAAATATTCTATCCTAAAATCTTTGTCGATGATATTCTTGAATCTAATAATAATAGTAATAATTACTTTAAAACTATTGCTTATTTGTTAATACTTCCCTAATTCTAATGCAATATTTTAGATTCTCATCCAATGACCATTCACTTACTCTAAATAAAATTTTGCAGAATCATAATCATTATAACTATATGAGTATAAATTGTTTTGTACTGTCTAATTGTTAACAAATTATTACATCTAAATAATTTTATACATATAGTTCCATCAGCCCATTGAGTTCATCGTAAGGGCATTAATCTATTTTATCTTTCACATTTTCATAGCATTCACCTTAAAAGTATAGCTCTTTAAATGCTTAATTTACTTAATCCATTTATAATATTAAAGTAATAATGAAATCTCAAGGGAGAATACTATTAGATAAAATGACTTGTTGTTAATTAAAGATTAGGTAGAATTAAAGACAATCAAGCTAATTTAAGTTAATGATTTTAAGATATCATTGGAGCTTAGCAATCAATAAGCTTCAAAAAATAATAATTAAAAGATGTTAGTAGCCCTTAATAAATCTTTAGGAAGAAACAATTCATATGAAAAAATCTAGATCATAATAGCCAAGTCTACTGTTTATGAATAAAGGTTTTTAACATCTTCGATATTATTCTTAAAATAATTAGGCTTAAATAAAATCTTAAAGTGAAGAAGAAATATCTCCAAAAAGATAAGAAGAACTTGAATTCACTTAAAAGAATAACAACATAAATAAGAAAGAAGAAAAAGGTTAAATTGTGCAAATTTAAAACAATTTTAAAGAATCAGCACATTTTCATACAGAAAGTAGTCTTGATAAATTAAAATTTTATGAAGAATTTTTGGATTTGTTTTAAAAATAGAAGGAAGCATCTCATTTCGGTTATTTATGTAATTTCGAAATTAAGTTTAGCTTAAGAAAAAGCAAAAGAATAAGAAATGCTGAAAAAAAAAATAATAGATAGTAGACCTAGTAAACCTTTATCAGATATAAAAATATTTTTATCACTTATAAAGAAACCTCATGTAGATATTGAACAAAGTAAACCAAAATAATAATAAGAATTTGTACTGCATTTAATTTTTGGAATATTTTTCTTGATTATAGTGAGTATATATCTAGTAATGTGATAATAATAATTAATATAGATATGTAATTATAATAATTATATAGTGATGTATTTGTAATCATTAAAGAATAAATAAAACAATAATGAAAAGTATATTAAATCAATCATTTTTTAATGAATTAAAGATTAGCTGGATTGTGTGTTTGAATTGATAGAAAATACTCATAGGCTTCTTCTAATTCTTTTTCTGCAGTAATTTTGAATTATCCATGCTAATCAATAATAATATCAAGAATAAGAAATTTGTTTAGATATTTAATACATCTAGTTAATTGATTGAATTGGAATCCAAAAACCAATTCTGTAAATGGTTTATAAATATGTTGAAAATCTAAAATATCTCTATCTTAGAGTTTGTTTTCAACTATTCTTTGATAAGTACAACCAGAATATTGCTTAAGTAAGACCAAATAAAGAAGAGAAGCAACAATTTCTCTATTAGAAAATTGATACAATTTGACATCTAATATAGCACAATCAAGGAAGGCCATATAATGTCGAAATAAAGTGTAAGAACTCTATGTAGGTTATTTAATTTAAAGTTTAGGTTAAGGATAGTAAATATCCCATTAAGATAAATACCAAGTACTCCAAAGATAAAGAGTTGGTGGATTAATAAGCCATTTCAATTCTGTAAGTATATGTTATTCTTTTTCAAGGATTTATTATTCAGTAAAACTATAATTACTAGCTTAAGAGAAATCATTAATTTTTGGAGGGTAGATTTCCTAACATAAATATAGAATTTACTTCTATTTTACATGCTATAGATAGACTAGCTAAACCAAATAATTAAAGTTCTTATTTAGAGATTTAAACTTTAGACATATATCTATCTAGATTATGTACACAAAGATGAAATGTTTCTCTTTTCAAAGTGAATTCTTTACAAACTTCACTAATCCAATCAAATAAAATTGATCTCATTATTGGTGTAATATTAGTTTAATGTTCAAAAAATGATGGATGTATTTTATATTCTAATTCTTTTTAATAAAGTAATCTAAGAGTAAATTCATCAAAAATGCTTTCTTGTTTATCATTAATTTCTATTTATTCTTCACAGACAATGTCTATTTTTTTTAATTTAGTCCTCTATTATTGAGTTGTTCTTTTAATAAGTTAGCTAATTTATTTTCTAATGTCTTCTGTATTTGTATTCTATGGAGTTTTTTACTTCTATGTTTCATTAATATTAATATTTTCTTTATTCTTGAAAGTTCCAATAGAAGCCTTTCTTATTGTGACTTACTTAGGTGATGGATCTATAAGAGCAATGGCACTTAAATTCTTTCTTCTTGCATCTTATATAATTAATCGACTTTGTAGTGGTTGCTTCATTCAAATTTAAATAACGAAAATAAACATAATTTACTTATATATTTATATTAATCACTCAGATTCAATTATCCTTCTCTCTCCAAATGAATCTCTTGATCTTTACAATATCATCAAATCAATAAACCAATCTAAATACAATATTTATTCAAACTACCTTAATCAACTAAATCAATTATATTAATCAAAAGAGTATAAGTATGTTTCACATATTTTAATGTTATTTCTATATACATTATTAACCATATATTTAGATTTATCTAGCTAATTTATTTTTTTGACAATATGATTTATCCTTCTTCTTATTACTACTTCTTTTAAACTAAAATTATATTTTTACTGAATTTAATTCTAAATCATTTATTAAATTATTATATTGTATTATTTTAAGTGTAATTCTAAACTTAGATTTATTTATAACAATATTACATAAATACATAATATCTCAAATTGAATTTAATAATTTCAATATTCTAATTCTACTTTTAATTAAATGTCTACTCTCACATGACTTTTTGATGCAAATATTGGTGTTTCCTCATTTTTCCTTACATTTTCGTCTACTCTTGTTTCTGGTTAATAACCATTTGTTATTGAACTCCCATAAGAATCCAAATATTTGAATTTCTTTATTCTCAAAACCTTCATCTTTAAAGAATCTGCCACCTATTTTGCTTTCCTTTTTGCATCTTCAATTGCCTGATTTAATGCTTCATCATTTGCTTAATCTATTTCCTCTGCTTTATTCTAATATGTTATTCCATCTATTATATTCAATCCTGCATTAACTCCTATTGTTATTATTTTACCAATCATTTATAAATCTCTTGTTATTACATATAACTAATTTCTAACTTTGTATCCTTACAATTATTACTCATTATCTTTGTATTAAATTTCTAATTCAAACATCCCTGTTTCAATTTCATAATTTGAATATCCCAATTCATTTTTTATTTATTAAACAGCATTCATCACTAAATTATTTGCTTAATCAAGTGCTTCACTTGCATCCTTATCCAATATTTCTATTGTAAAACTTACTGTTCCTATCGATGGTAATAAATCTACTGTTCCTGATCCAGGAATTGTTATTGTGAATCCCTTACTATTATTCTAACTTTTCATTATTTACTATTTCTCACACCATATTTATTCTTTACGTATACTTTTCCCGTAAATTTACAACAATCCAACTAATATTATTAGCATCTAATTTTTAATTCAAATTATAATTTTACATTTTATATTATTTAACAGTTTAAAAATTATTATATATTTTTCATAATTGCTACATAAGCTTTACAAAATTTTCTTTGTTAATCATTCCTTATTAATCAGAATCACATTTTTTTAGTACTTCTTCCCAATGAGTTTCATCTATTATTATTCCCCCTAAAACTTCCTCGAGATTTTACTTTTTGATTAAACCATCATTATCCAGATCAAATTATTTAAAAGCTTCTTCTAATTTGTGAGTTTTGGCTGACAATTCTTCCTTTATCATTATACTTAGAAAAGCATTGTATTCAATAGATCCAGTTTTATTAAAATCACACTATTCCATAATATTATCTACTTATTTTTCAATTTCAGTTTCATCTAATTTAGATTATTTCAAACCAAAGATTAAATCTTCTCTATTAATCCTACCATCTCCATCTTTATCTAATGATTAAAAGTTTCCTAAAATCTTCTCCTTATCTTCAGGTGTTAGAACTTGATAAGTTATAAATTATCTAATTAATTCTTATATAATATGAGATTACTAAAAATAGATTTTATTTAAATTACATAAAATTTTTATAAACGAGTTAAAGCCCTAGAATCAATAGTATTACTTATATGTCCTTATAGCCAAGGATCTAAATATGCTTCTTCTGCTGATAATCGCTTATCTGGATTATAAGTCATAAGCTTCTTAACAAATGTCTTAGCTTCTGATGATATATTTGCCCAATCATTTTTATCGAAACTCCATTTATTACATTCAATCAATATTTGAGTAGTTCTTGCATCATTTCCATTAAAAGGTAGATATCCACATAATAATGTATATAAAATCACTCCACATGACCAAATATCACATTTTTCTGTATATTACTATTTAAAAACTTCTGGTGCAGTGTAATGTGGCTATTAAAATATTAAATTTTATTATTACAGTTCCTAATTTAGATGTAAGATATTTTTCTTAAATGATCTTTCTAGAAGTGCCAAAATCTATAACTTTTAAAATCGGTTTATCTGTGTCCACATTGAGCATAAGGTTCTCTAACTTTAAATCACGGTGAACTATCTTTGCTTTATGACAATATTGCAATGCAGATAAAAGTTATCTCATATAAAATGCAGCTTCTGCTTCAGAGAAAGTATTTTATGATTGGATTTTTTTAATAAGTTCTCCTCCTTGTATAAGTCTAAATATTAATGAAATTTAAAATACTCAGTAATTAAATAGTAGTTTTAGGCATCTTCAAATAGTTCAAAAAGTTTAACTATATTTGGATGGTCTAATTTTCGAAGTATGTTAACTTCTGCAAACATCTTTTCTTTTTCTTCATTTATAATCTTTTTCTTGGCTAATGTTTTTAATGCCCTGATTTATCCACTCTATTTATGAGTTGCTTTGATAACTTATCCAAATGCTCCAACTCCAAGAACATCACCCAAAATATAATAATTGTCAATCTAACCATTTTTTAGATTTATATAAAGATCAGTTCCATATTTAAAACTATTACCTGTGTGTCTACGACCAGGACTGCTTGGCCAATGTTTAGGCTTTAAAGCCAAGTCGTCTTTTTGTTTTTTAGATGCACAAATTCCCATTTTGTAATAAATAAAATTATAATACGCATTATTAATCATTTTTATTAGTTTTTACGCTGTGTTTTTCTAAGAGTTGAATCTAATTCTTTTTTTCTTATTCTAAGATCTTTTGGAGTAACTTCTACTAATTCATCATCCCTAATGTAAGCTATAACATCTTCAAGACTAAATATTTTAGGAGGGAATAAACTAATTTTTTCATCAGCTAATACTGTTCTAACATTTGTTAACTTCTTTTCTCTTATAGGATTAACTTCAATATCTTATTCTAATTTATGTTCTCCTATTACTTACCCTACATAAACTTTGGATCCTGGTTTTACAAATAATGGTCCAAACTTTTAAATATCTTCAAGAGCATAACCTTAACAAATTCCTGCAGCCATTGAGATTATTGCTCCTTTTAAATTCTTTTTTAAAGTTCCTCTATATTCTTGATATCCTAAAAATTATTATTACATTATAGCAGTTCCTCTAGTATCATTTATTAATTCCGCTCTTAAACCAACAAGACCTCTAGTAGGAGCTGAGAATATTAGTTTTACTCGAGTTTTGTCAATATTTATACAATCTTCATAAATAGCTTTTCTTTATGACATTTTATCAATCAAACCAGTCATATATTATTAATCAATTTCAATAGAAACTTTTTCTATTGGTTCTAATGTTTTTCCACTATCTACACATTTCTTAGTCACTATTTAAGGAGGTGAAACTTACATCTCAAATCCTTCTCTTCTCATGTTTTCAAGCAATATAGCAAGATGAAGATCACCTCTTCCTAACAATTATACACAAGCACTCTCATCAGATTTATCCTTAACTAAAACTTATAATGCAACATCGCTTTATCCTTCTTTTAATAATCTATCCTTAATTTATTAAGCATTTAATTTGGTTCCTTCCTTACCTGCCAAAGGACCAGTATTAACTCCAATAGATACTGAAATCATTGGTGGATCAATAGGAATGGATGGTATAACTTCATTTTTACCCATTTCATTTAAAGTATTAGTTACAATAGCATTATTAAATCCAGCTACTTATACAATATCACCAGCTACTGCTCTTGCCATTTCTAATTATTACATTCCATATCTTCTTAAAATTTTTAAAACTTTAGCAGTTTCAACTAATTTTCCAAATTAATCTACTGCTAAGATTTTATCATTAAGTTTAACTTCTCCTTGATGTATTTTTCCAATTAATATTTTACCATAATAAGGATGACTTTCTTATTAAGATACTAACATTTTGAAATTGGTTTCATTTCCAATTTATGGTGGTGGAATAGTTTCTACAATAGTTTCTAAAACATCTTCTAATCCTTATTTATCTGCTTCCATTGATCCTTTTCTTACCCAACCTTCTTTACCAGAACAAAAGTATAATGGATAATCAAGTGATTCACTAGGAGCTTCTAAATCGCAAAATAAATTAAAGATTTCATGTTCAACCTCTACAGGTCTAGCTGAAGGTCTATCTACCTTATTAATAATAACAATAGGTTTTAAATTAGATTATAAAGCCTTTTGTAATACAAATCTAGTTTATGCCATAGGTCCTTCAGTTGCGCATACTAATAAACATACGCCATCAACCATTGACATAATTCTCTCTACTTCTCCTCCAAAATCTTAATGTCCTGGAGTATCTACAATATTTATTTTGTTTCCTCCAAAAGTAACACCTGTCACTTTAGATAGAATAGTAATTCCTTTTTCTTTTTCTAACGCATTGCTATCCATTGAATCATATTCATTTGCACAACCACTTGCTCTTAACAAAGCATCCACAAGTGTCTTTTCAAATTTATATCAATTATATACTGTTTTTCCATGGTCAACATGAGCTATGATGGCCACATTTCTAAAAATGTCTCTTGACTCTGAATGCAAAATTTTTAATATTTCCTACACTTATCTATATATAATTATACATCTTTTGGAGCAACTTCAACAGAACTAGAAAACAATCTTACTGGAACTCTATGGAAAATTGAACTAAACTATCTCAGTGTCCTTAGCATTAAATTTAGCACCACTAATAAATTTATTTTGCTAATCAATCACAATACTTGAGATGATTTATATATATAAATATTACATTATATAAATTATTTAATCATTTTAACAGAAAGTATGCTTTGGAAGCAATTCTCAAGGAGATCAATTTCACCATAGAATAAAGAGAACTTAAATTAACAAGTTGTACATATTTTGTTATCAAAGAGGTTATAACTAGAAGGAGAGATAGCAAAATTTCAAATCGATACCACGATAACTCTTCACAACTTACAATCATTGAAAATTATCAAATACCAAAATAACTAAAAGTGAAAGCGTTGGATCCTCTATTTGATGAGACTTTATGGAAATGTAATTAATAAGATCTAACTTTAAAACTATTTAAAGAATCAATAATTGATAAAACAGCAGCATTTAAAGAAATATATATAGTAGGAAAATAAATTGGCTCTGGATCCTATGCAAGTGTTAGATTATGCGCTGATAAATTAACACTTAAATCATATGCCCTTAAGATTTACAACAAATCTGGTATCTCTTCTAGTCGTTAAAAATCTATTCTTCGTGAAATTCGTATACTTTAAATGGTTAAACATCCAAACATTATTAATGTTTACAATGTCATTGAAACTAATAATCATATAAATTTACTTTTGGAATATATTGATGGAAAATAATTAAATACTTTAAAAGGTTATAATTTAAAATAAGCTTTATATTAAATTGCATCAGCTTTAAATTATTTACATGCTCGACATATTACTCATAGAGATGTCAAAATTGAAAACATACTTTATTCGGATGGCTAAGTCAAATTAATCGATTTTGGCTTTTCCACTCTTTTTTCTAATACAATTAAAAAAAAGATTTATTGTGGTACTCCCAGTTATATGGCTCCAGAAATTGTTACTAAATAATACTATAAAGGACCTCCTGCTGATATTTGGGCTTTTGGAATTGTCATATTTTATTTGACTTAGGGTTATTTCCCTTTTAAAGGATAAAATGATAAAGAATTGTTTTAATTAATAATTTAATGTAAAATTAATTTCAATACCATTAACGATATTTACTTGCAAGATCTATTATATTAAATGTTATAGTTTGATCCTGAAGATCGTATTTCTGCAACTGAAGTAAATTTAAAATTTTTAATTATTAGATTCTCCTACATCCCTGGTTTCTTGAATAAATAAAACCAATTAAAAATAATTAATCCCAAAAATCAAGTTGTTCAAAAATACATTCCCCTAAATAAATAAATCCTTATTAATAATATTAATCAACAGTTAAAAAAAATGATAAAGCTTCAATAGAATATCAATTAGATCAATCTTAAGTTAGAAAAGCCATAGTCCAATCATATATGAGTTCTGTTGCATCCACTAAATCACCCATTTTGAGGAGAAGAGATTCAGGCAATCAAACATTTGATAGAAGCAGTAATTCTGTTATTAATTAATATAAATGAATAAAAATCCTATTCATAAATTATACAAATTTGTTAAGTTCCTTTTAATTATCATTAGAAAAAGAGAAATACCAAAATTTCCACTTCTCAAATCGTAATCTTTTAACTATAATAAGTTTCAAGAATAGAAATCAAAAAGACGAAACTCAAATTGCATAATGTCTATAAAAGTATAACTATTGTCGAGAAATGATATAAAAAGAAGGGTTTTAAAAATTTTTAAAGTTTTGTGAATTCTTATATCTAACAATTCGAAAACCTGGAGATACTTTACTAAAAAAAGGGGATTTAGGCTAAAAGTTTTATATAATTCTGAAAGGAACTGTGTCTTTAATTTATTACAATCCAAAAAATAAAAAAGCATAAAGATTATTATAGGATGAAAAAGTAATATGTTATAATAAATAATAGGATTGTAATCCAAACTATGAAGACACAACTTTATTTTAGAGTTATGTATTTAAAGAACTTCATGTAGGTGATCACTTTGGAGATTTAGCCTTAATTGATGAAGGAATAGTATCTTCAACGATTGTTTGTAAAACTGATTGTGAGTTTGCTTGCATGGATAAATAACATTTTTGGAAATTTGTAGGTAAAAATATTTCGTTGCTTGATAAAATTAAATTATTAAGACAATGTTCTCTTTTTGAGGCTTGGACAGATGGGGAACTTAGGGCCTTAAGTTTTGAATTTCATTTTCAAATATTTCATCATAATCAAATTGTATTTTCTTAAGGATCTGAAAATCTTAATATATATGTAGTTTCATGTGGATTTGCAGAATTAATGATGATTAAAAATGGACAATAATATTTAATATCCAGAATAGATTATGGCTAGGTTTTTGGAGATGATCTATAAATTAATTAAAGTACTGTTAAATGTGGATCTCCTAAATTAGAAGTCTATGCTATTTAAAAATGTAGTCAATTATATAATTGTAGAAATTATTTATAGATTCTTTGAATAAAGATTAGAACTTAAACATTTATATGAAGAATAATCGATCTAAAAAAGGATTTGGAGATCAAAACGATTAGAATAGTTAATTTAAATTGAATAAATTAGAATATAAAAAGAATAGCATTCAAAAAAGTCAAATTCTAATGATATTTAACAAATTAACAATATAAAAGAATTAAAAACGGTCTCTGTTTAAACTGGATGTATTAGAAGAATATCTAATTATGCTGATAATTTGGATTTTGAATAGAAATAGTTACAAAATAGGTAAATCCTAATAAAATTCAATAAAATATCTCCAAATTAAAGTGTGGAATATTTAGGAATAAATTAACAAAAGAAAAATAAAGACATAAAAAAAAAAGAATAATAAGAGTAATAATAAATGATGTCTACAGTCTCAAAATTATTGCAAGAATATCGTGCTATTGTTCATTAATCAAAACTCAAAAAAATTAAATCTTCAAGAAGCCTAAGCTAAAATTAATAAGTATCTTCATTGTAGTCTCCTAAATCAAGTAATGGAAATACTGGAATTAATTTTTTTATTACTCCAAGAAGAAGAAAACAATTTTTAGTATAAGGTATACCATTATAAAAATGATTATATAATAATAATGTCATAAAGTGATGAAAATGATTAATTCCAACAAATATTAAATTCACTTGAAATCAGCAAACGAAAGATGAGTATTTCTGTTCATCAGTCTAAATTATTGGAGGAATCAAAAAGTTTCATATCCATATTATAATTTGTTAGAATAATAAAGTAAAAGATTTACGATGGAGCTCCCAAAAAATATTGAAGCTTCCTAATCTCAAAAAGAAAGAATTATTACTAATCATCTTTTAAAAGATTTAGCCCCATTAGATAAATAGAATGATGAAAACCTCAAAACTCCCTTAGTACCACCAACAAATAAAATAAAAACCATCAAAAAAGGAATTTTATTATTAGGTTAAAAGTTTCATAAAGATTTGAGTTTCTATTTAAAAGCCCAGGAACCTTTAGACTTTTAAGAATTATAATAATCAAATGAATTGTTAATATAAAATGCCTTATGTGCTGGCAAGTATATTAATGATTATGGGCTATTTTGTGTCTTAAAGGAAGCCTTAAACAAAAAAAATATCAAAACTATCATTTAGTAAGATTGTATATTAGATGAAGATGGTAATTTTGCTGGGATTCCATAAAATACTAAATAATTCAGAAAGACATTGGGTTTATAGGATCTTCATTATTGTAGTGGAAAAATTTCTTTATTAAAATTTCATATAAATAATAGATTCAATTTAAGTAATTACTTATTTTGGTCAAGGGAAATCGATAAACTGGAAGGTATTCTTAAGGAAAATTTAATAAATTAAGAATAGCAAATATTAATGATAAGAATAGAAGAATCATATTTAGAATTTACTATCCCTGAATTTGATGATAATCAATCTCCATAATTTGTTCAAAAATTGAGGTAATAAAACTTTGATGTTTAAGTCTTACCATTAATTTCTCATTTTACATTTAGAATGTCTGATTTAAATCCTTGGATGAATAAAGAAATAAATAAAGAATGGAAATTATTTTCTCTTTAATGTGATCAATAATAATGTATTGGATATATTGATATGAATTAACCTACTATTTTTAATGAAATTCCTAGTCCAAAAACTTTGGCCATCAAACTTTATGGAGAAATTCATCAATATTAATTAGTTTTATAGATGAGTGAAAAATAAGTGATGGGAATCCTACTAAGAGACAAAGCATGACCCTTTAACTCTAACAAAAAGTTTGATTATTTTTATATTATTTTTAAATAAATAACAAAAAATGAATTATAATGAATAATAATATAGATTAATATTAATTAATGAATTCATTTTATCGATTTCTAGAGTGTTATTCGATTATTATAATCCATAAAGTTTTCTTTTAAATCTTATCTAGCAGATTAATCCATTTCATTCATCATTTATGTAATGTTTTCCCTTGAACTACGATGAACAGATTTACGAGCCAAGATTCTATTTTTGATTTCATCAATTTGCATTTAAGTTTTACTTGGAGGAGCCAATTATTATCTTAATTAAGCAATTATTTAATCTTTTTAATCAATTTCTTATTAGATTAATTATTTTTCTTCACTTATCAATTCGAAGGCTTGATTAAACTCTTCTGATTATTTTTCTAATTAATCTCTCAATTATTCGAAATCTTGAATCAGTAATTAATTTTAATGTTTACTCTATTATAATTCTAATTGTAATTTTCTTATCTACTCTAAAATAAATTAAAATTAGAATACATTTTAACTATTTATTTTCTTCTCTTAGATCAACATCGTCATATGAAATATTCTATGGAGTATAAGATCCTAAATCTTAGCGAACAACTTATTAGCTTCTATTAATAAACTATTATCTAGTTAATCTATCATCTTCTACTGACTTATTCTTTTATGACTGATTTATTTATTTTTGTAGTATTTATTGTAATCTTTAACCAGGGTTATGATTCTTATTTTATTAATACATCTCCAAATACGATGAATCCAAAGTATTATCATCTTTTAAGATAAATTTAGGTTAAGTAATAGTTTTCCTAGACACAGATGACTTGCGAGGGATCATAAAATTTAAAAATATTTCTAATTATTTTAACGTTATATATTAATTTATCATAATGTTTTTAGGAGTGTATTTGAAAATGCACATATTCCAAATGTTCCAGGTAATACATATACAAAAAATCTTTCACTCCTTAAAATATTGAAATTAAAGAATATTATCCAATAACAAACTAACCACATAATTGTCATTTACCCAAAAAACTTAGATCTTCAAATAGTAAGATATCTATACCCGAATAAATAAATCAATGAACTTAGAATTCCAAAAATAGAAAGGGCTTCTCTAATGAAATCAATTCTATTCAATATTTATAATAATGGGTTAAATAATCTTGCATTTTCTCTTGATATCCTTTCGAATCTTTCTTATGACCAAGGATCAAATAATAGTTAAAAGCTGATTGTTTGGACTGTTGTAAATATTAACAATTAAATGAGAAGATGCTATATTTTCATAAATAAAATTAATATATCCAATAACATAAATAAATAAAATTACAAAATAAAGAAATAGAAATTGTTACTATCAAATTGTTTCCTCAACAACCCAGATATCATGGCCAGGTTATTAGGTTACACAGACTTCCATGTGTCCTTTAAGAACTGCTTTATTTTTGGTTCCAGACAGATAGGAATTCGTGTGAGCATGCTTTATTCCTTATTTTTGTAAATTCAAATATTTACTAATTAGATTATTGCTATGTAATTTGCTAATTTATTTTGAATCATTAAGGATTTCTATGATCCAATAGTCATCTTCTGTTAAATCTTAAATAATATCTACACAAGAAACCTATTATAACTTTGATTTTGTCATGATGCCATTACTAGATCTTAGAATGCATTTTGTAATTTTATGTTAAATCTGAAAAAATTAAGAATTTAAATACTGCCACAACATCACCATCTTTTACAGGTTCATAATGATTTGTTAAAATTAACCATTCATCATAATCTGTCTTTTCAATTTCATTGCATTAGCTTACTTCATGTTATTTTAAACCTTTATCTTACTTAATAGCATGAGAATGCAATTTTCTTCCATTACTAATATTGATGAATTGCACTGCTATTCCTGATGTGATAGTATTACCCAAAGGTTTTACCTTAGATACTGCATTAGCTAAAGTTGATCTTTTCACTTGGTTTTCTTCCATTATTGTATATATGGAGTACAAAGAACTTTATTATAAATAAGACTCTTCTTCTATTATTACGCAATCTTTAATGTTAGGGTTTAATAATTTTGAGCTGTATGTTCTTATCATCGGTTATATTGTAGGTTTTTAAGAGTTTCTTTACATACTTCTTTATTCATCTCCTTCTTTAGTGACACATTAACCCATTTTGATTATAATAATATAATATATAATTTAAAAACTTATTATCACTTACATGTTTTTACTCGTTGAATGATTCTCTGAGGCTTTAATTATTAATTTAATTAATAAAAAATTTTGAATTGTGATTTGAGGTTTTTAAGGATAGAAAAAAGAAATAAAGTAATAATACAATAAAGATTAAAAATATTATTGGTTATGAAATTTAATAATTTCTGTTGAAATTATCCTAATCATAAAGAAGAACTCAAGAATTAGAAATGAATATAGAAATAGATGATGGGTGGTTTTAAATAATTTTATTTCTAAATTTTTATTAAAATTTTGATTATCCTTTATCTAAATAAAAAGATAGTTCATTAAAATCCATATCAATCAAATTGACTCAATTTATTGATTACGCTTAATATATTCAGATAATTAAATATTTAAAACAATCGATAAAAATCGAAATTTTAACTTGGAAAAATTTCTAATAAAGATAGAAAAATTTCCTCTAGATTATTTACCTACAAAAATAAAAATTTATTATCAAATCAATAAATTTGATGAAACTTAAATTAACGTCTATAGAAAATAAAGAGAGAAATCCATGTTTTTAAAGGAAAAATTTTTAATTTCAGTTTAAATCATATTGAATAAGAATTTTTAGAAAAGAAAAATTATAATAGATGGATAAAAGATATAGATATTTTTCCTAAACCTTTTTTTTTAAAATTAGGAATAGAAGAATTACCAAAGATTAAATAAAAGTTTGCATATTCATAAATATTCTTGATGATTAAAAAAAAAACAATTGGGTTACTTATCAATTCTAAAATGAGAATAATTTATACAAAAATTAATGTACCCAGAAAATCCCTTTTAACATAGATTAATAAAAAGTAAATTCTTTGAAAAACTTTAATATAAAATATCTGGGTTTATTGATTCTTAACATATTAAAAAAGTAAAAGATTTTGAAATATGTATTTAATTGAATTGCTTTTGATAAAACCGCTAAATTTTATTATTAATTTAATGAAATAGGAGATCTTTTAAAAGTTATGTTATAAAGTGAAGTTTTTAAATAAATGTCTTTAAAAAAACAATTAAAAATTTTAGATAGATTGAGTATCATTTATTTCCTCTAATAAGAGCTGAATTAATTTATAAATCAAATAAATCAAAAATTTACAAAGAGAAGAAGAAGAAAAATTATGTAAACTATAGGAATTAGTGGAATATAATAAGTAGCTAAAAAATAATTATCAATTTATTAACTAATATGCATATTAAATGAAATGTAATTTCAATCTAATATAAAAACAATGAAATCACATTTATTTTTTCTATAAATCAATGTATATTAATTTTTAATTAATTATAAATGAATAAGTCACTTAATGAAGATAATTGTCAAACTATTTAATTTGCAAGCTGTTAATTGTCTGATTAAAAAAATGAGTCATTTGAAAATAAGGATCACGAACTTTATATTCAATCAAGCAATAATAATAGAGAAACAGAATAGGAAACTAATTAAATAACAATTTAAGAATTTCGAGAAGAAAATAACTCTATACAACAAGAAGTACATTTACAATCTAAAGAAAATTATGAATCTATCTAAGAAATTTAATCTTAACAAAAAGAATAAGATAACGATAATATAGAAAATGAAAAAAATTACAAAGATTTAACTGACTTTTATTTGATCAATAATATAGATGATTTAGATAAATTAAGCAAAAATATTGAAGATTGTGTGCATTCCTTAAAAGAGAGTTTATTTTTTCATCATAAAATAATATTTAAAAGCAAATAATTTATTTTTTTGCAAGGATGTTTAGGAGAGAAAGACAACCAAATTTATATATAAATGACTATAATGGAGTATCCTGAAAATTTAGTTTTAATTTTAGGTATTAAACTTATTTAATAAAGATTAATCATTTACTATGAACAATATATGCTTATAATATAATAAAGAATTGAAAATAGGATCTATTTTTTATTGTAGCGAAACACACTAGGTTATTTATGAGATTAAAAATCTTAAGAGAGAATAAGCAAATAAGATTTTTATTTAGCATATACTGAACAGCGCAGAATAAAATTTCAATCGAATCTTTTTATAAATATAAAAATTAGGATTTAAAATTTAATGTGCTGATATTTCTACAATGTTAAATTTCTATGCAAATACAAAAAAATCTGAAAAAACTTCAAAGAATTAAAAGAATTCATATTTTTTAAAAATCAGTTATACGACAGGTGAATTAATGGATTAATCATTTGATCAAAATTTTCTTGATGCTCAATAATAAAACGATAATGCACCAACTTAAAGATCTCATGAGGAAAAATCAAAACTTTAAATAATTCCTTTAGGATATTTTATTCTCGATCATCTTTCTAGTTTAAATGATAAAGATTTAATAGATGTTGGTGGATTCCATAAAATTTATGAAATATCTATACCAATAGAGGAAAGGAAAACATTGAATTTGGCTTATAAAACTGGATCAAATGATAAATTAGAAAAAGAAATATAGTTTCTAAATTTATTACTGTCAAAAAGTTATTCAAAATACATTGTGCAAATATACATATATTAATAATTTAAAAATAATTATTATTTTATGGAAAATTGTCATTTCAAAAGTTTAAGAAATTATCAAAAAAAATATTAGCAGGTTATGTCTTTAAACTCAAAAATGAAAATTTTAAGGTAAATTGCAAAGGGCCTTTGTCATCTACATAAACGTTCAGTTTTTCATTTAGACATTAAACCAGATAATATTTTAGTATATATTAATATTATTTATTATTAGATAGATATAAATGGAAATGTTAAAATCTGCGATTTTGGAGAAGCTTATCATCCTAGTTATTAATATTAAAGAGATTCCATCAAATATTCAGTACCTTATAGCGCTCCAGAAATTTTATCACATCAATATTAAAACTTGTCAGCAAAAACTGATATTTTTTCTTTTGGTGTATTAGCGTATGAACTTTGTTTTGGAAAAATACCACTTGTATCAAATTATTTTTATTTAAAAGTATTTTTTGAATAAGGAAGAGTACTTAAAAAAATTCAAAAATAACCCATCATATGATATAGAAGATGAGAATTACGGTCTTTTAGAAGCTGGCCCAAGAACTGTAATTTATCATTTAATAGACTTAACATATTAATGTAATAAATTATTAGGATTTTAGGTTTAAAGAAGAAGGCAAGAGAAAGGCCTTCTATCTAATCTATATAGAATTATTTAAAATTCCTTAAATTAAAATATAGTTAAAAATTGGACGAACAAACCTTTGATTGAAATTAATAATTAATTTTATTCTCTTTATAAAGTTGATATATATGTATATAAAATCATTTTTATGAGAAACAAAAAAATTTATTTAATATTTTGAAGCCTCTAATTATAAAATAAAATTTTGCTTATCTGTTAATTGATTAATTGACATGCTTAATTTGATATAAGTTTAATAGAGTCAATCATCTTTTATAATCTATTTAGTTTCTCATTGATGTACGAGGGTAAGTATAAGCATAAAAATTGACTATTTATTTGAATATCAATCTGATTGAAATCTATTAGCCTATAGCAAAATAATTAAGAGATGAAGAACTAATTAAATGCAGAATTTAACAATTTATTTTATTTGCTTTAGAAAGGATATAATAAATGAGTATATTTTAAATATATCTGGGTGGAGCAAGTAGATTATATTGAGATTAAAGTCTATTGTATAATACATAATTACTTGGAATTAACAAATAGAGGGATAAATGATTTGATTTGATTTGACTTATTTTGGTGAATTTTATTCTTTTATATCTAAAAACTTTTTACTTACTTTTCTCTTCATTCCGATTAAATAGCTATCTAATTTAATATTATTATTTTCAGTTACTTCCTAAATCAAATTTTCGATAATTTATAATTTAGTTGTTCTTCAAATTTAAGTTTTCTTTCTATTATCAAACTTTAATTATGTCTGGTAATTTACTTCAAACTCATTTTGGTTTTTTTTGAAAACTTTGATAATTATAATTTTCTGACAGTTGAGATTGGCAGATGCTTTAGTGTAAGTCTAAAAAATAGATATTTAACCACTATGCTAAAGTATATAAAGTCATCAAATTTGAAAATCATAGAATAGTAGAAATAACAGATTCAGGAATTATAGAAGCCAAATAATAGATTTAGAAGTAGGATAAGTAAATAATTGAATAGATCTGACAGCAAGTTAAACAATTGATTAAAACTTTTAGCTTTTCTCTCAATAATGTTATGTTTGGAACTTTCTTAGTGATTTATATATCTTCAGTTTAGTACTCAGTCTTAAAAATATATTCTGTTTAATTTAAAATAGTTTATATACCAGCTAAACATAAGGTGTTTGGGATTGTCTTTAAAAGATTAAGCATCTGTTACTGTATAGCTTAAATTAGTAGGAAAAGATATTGAAATTGTAAAAATTTGTAAATAAGCTTTTTTTATTTAATTCAAATAAATTTATTAATTCATGTAAGCTTTTATTTAGATCTTTTTATTAGCTTTTTGCTCAAACAATTAATTTATTTGTTATATACTATATATTAAATGTAATTATTTATAATTTTTTGATGCAATATTAATCTGATTTGCACATAATATAAATATTTAAATTAAAAATTATGGCTGATGAATTAGCAGAATTCTATAAAGAGGTTTTAAAACTAATATCTCATTTATGCTTTGAGAATAAAATTACTGAAGATCAAAAATCAGAGTTTAAAAAGTTGATCATGGAAGATGAAGAATTTGTGGCTTAACTAAAAGAAGAATATGATATAGAGGGCTTGAACGGATTAGAAAATATCATAGTAGGGGACTCTATTTCAAATTCCAGTTTTAGGGATTTAATGGATTTTAATTAAGATAAAAGGAAAAGATCTTAATCGTTAACAATTTAAACAGACTCTTCGGATTGAGTCTCTTCTATAATTCTTAGGAGTTTTAGCATGATTTTGATTTATGTTTTATTTGTACATAAATAACCAAAATCAAAAAACCACAAGATTTAAAATAGGAGGTTTGATTTCCGAATATATTCTAATAATTTAATCTCATTCTTTTATACATTTTAGTTTGTTTCGAATTTACAAATGTACAGAGCAGAATTTATTGAAATTACAAGTCTCCCAAAATCGCAAAGGAACACAATTAAAAAAATTTTGCATTTTAAGCAGAGAATAATTAAGAAGTTTAAATTTTATATAAATTTCGGCTGGTTGTGAATTATTAATTTTAATTTACTATCTACGCTTTGATATTTTTTTCTATTAAAATTAAAATTTTTGTTTTTTCCAGAAAAAAGAAAGGGAGTTTAAAGTAAGATTCAATATTTACTAAATTTGCAAAATGTTTTTAATTAAATATTTTATATATTCTTAAAGTTGTTTTTAACATTAAAAATATAGATATCATGATAATATTCAATAATGATAAATAAAATTTTATGGAAGCAGATACATTATACAAATGTGTTTAGCTAATTTTTGCAAGTATAAATTAATGATGGAAGGATTAAATTAATCAAAAAAAGTTATTCAAGTAGCACAAGCAAAATAAAATATAGTAAATTTCAACCATATACACTCTTAAATTCAATATATGATGTTTTAATGCTAGGCCTATCAATTTTAAGATAACTTCTTTCACTGATTGTTGAATTAGGGCTGAATTAGGAAACTTTTTAGTTTAATCCATTTAAAGAATATTAAAAACCATTAACTTATTTATCATTAATGAACTCACCTTCAAAATAGCTTGAATTAGGATATATCAATTTGCCTTTTCCATGCATTTAAGAATTCATCCACTCACCTTCATATTTATATCCATCTGCAAAAGTATACACACCGTAACCATGAAATTGATCATTTTAAAATAAACCTTCATATTAATTACCATTTTTCCACTTCATAATACCAAACCCATTTTTCTTACCTTCTTTATATTCTCCTTCAAAGGTGGTACCATCTTTCCATAATTCTTTTCCTTTAACTGGTGTATTTTAACTCCAAATTCCTTCAAAACTCATTTCTTTATTCTTCAATATACCTTGACCATGATGAGAACCACATAAATATTCTCCTTCGTATTCTGAACCATCTGGATATATTTTTTTTCCATAAATATGAGGATTTAGATTTACACTATAACCAACATATATTGCTCCATCATTATAAACAAAAATACCAAAGCCATAAGGTTCAAATTTCTTCCATTAACCTTAATATATGAAACCTTCATATTTAAATGCTTTTTCAGACTTTGGATAATTTTAGCAAAATGCTGTTTCAGGAATCTAATTGATTTATACATTTGGAGCAACAAAATTTGTGCAAACTGGATCTTCAGGAATATTTTTATCTGGTGAAAAATCTTCATAGGTTTCTGCTACTTAAGAATAATAAGAAGGTAATGGTAACGTTTCATATAATTTTAGAGGCTGTAATATTCTTTATATTTGATAATCTTATTCTTGATTTACAGAATCGTAAATAGGGTTTCCTTCAATTGTTAATTATTTTGGTGATTCTAAACATTTACATTATCCCATTTTATTATTTATTAATATGATAAATAGATTTGATATACAAATTATTTCATGTTGTAGGACTTACCCTTGATTTTTTAATTACCTTAGGTCTAGCAGGTCCTAATTTTATATTATTATTTTACTTTTTTTTTTAGGTTTTTCTACAGGTTTATTTGGATCACTTAAATCCCTTTTATCCAAATATTTATTTACATAAAGAAAGGGAAAAAGTAAGAATCTCTTAAGCTTTTTAAATCCCCTGAATTTTTTTTATTTTTAAACTAATTTCTTTACAACCAAGTCAGCATTCCATTACCTATTAAAAACTTCATAATTTTTCAATATTTCAAATTCTTACATATCTGGCAAATCTTCTTTAAGATTTTAAATTTTCTTATACCAGAATTCTATTTATTCTTACTCTTTTTTTGGGAATAGAAGTAAATTATTCATTTTCTATCTGAGTTCATTAAAAAAGTTTAATTCTTAAATTTAAGTTATTTATTCTTCATATTCAATTTAGCCTTGTTTTGTAAATAATAACTTTTTAAGTTACTACTTTGTATTTACATTTTGATTTGTATTCATTTAACCATATTGTGACATTAAAAGCTATGGTTATAAAGGTTGAACTAACCGATTTAGTCTTTAATTTTTAATCTTATCTAAAATTTAATATTAAAGTAAATTTTTAGAAGAAATACAAGGAATTTATTTACTAACTCTTCCTGAGTTCAAATTTTATTATGAAAAACTCTAATCTTTAATTTCTTCAGGGTCTTCATTTTCAGATTCTGTTTAACTATCTTAACTTATAGGTTATTCTATTGTTGGAAAAAGGGTTTCTAAAGCTATTTAATTATCAGATTAAAATTTATGCACTGTTGATTCTATCATTTTTTAATTTAAATATGTATTTTAAAATTGAATTTTTTTAATTTAATTTTATCCATTGATAATATCCATCTCATTAATTGATAATTATCTGATTCTTCTCTCTTACTTTATTCTTTTTTTTTATTTTTTTCTATAAAGGTATCTTTTTAAAACAACTTCTCTGTTTGGAATAAAATGAACCAAAGAACATGATTATGTTGAATGTCTTTTGGCTTTACAAATAAAACAAAAATTAGAAATCCAAGATTAAGTAGTTAATAGATTATGATATTTTTAGTTTTCAAGATCATTCTAAGATAGAATTTTATGAAAATAAGAATATGGAATAGAAAGTACACTAGTAAAAGCATTACTTTTAAAAATAAAATTAGGATTGTATTATTAAGTTACAAATTCTTCAAGTCCAAAATAATCAAACCTCTCAAGTGTTTGTATAATTTTCTAAAGATAATTATGTAAAATTTAATACTTTCTTATATAATACTTCAACTTATCCTTATTCAATTATATGAATAAAAAATTCATCTTTTGATTAAATTGTAGCTCCTGGCTAGAAGATTTAAAAATTCACTTCTTCTAATAGCTAATTCAATATATCATCTGAAAAATTTTCACTAAAAAATGGACATTTATTTATTAAAGACTTAGCAGCTTCTAAACGAAGACTATGTTATAATTCTTCTGGAAGCATTGATATAATTTCTGATTATTCATTGACTTATTGAATGACTTCTTGCTTTAAATAAAAATATAATTATTCTCTAACTCTTTAATAAATTAAATATATAATTACTTAAATTGTAATGCTGGACTTATCTACTTGTTATGCATATATTAATTAATGGCTGTTAGTTTTGTTTTAATTTTATCACTGCTCTCCTTAATCTAAGTTAGTATACTTCCTATTGTATTTACAGTGTATGAAAACAACAACATACATAGAAACATGTAAACAATAGTAAAAATTTATTCAGGGGGATCTATACTATTAAGAATTAATTACTTTTAGGAGTTAAATCACCATATCCAACTGTAAATGTGGTAACGCAAATAAAATAAAAGGATTAAAGAAATTAATATGACCATTGATGATGTTCAAATTTATCCATCCAAGATTATTAATATGCGTCCTAACATTAAATACCAAATACAAGCCATACACAACTGAAAACATGTTAAACCAAAACTATTAATGTTATTAATTTAATCAACTCTACTATTGATGTAGACATTCTACTGAGCTTAAATGAATATTATGAAATATCAATAAATTTTAATATGTTAGCCACTTATATATATAATAAAGCTAAAATAAATTTTGGCCAACCATCTCCTATTATATTTTTATCAATAATGTTTTCTTACTATATACTTATTATTATTGTATATATAAAACTAAATAACTCCAATAATGTTGAGAAATTAAGTTATTTTTTAAATAATAAATATCGGTCTCTTACAGGTAATCCTTAATCATAAGTCACAGTAAATGCTCTCATGATAATGTCAAAAATTAAAGCAATAGAAAATAAAATTAATGGTATTTGTTGCTAATCAATAAAATTTTTATTATGAAATGCCATCAATATTGGAATAATTACAATTAAGTAAATTCTAATAGCAAAACACATCAAATCCCAGAAAAATTTTAGATTACTCATTGGTTCTATTAATGGAATTTGATTATGAAAATGTTACAAGAAATGTTTACAATTAGTTTTTATTGTTCTAAATTTTAATCTTAACTAAATTCTTATATCAATCAGCGAAATGTATTAATAAATCAAACTTTTTTAGTTTTCACTATATCCACCAACCTGATATTTAAAGGAAGCTCCTAAATCGTTAATGAGATTAAAATGTTTTTATGTAAAAGATGCTGTTAATTTGTATGGAGCTAATAGTATTTTTATAAAGTCTTTTTGATGAAAATAGACTATCAATTTTCGAAATGATTTTTATTATTTGATTTAGTCTGTTTAAGTTAATGTTTACAATCTTTCAGTAATGTTTTCTTATTTAGGAGTAATTAGTTATTAAGGATTACTATATTGAAAAATCAATTATTCATGATGACCTGAATTTGATCGAGCGATTGGTGATAGGTTATTTCTACATCTTTTTTAACCATCCATTTTGAAAATTTCCAAACCAGATCTGTCTTAAATTTCATCAACATCTTGTTAATTTATTCTTCTCGAAAAAGTATTTTAAGTGAAAAGTGAGACTGGTTGTTTCATTTTTAGTAAGATGATAAATAAATTAATTCAAATTTCAATATATTATCTATATATTTAATGATATATTAAAATTTTGTATAGAAAAAATATGATTTGTAAAATTAATCTTCTTAAATTATAATAATGTATAACATAAATGTTTTTTATACTATTTTTATTCATTTAATAGGAAATACCTAAATTTATCTTTTTAAGGAACGATGTTATTGTTTTTTTTTTAATAGTGCATTTGACAATCGATGTTCTTGTTATCGAACTACTAGAGATTTTCTAGGTACTCCCAATCGATTTATATTGAATCTATATTAATTAATAAATTCATAAGGATAAAATAAATATTTTATCCAATTATTGCCACTTATTAAAGAATAATGATCCAAACTTTTAGATGTCGAAACCAATATATATCGAACAGGATTTATGAGTTTCTTTAAAACAAAGTTTATATTTGATTTTTGATTAAAAGTTTGATATTCGTGCTTTTTATCTAGTTCCAATTTATCCTCTAAATTTAATTTTAATTCCAATAATTATATTTGATAATCAATTTGTTATAAATCTTTTTCTGTATATAGATCTTTATGATTTAATTTATCTTTAAGAACTTTTAATGTTAAGAATTCTGACGATAAATTTAATTTTCCATCATAAATTTCTTTTTCTGATTTAAATTAAGATTTTTAATAGAAATCAAAATAAGATTTGCTCTCAAGATCTTTTATTAGCACTCCTACTGATTCAATATCTTTTTTATTAAGAATTTCTATTTATGGAAATATAGCTTACCTTAACTTTCAAATTAAGTTGTATCATCTTAATTATATTAGTATTTTTAGAAAAATAAACTATCATTTTTAACTTTCACCATTTAAGCAGCTTCTCTTAATATCTCTTAATCTGTTTAAGCATGATAAAGTTATCTAATTCTTCTGGAATTTCTTAAAAACATAATTCTCTCTTAACTTTAATAAAAATTATATTATTTTATGACTTTTTCTTTGTCAGGTATATAATGAACTTATTTACATTAATCTGACGGATGTCTTCTAGAATCACATATTGCACATTTTGTATCAGAATAATTATTAATTTTTAAATTCCAAAAAGTTTCATAATCAACTTAATATTTTTATAATATTTGATAAAATTTAGATTTTGGAATTACTAAAGTACTTACAAATCCTGAACTTTTATATTCATATTATAAAGATTTCTAATTATTTAGGAATTCATGTAATCCAAAATGTTCCCCTTGTTTATAATTGCCAATTAAAACTTTTTTATCTTAGTTTTTAGCATAAATATCAACTTACCCAGATTCAATAATATGTATAAAATAATCATCTTCATTAAATGTGTTTAAAGTAGAAGAAGGTTAAAATGATTAAAATTAAAGATGTTTTAAAAGATCATTTAAAAACTCATTCGAAAAATTTTTATGAAAGAATTCACAATTTTTAAGTACTACAGTGTTTGATTCTACGGCTATTTATGTTCTTAAATCATCAGACAATTAACTTAGAATATCAGTTTATTCTTTAGTCTATTAGGTTTATTCTTAATACCAATAATAATTAAGATATTCTCTAACTTAAAATTATAATTGGTGACTAATTTTTTTTGTATGCATATACTAATTAATAAAGATCAACTTTTTATTAATGATATCATTATTATTTTTCATTCTTGTTAAAATTTCTCCAATTGTATTTAAACTAAAGGATAACTGAAAGGTACAAACAAATACAAATAGAAATGCAAATATCTTTTCTGATATATCTTAAATAATTATAAAAATAATACTTATTGGATGTATATCTCCATATCCAACAGTGTACATAGTAACACTTGTGAAATACATTGATTCAATATATAATTCACTCCAAAGTGTATTGTCTAAATTAAATGCTGAAATCCAATTAGTCTAACCACAAATTTAATTATATCTTCCTATGATAAGCCAAATACAACTAAAAATATGTTAGATTATAAGTAATAAGCCAATTAATTTTGATAATTCTATTAAAGATGATGCTAATTATCCCATTATAAATTATTATTACCATGATCCTATAAAATTCAATAGATTTTTTAATTGTATGAAATAAAGTAACATCCAAAATTTAGGCCATCCATTAAATAGAATAAATTGATTATTAAAATCAAATTTAAAATAAGCCATTCCAAAGAGAGAAAATATTTCAAGTAATTCAATAAGGTTAGTAAAATGATATTGACTTTTGACAATTTAATATCTATCAATTACAGGTAAACCTTAATCATAATAGATTGTAATATTTCTTAATAAAAAATCTATTGCAAATACTACTTGAGATATTATAATGAGATAATCATAATTTTCAATCAATTCTTCAAATGTGATTATTATTGGTATAATATATATCAAATATATTCTAAAACAATTCAATAAAAGATCCCAAATAATTTTAATTTTAAAAGAAGGGTCTATTAAAGGAATTTATTCGAATAAGTAAAAGATTTTTTGTTAAAAATTTTTTAGATATTATCTATATCTGTATCTCATTCTTACAAAGAAATTAACCTCATCTAGACTAGGATATTGCATAACTTAAGCTTTAGATTTTCCTGCATAATTTATAAAATCTTTGATGTTGCCTGAACTTTTATCATCAATTAATTTATAGTGCTTTGGTTTGAATTATAAATCAGGTTTAATAAATTTTAATAGTTTTTTTACAAAATATCCAATATGATAGTAAATGATTAATTTTTGAAAGGGTTTATAAACTTATTGACCAAAACCAGGTATGTCAGGACTAGGAGCTTCAATTTTTTTAAGCAAAATAATGGAAGAGGAATCACAATCCTGATTTACTTAAGGGTTTTTACACATAGAAGTATCCTATTATCCTGTAGTGTTGATATTGTCTATATGAACACTATTCAGACTATTCATAAATTTAATTTAATTATTTTATAAATTAGCAGTGTTATTTTAATTTATATATATAATTGATTAAATAAATTTTTAAAAATAATTTTATATTATCTAATCATCTTCTACCTTTTCCAGATTTTTTTGATTATTTTTTCAATTATCTTTACTCTTAAATGCGAAGTTATTATTATCGTATAAATTCTTATTATTATTATTTTTATTTTTCAACACATTCACATTATAAGTATTTACCTCCACAAACATAACAAAATTCATAACCACATCGACAAGTCATATGATTACATCCTTAATTTTTTTCAACCCAAAATTTACATTTTGTACACATTTTAAATTTATGACCTTTAACAAACTTTTCAAACTTTACATCATTTTAATCTCTAGTGTTTGTAATTTAATACTCTTTACAAGTTTATCCTTTATGAAAAATAACTCGACAATTTAAACAATATTATTTTTTGCATAAAGGACAATCAAAATGATTATTATCATCTTCATCTCCTAAAACAAAAGCATATTGACAATCAGGAGTTGGACACCAAGACATATCTGTTGCATGATCATCAACAAATTTATTAAGTGTATAATTAAGAAACTCTTCTTTTTTATCTTTTCCAACAATATGTGATATATCATTTATAGCGATCTCTTTTCCACACTTTTATTCTGGACAAGTTATTTATTTCCTCTTTTCATTTATACCCTATAATAATAATTCTTTAAGACAATTTATATGAAAAATATGAATGCATGATTCTAAAGGCATTACATCTTCCTCCATCAAATTAGAAAAACAAATTGGACAATCTACCTATTCAACTTCTATTTATTTTTTCTAAGCTTATTATTTATCTTCCTCTTATAATTACTTTATTAATGCAAGTGTAGCTTCTTCATTCGGATCATCCATTGAATATTTTTATTAATTATAATCTTCATTTAATATTGGTGTACCTCCACCTTATTAAAAATCATAATTTTAGGGTTTTTCAAGATTGTTTATTAAAGATTGTACCATATCATCAAAATGCTTCACATTAACTAATCTATTAGTAATCATTTCTTGAATAGCTTTAATCTAATCAATCAATGTTGATATTAAACTATCTTATTTATGTTATATAAAATATCCACAAACAACTCCAATTATAAAAGATTATTAGTTATCATTTATTTTGATATTTCTTAGAAACTCATTTGATGCAGATCTTAATTTCTAATGAATATTCATATATTTTATTTATTATCAAAAATCTGATTAAATTCTTTATATAAAATATCGAAATTTATAATTATTAATAATTAATATATTCATTCTTTATCATGAATTAATCCTTTAATAATCAAATAATCAAAAACTCCTATTAATCGTTCTTTATCAATTTAAAAATTTTAAACTGCCTAATCCTTATTAATCATTCCATTTTTGACTGATTCTCTAACAAGTACTTCTTTTAATATAAGATATTCTTGTTCACTCAATCCTAATTTCTAACATAATTATTATTCTTCTTCACTAAATGAAGGTCCTTATTTATTTCTATCTTTTCCATCTATCACAGAAGTGAATCTAGTTCTTCTTTATAAAAACCTTTATTTTTGAGAATCATAATCATAAACATAAGCTTAATTTTAATTTTATCTTCTTTAATTTTACTCATCCTTCTTTCTCTTATCTGCTAAATACTCTTCAACTTCTTCAAATGTCTTAATTCCTAATTTCCTATAAAATCTCAATTCTTCAATTTTAGCTCTTAATTATTTTTCTTTAATCAAATTTTATACAATTCTTTCATGATTATCAATATCATTAAATCTAGCAAATGGTTTCATTAAACTATGTAATTCTTTCTCTTCTTTTGTTCTTTATTTATCATAATTATTTTATTTATTTTAATTAAGTAAATCTCTTTCAATTACAAAATTTTTCCTCTTTAAACGTTCATCCAATCTAATATTGTATATATCAAGAACTTTAAGTTTCATCTCTATTTCATTAGGTTAATCATCATCATTAAATTCCATTTCTGCTAAAAGTAACTCAGCATCATTATCAAATTCAATATCAAAATCACCTCTTTTAGGCATAAAACCTACTATTTCCTATCCACTTTGAGATTACATATTTGGTGTTAATCTTCCTCCCTTTATAACAATTTATTCTTCTTTCATTCTTTTAAGATTATTAAACAATCTTTTTGGCTTTATTAATTCTAATGTATCTTAATTTCTTTTTGATAATAGAGTCATCTAATATTATTTTTTATATTAATATACATTTCTAAATTTGCCACTTAAAATAATATTATCATAATGTTATGCTATTTCCTCCTATGATTTTTCGCTTCCCAACATTTCTGCTATATCTTACCAATTTCCAAAACCTTTCTTTTCTAAACCTTCTAATAATAACAGTTCTTCCTCTGCAGTCCAATCTTCAACAAATGTTGGAAAATTTAATTTATTGATAATTGCATAAGGATGCCCAATATTGTGTTATGCTAAAATTATATTTAAATACATATGTACCAAATTCTTGTAAATTTAAAAAGCAATTCATACAAATATCTATTGAATTTGGACATTCAACACAAAGAATTCTTGCTTATTTAGAGATATCTTTCTCACAATTACCACAATGAACTTTATTAGAAGGAAAATAGAGATTCTAAATTTCACTGATATATATCATACATGATATTTGATTTCCTCTCTATTGTTTTTTGGTTCTTGATTTTAACTCAATATTTTCTTGGCTTTCTTTTTACCACTAAAAATGAAGTTAATAATTACTTTTCTTTATCAACAAGGAACTTCCTAAATTATATATACTATTATACATTTTAATATTTTGCCAAAAATATTGTTTTAATTAAATAATTGAATGATTAAATTAATAATATATATTATTTAAAACAAAATAAATCCATATTCATGGGAACTTAATAATAAAAAGCACCTTAAAGTAAATAGATCAGCTAATTTTAAATTGAAGTAGCATGTTTAAAAGTATTAATTTCTATATAATTTTAGGTAAAAGGTTATGTGGAATTGAACAGAGATAGACGAACCAATTAAGCATTAATGAAAGAGAAGGCTTTAAATGAGATGTTACGTAGTCCTTCTAGAATAAAGGTTGAAGAGTACCAAAAGTTCTAGCAACTGGTTCAAGATGTTAGGTTTATTGAAACATGTAACATTGTTATAAGGTATACTAATCTGAAATTAACTTAGATATTGTGATATTGTTAAAGATTAATCCATAAGAATCTTTAGATGTGGTGGAGATCATTCAAAAATATCAGATGTAATGACATACATTGAAAGTATCCTTTTTGCAGCTGATAATTTGAACTTAGAGTAAGTAATGGAATTTAAAGATCTAATGATATTCTATTTTGGACCTGGCTTTAATGACACTAGTAAATTAATGAATGTCGATTAAGAATTAAAGTTACTTTATTAAAATCCTCTACCTAATGCTTACGAAGTGAATGAGTTTGTTTTAAAATTTGCAGAAAAGTATGGATTCAGCGAAGAACAAATAAATGCTTCAGGTNGCCACTTAAAATAATATTATCATAATGTTATGCTATTTCCTCCTATGATTTTTCGCTTCCCAACATTTCTGCTATATCTTACCAATTTCCAAAACCTTTCTTTTCTAAACCTTCTAATAATAACAGTTCTTCCTCTGCAGTCCAATCTTCAACAAATGTTGGAAAATTTAATTTATTGATAATTGCATAAGGATGCCCAATATTGTGTTATGCTAAAATTATATTTAAATACATATGTACCAAATTCTTGTAAATTTAAAAAGCAATTCATACAAATATCTATTGAATTTGGACATTCAACACAAAGAATTCTTGCTTATTTAGAGATATCTTTCTCACAATTACCACAATGAACTTTATTAGAAGGAAAATAGAGATTCTAAATTTCACTGATATATATCATACATGATATTTGATTTCCTCTCTATTGTTTTTTGGTTCTTGATTTTAACTCAATATTTTCTTGGCTTTCTTTTTACCACTAAAAATGAAGTTAATAATTACTTTTCTTTATCAACAAGGAACTTCCTAAATTATATATACTATTATACATTTTAATATTTTGCCAAAAATATTGTTTTAATTAAATAATTGAATGATTAAATTAATAATATATATTATTTAAAACAAAATAAATCCATATTCATGGGAACTTAATAATAAAAAGCACCTTAAAGTAAATAGATCAGCTAATTTTAAATTGAAGTAGCATGTTTAAAAGTATTAATTTCTATATAATTTTAGGTAAAAGGTTATGTGGAATTGAACAGAGATAGACGAACCAATTAAGCATTAATGAAAGAGAAGGCTTTAAATGAGATGTTACGTAGTCCTTCTAGAATAAAGGTTGAAGAGTACCAAAAGTTCTAGCAACTGGTTCAAGATGTTAGGTTTATTGAAACATGTAACATTGTTATAAGGTATACTAATCTGAAATTAACTTAGATATTGTGATATTGTTAAAGATTAATCCATAAGAATCTTTAGATGTGGTGGAGATCATTCAAAAATATCAGATGTAATGACATACATTGAAAGTATCCTTTTTGCAGCTGATAATTTGAACTTAGAGTAAGTAATGGAATTTAAAGATCTAATGATATTCTATTTTGGACCTGGCTTTAATGACACTAGTAAATTAATGAATGTCGATTAAGAATTAAAGTTACTTTATTAAAATCCTCTACCTAATGCTTACGAAGTGAATGAGTTTGTTTTAAAATTTGCAGAAAAGTATGGATTCAGCGAAGAACAAATAAATGCTTCAGGTCACTAATTTAGCTCTAAATTTAAATAGCCAGCCTAAGGAGGAATTTTAATAGATTAATAACCTTTTGGTTAATAATAATAATTTATTCTCCCTCCAAATTAAGGTTTTGGAGTACCTTTTGGAGCTCATCCTCAATCCTTTCCCTAATCAGGTACTAATTCTGGATTTGCTGATTTTGGAATGTAAGGAGCTTATGGATAACCTTAAGGTGGATTTGGATAACCTTAGGGAGGATTTGGACAACCATAAGGTGGTTTTGGATAACCATAAGGTGGTTTTGGATAACCATAAGGTGGATTTGGATAACCATAAGGTGGATTTGGATAACCATAAGGTGGTTTTGGATAACAATAAGGTGGATTTGGATAACAATAATAAGGAAGTTTTGGAACACAAGGAGCTTTTAATAATTAACCTTAAGCTGGTTTTTCATAACCTCAAAATATCCAAAATAATTATTCAAATTAACCACCAAATTAACCAAACAATTAAATATATGGTAATCCACCTACAGCTGGTTTTGGTTAAACTAATGGGACACCAAACCCATATTCTTGTCTCAATTAAGGTATATCTATTTTATTTAATATAAAGGCCCTTAAATTATGGCCAGCTAAAGTATGAAAGTTCCTTAATAATATTAAACTCCCTAATAACCATAGGTGTAACCAGTGATCCCACCACAATAACCAATAGGTCAATAAACAAACAATTATAATAATTAAGGTCTTGATGATTTGGAGGCCAGATTAAGAAATCTTGATAAAGGCTTATGATGCAATATTTAAATTCAATCTAGATAAAATATATTATTTTTTATTATTACATTATAATATTTGTCTTCATTCTTAATCATAATTTGTAATAATATTCAATTTCATATTTCAAAACATTCCTATCCTAATTAATTTATAATTTAAAACTAAGAATATTCTTCTTATTGAATATATAACTATAACCCATACTTTTCAAATTTAAATAAATTTTATTGGCTGTAAAACAGTTATAAAGCATCAATTATAATTTAAAAAGAATATGTCTTATAACAATTCAGATCCATTTAAAAGAATCAGCGAACTAAAAAAACAATATTAATAAATCAAATATATTTTATTATTTAATAAATAACACAAATCTTATATTTTCTATTTCTCAATTGATTTCTCTTTTTAAAAAATCTTATGAAATAAACTTGTTTTAAATTGGCTATGTTCTCCATAAAGTTGGCTTTGGCTTTATTTTCACATTTCCTCTTAAACTTATCCATCCTTTTTACACTTAATTATCATCAAATGGATTATTATTGATGAAAAATATAAAATCATTAAATATTTTGTGTCTTTTCTTGCACTTATTATTTTACAAAGATTGCTAATTTTAGCGTATTATAATTATAAGTAGAGTAGTTTATTTATGAATCTAATTTTATTTCTTAACACTAGATCATTCAAACATACAATTTGTATAATATGCAAACTCTTTAATGAGCTTTCATAATATTGGAAGTAATTTCAACTTTAATAAATTGTATAGCCATCAAAATATTTGTAATAAATCCAACTATATAATGCTGTTTCAAAACTTCTTACTACTCTNGGTACTAATTCTGGATTTGCTGATTTTGGAATGTAAGGAGCTTATGGATAACCTTAAGGTGGATTTGGATAACCTTAGGGAGGATTTGGACAACCATAAGGTGGTTTTGGATAACCATAAGGTGGTTTTGGATAACCATAAGGTGGATTTGGATAACCATAAGGTGGATTTGGATAACCATAAGGTGGTTTTGGATAACAATAAGGTGGATTTGGATAACAATAATAAGGAAGTTTTGGAACACAAGGAGCTTTTAATAATTAACCTTAAGCTGGTTTTTCATAACCTCAAAATATCCAAAATAATTATTCAAATTAACCACCAAATTAACCAAACAATTAAATATATGGTAATCCACCTACAGCTGGTTTTGGTTAAACTAATGGGACACCAAACCCATATTCTTGTCTCAATTAAGGTATATCTATTTTATTTAATATAAAGGCCCTTAAATTATGGCCAGCTAAAGTATGAAAGTTCCTTAATAATATTAAACTCCCTAATAACCATAGGTGTAACCAGTGATCCCACCACAATAACCAATAGGTCAATAAACAAACAATTATAATAATTAAGGTCTTGATGATTTGGAGGCCAGATTAAGAAATCTTGATAAAGGCTTATGATGCAATATTTAAATTCAATCTAGATAAAATATATTATTTTTTATTATTACATTATAATATTTGTCTTCATTCTTAATCATAATTTGTAATAATATTCAATTTCATATTTCAAAACATTCCTATCCTAATTAATTTATAATTTAAAACTAAGAATATTCTTCTTATTGAATATATAACTATAACCCATACTTTTCAAATTTAAATAAATTTTATTGGCTGTAAAACAGTTATAAAGCATCAATTATAATTTAAAAAGAATATGTCTTATAACAATTCAGATCCATTTAAAAGAATCAGCGAACTAAAAAAACAATATTAATAAATCAAATATATTTTATTATTTAATAAATAACACAAATCTTATATTTTCTATTTCTCAATTGATTTCTCTTTTTAAAAAATCTTATGAAATAAACTTGTTTTAAATTGGCTATGTTCTCCATAAAGTTGGCTTTGGCTTTATTTTCACATTTCCTCTTAAACTTATCCATCCTTTTTACACTTAATTATCATCAAATGGATTATTATTGATGAAAAATATAAAATCATTAAATATTTTGTGTCTTTTCTTGCACTTATTATTTTACAAAGATTGCTAATTTTAGCGTATTATAATTATAAGTAGAGTAGTTTATTTATGAATCTAATTTTATTTCTTAACACTAGATCATTCAAACATACAATTTGTATAATATGCAAACTCTTTAATGAGCTTTCATAATATTGGAAGTAATTTCAACTTTAATAAATTGTATAGCCATCAAAATATTTGTAATAAATCCAACTATATAATGCTGTTTCAAAACTTCTTACTACTCTTTAAGTTTAGAAAATAAATTCAAATGTGTAATAAATTTGAGTTTCGCTTATTTAAAGTTTCCCATGAGTCCCATGACTTTCATTTAGATCTTCATATACGATATAAAATGTGTAACTTAAAATGTACGATCTAGAATTCTTTCATTTTCCTAAGTTTTCTCTGTTATCCATGTAGAAGTAACTTTAAATCATTTCATTTACAAATAATGATTAACTATTTTAAATTATAAATTCAATAAAATTGCATATAATAAAATATTAATATATTAAATTTAAAATAATTATATTTACATTTTACTTTATAATTAAACATCACACACATTTTAACTTTCTATATTGAAATTAGAATCTTAAAAATTGTTATATCTATTTTCAATCAAATTAAATTGTTTTATAATTGATAATCTCCAAATTATATGTACATAACATTCTCTTGTTTGTCAACTTTATTTTAATTTAATAAAAATTTGTTTCAATTTAAGTAATATTTTTATTTAATCATTAACATTAAATGGGTAATACTTGTTGCACACAAGAAGTACTAAGTAAAATTTAAATATATATTATTATAGATAATAATGCTGAAATAGAATGTAAACCTGTAGATCTCAATCATAATTATAAATAATTGACCACTTAAGAAACAAGTAAACTTTATTCATATTTTTAATTTAGAAAAGTCCACCTATCTTAAACTTAGTCCAGATCTCTTTATTCATATGAAAAGAGAAGATATATTTAGTCAATATTCTATAGGTAAAGCTCTTGGAGAAGGTATCAATAAGTTAGATTTTATTAGGTGCTTATGGATAAGTCTCTTTAGTAACCAATAAAAGAACTGGTAATTAATTATTTTATATTCTCTTAGGAATTGTTAGAGCCATGAAGGCAATCAAAAAAGATTGTTTATTCGAAGAAGATGAATCAAGATTATTTTAAGAGATGCACATCTTAAAAGATCTTGATCATCCAAATATTGTTAAACTCTGTGAATTATTCTAAGACGAAAAGTGCTACTATCTTATAACTGAGTATACAATTTCCTTATTTATTAGATATCTTAATGGAGGCGAATTGTTCGATCGAATACAAAAAACTAAAATATTTAGTGAAAAAGATGCAGCCAATATTATGAGGCAAATATTATCTGCTGTCGCTTATTGTCATTCTAAATAAATTGTACATAGAGATCTCAAACCAGAAAATATTATCTTTACTTCTACTGATGAAGACGCATAATTAAAAATCATTGACTTTGGAACATCTAGAAGATTTGATCATGATAAAAAAATGACTAAAAGGCTCGGAACTGTAAATTATCAATATAATCATAGCCTTATTATATTGCTCCTGAAGTACTTATGAAAAAATACAATGAAAAATGTGATGTCTGGTCATGTGGTGTCATTCTATATATTCTTTTAGCTGGTTATCCTCCTTTTTATGGTAAAAAGGATATAGATATTTACCAAAAAATAGTGAAAGCTAATGTGCCATTCTATAGTATGTCATAATTATATTAAACTTTTAGCTGAAGAATGGACTAAGATTAGTGATTAAGCAAAATCATTAATTTTAAGGATGCTTTGTAAAGATGTAGATTAAAGAATTAGTGCACAAGATGCGTTAGCAGATCCTTGGATGATAGAACATAATTAAACTAATTTGGTTGATCAACAGTTCTTAAAAAATCTATCAGAATTCAGTGCTAAAAGTAAATTAAAATAAGCATTACTTACTTTTATGGCATGTTAAATGATTTAGTAACATGAAGTTGAGGAGTTATAAAAATTATTTAAAGAATTAGATATTAATAGTGATGGAACAGTATCAAAGGAGGAACTTAAAAAAGCATTTTAAGATAAAATTATGAATAAAGATTACTTTGTTGAATCAATTGAAGAGAAAACTGAAAATCTTATTTAATAAATTGACATAAATTAATCTGGTAAAATAGATTATACAGAATTTATAATTGCATGTTTACAGTAATAACGATTAATAACATAAGATAAAATAAAATAAACCTTTAAAATATTAGATATAGTAATTATTTTATATATATAATTAAATAGGATGGAGATAATTTTATATCTAAAGGAGAATTTTAAAGAGCAATGGAAGGGGTAGATGATATTATATGGAATGAATTTTTAGAAGAATGTGATGAGGATAAAGATGGTAAAATTTCGGAAGCAGAATTTATTTAAATAATACTGAAAAAAATATGATAATCAAAATGATATTAGTGTTTTTCTGAATTAAATTAATTATTATAGATTTTCTATTACATATATATCAAATCTCAATATGAAGAGGTTCATTTAGGAACTTTTGAAGAATTTCCAATCCTGCATTTGTATCAAAGATTGTTTCTTCAATAAAATTTTCATCTGTCTCCTATTATTACCAATATTCTATATTTAATAATACTTAGTCAACACAAGTTTTTTGTATGTTTTCACTATTAATAAAATGAATAACAACTTCTTTAAAATTGTTGAAAAGGCCTAAAACATAGGTAAAACTATAGCCTTTAAAAAGCCTTCTTGTGATTTGGAAACATTCTATTTTCTATCGCACATTGGTGAAATTGGTACTTTAAGATACTATTCTAAATCTCCTTATAAAAAGAACTCTTCAACTATTCTTCTACTCCACAATTTATGTAATTTCAACTCTTTTGCTCCATGACCAACATCTGAATTAATTTAATGAATAAAATATTACCTGCACATTTAATTCCTATAGACATAATTAATTGTTAGTCAATAGTAGGAGATTCATTAACGTTTAAATAATTTTAAAATTTATTCATCAATTAAAAATGTCTGGTTAAATCAGTATCAAGAATTAGATTTAAACAATATTTTCTAAATCCTTTGATTTCATTTTATGTTAAATTTTCAATTATATTGCATTTATGTTATGTAATAACTTAAAATAATAAAAATGAATGATAATTTTCCAAAACACTTTGATCATTAAATAATAATGCTAATCTACATCTATTTGCTGTCATAAATCCATTATTTAATCCTGGATGTCCAATGTCATGTGCTAATGATGAGATTAACAAACAAGTAGCCTAAAAATCATCAATTAAAGTGGATAAACCATTTTATAAAAAAAATGCTGTTGAATTTGCAACATCTATAGCATGCATTGAGTTATGATAAAAATTATTTTAATATAGAGACTCTATTTTAACACTAAAATCTCCAAGTATTTCTAAATTGGTAATTTTCAATGTTTATATAACTTTGAATATTTTAAATAAATTTATAGATCCTTCTATGAATAACATTCTTTACGATTAATCTAAATTGTTTAAAGTAGAATCTGGTTATAAAAAGTTAATATTAAAATCTATTAGAGTTTTCTCTGCTATATCATCCATATCATCTTGAATATCATCTATATATTAAAACGATGCTTCTCTTTAAGTAAAATGTGAAAGTATAAATCTAAATAGTTTATTTTAAATTACTTTTTTGCATCTAAACTAAATTAATCTTCTTTTGATGTTTATTGAATACTATTGTTACTATTTTGATAATCTAACTATCTATGACTTCTTAAGAATTTTGGCAACCAAATATTGTCTTTTTTACCTGTCAATAAATTCAAAAGATCATCAATTTCATCAATTGTTATAAAATTATCTTTTTAAATTATATCTTAATCAGAATGAGATTACTATATATCAAATTATAAGTTCTTCCCTTTTAAATCTGAATTTTAAGAAAGAGTTCTACTTGCTCTTCTTTTAAAGTTTTCCAATTTTGGAGAAAGTGATTAATTATTTTAGTTAATTTCTTCATCGATCTCATCCTTGCCAAATACTTCTGTTATTGAAACCATTGATTATAATTTTTCTTATTATTACCCAACATTTTTTAACATCTGATTTTTAATTGCACATTATTATTTAAATTTTATTAATTTTAATTTATTCACTAGGTCATTTGCTCTAGATTAGAGTTGCATCTATGATTTTTAATCTATTTCTTCTTAATATTTATTAATTTATTATTGCTACTGCTATTTCATCTAATCTAGTTCTTAATTAAATTGCTGTATTTTATTTGATGTTTCATTTTATAACCTTTATTATCGTAATTATTTTGATAAAATAAAAACTGATTACACTGTTATCAATTTTATTGTACTAATAAAATGATCTCCCCAAAAACTTTAAAATATCAAAACAATGCTTATTCCTACTACTTAATGTATGTAATGTAATTTTAAGGAAAAACGATTATATATATATTAATGGATTAATATAAAAAAGGTAAATTAGTCTAAAACTTATTCTGATCTTTAACTTATACTATAAAATATTAAATGTATTTTACTCGCTTATAGTTAATGTTGTTATTAGGCTATTTATAAGTAAAATTACTAAACCTAAATTCAGAAGAGATTCTGGAGATTAAGTAGTTCTAAAGTTTTAATAAATGTTTACTTTTTATTCAAATAATGGAATATAATCCAAAGTGTCTCTATTATTTTAATTGTCAATTCCTAATTATAATTACTTAAATTAGTGTTCTAGAGATTTCCAATTATATTCCAAATTATGTTGCCGAATATAATTAAGAAAATTACAATTGTTTATTCTTATTTTGACATTTAAGTATTAATATAACGAGTTTAAAATACTTCTGATACCTTCATTTTTATCTGATCATTATATTGCACATTAATAAACTAGTTATTCATTTTTTATAATATTTTATATCAATCAAAACTCATAAAAATTAATATATCAAAATATAAATTATTGTATACAAATTTTAATGATCTAATAGCTGAATATTTTATCAATAAAAAATTCTCTTGTAGAATTTTAAATTATTTATAAATTTTTAATTATGCTTTAAATTCTATACTTAAGCTCTCAATCAAGTTTTTAAAAATAAGTATAATTTTCATGTTTCTGTTAAAATTATTTTTAAAAAAGTATCCAATTTATTAGTGACGATGAATCTGAACAAATATATAAAAGATTTTTATCATGATAGTTTTTCAAAAGATATAAGTTTATTATTAGTACTTAGATGAAATTTCAAGATCATTTAATTTAAAAACATGTTTTAAAAACGTTAATATTTTAAAATTAAGAAATATCATATATTTCAGGATTTTGAGATTATTTTGTATTTTCAAAAGAAACAAAAATATAAAATAATGAAAACTCAACTTTTGATTATGAGAATATAAAATCTTCTCAAATAGTTTTAATACTTTAGAAATTTTGCTTAAGTGATAATCTAAACAAAGCCTCTTAATGATAAACTTAGAAACATAATCATTATTTATAGAATTATTAGATTCCGTATGGAAAACTTGGATACTTTAATTATAAATTAGTTTAAAAAAATTAATTGGTATACTCAAGAAGAAATGAAAATCCTATTTATTTGAAGAACAATTAGGATTAGGACTTACAAAATAATGTAGATTGTTTGAGTCTTACAATTCTAATAAGATTAAATAAATGCCTTTAATTGTTAATAAATCTAAGAATATTTACAATCTGGTAGAGTTCAGTGGGCTTTTGAATCTACATAAATTAAATGTCGGCTATAATAAGAATAGGCTAAATAATTTGTTGAAATAGAGGAAGCTAAAGTTCAGTAGAATTTTATTCTAAGTCAGAAATCTACCTGGCAATTCTTTCTAATTATTTAAATTCTTAGATAAAAAAAAGATATAGTAGGAGATGTATTTACATTTAGACATAATGAATTATAATTTCAGTAGAATCTTGTTTATATATAAATTATAATTGAGTAATGTGAGGATTGTATTGTAGCAAAAATATATAGGATTCTATTACATAAATATATGAATTTTGTGAGGTGTTTCAAAAAATAAGAATAAAAAAATATCAGAATAAAAATTTGATAATGATTATAAATGAATGATGAATGGAAAACAAAGATTTTGTAATAGTGATATATTTTCAAGTTTAAAATATATTTAATTGAATATTTGTTTGGTTGATGAAAGTACTTTAGTAAGAACAGAATATAAAGAATAATATAATATCATTAATTAGATTTCCATCATTTTAAGCATTCCTTAACAGTTTTCTTTTTGTTATCTAGAATTTAAGTAACTTTTTCTTTTTAATGAAAAAAGCATATCATGATTTCTTCATTAAATTTTACTCTGTTCTCGAGAATAGTTTTATCAGAATAGATTCTTTGATAATTTCCTTCATCGATGTCTCCATATGATTTTTCGATAAAAACCAAATGAAATGAATTAAGACCTAATCCAGGTTTGCTCATAATAATTAATCAAGTTTATTTAATAAAATATATATAAAAATGGAATGTATTTTCAGTTTTCTAAAAACAAATAACAATGATATATGTATTAAAATTCTAGTGGATTAATATATAAAGAATATTTTCTCAGTAATTCCTAATTATTTTAAATAAAAAAGCAAAACTGTTTTAAATGGCAGAATTGCAAATAGAGCATTACAACATAGAGCGCCTGTTGACAGAATTAGAGTATAAATTTGATAGTAAAAAAGATTGAATGGTGAGCCATTAGACAAGGTAGCAGAAATTTGGAATGCATTTATAAAGTGGAGTAAAATGAATTTTGATGTTGAGAGGACAATAAATATTCCACATTTAGGTAAGAAAAGTTGAATTAATATATTAGGAAACTTTGCATTTAGGTTACCACATGTATAAGGGGAAGAGATAGCTTTAGATAAAGAGAAAAGTGTTCTATTCTATCCAAATGAAAATTTTTTGAATAGTGCAAATCTACGATATAGAGTATATATTAAAATTTGAATATGAATAGGGAGAGATAGAAACACCTACACCAACAATTAAAATTAGTTATCATTAGATTGCTAAATTATGTGGAGGAATAGAGACTCAAGTGTAATAACAAACTTAAAAAGTAAATGATAAATCAATTGTATCAACTAAATAAATGGGAGTAGATAGATCTTTGATTTAAGCAATTGTAGAAGGAGTATTCTAATCTTTAATTTAAAAAATAAAAACAAAAACATAAGTTGAGGTTGATTTAGGATATTTTGGAAAGTTTTTAAGATTTGATTCTACATTTACATTTGAACCTCTTTTGAAATCTAAAGTTCAATCATAAATCAAATAGGGATCATAAACAAAAAAGACTGTTAGAAATTTGATTGAATAATCAAAGAATGCTATAGCATTGTAAACTAGAGGATAAATAACAAATTTTTAAATGATTAAGAATTAAATCTAATAATAATAATAAGAAAGTAAATAATTAATTATAATTGATAGTAATGTAATAATCAATAGAGTAGAGTTAGTTGATGTAATCAAAAAAGGCAGCTTTTGAGATATTTAGTGAAAACTCTTAATAGAAAATGATGTAAACTCCAACAAGAAGAATAGGAAAATTAGAACAGTATTAGATATATAAATTTTGATTAGTATTCCAATAATGCCTGAGATGTTGGGAGCAGGTACTGATCCATTAGCTAAAAATCAAGACTTTTCTAAATTAGTAGAGAATCCTGCAGCTTTAATGACTTAATAATTTATAAAACCATAGAATGCAAAGATACGTTTTCCACCAATATTAGATAAATTTGCTAGAACTTTGGCAGCTCCAATTTCAGGAATGAAATATAATAGTAGTGTTGTTGGAAGAATAGCATCTAATTACAATCCTGGAGCAAAGAGATTCTATTTTGATAGTGAATCAAAAGGGGTAAGAATATTGAAAGCTTTTGAATCAAAAGTGAATTTCACAGCAAATCCAGAGTTATTATAGAAGCCTGCATCTTTAGAGGAAGAATTATTATATGTAACAGGGAAATTAAGAACAAAAGAATTGAAGGAAAAGTTAGAGGCTAAGAATAATTGTTATGCAAGATATTAAGCTTATATTAATAATGAAATACCATAAGAATTTATCGCAGAGATTAAATAATAATGGGTATAAGACATTATAGAATTATTACCAAGAGATTTAAAGAAATTAGGAGATTAACTAAGTTAAAAGTATGTTGAAGAAATGATGAATGAAATAACACATGATTACAATTAAAGTATGAAGAAAGCAATTTTGGATTATGTTCTTAAAGATGAAGAAGAGAGATTGAGAATAGGAATAGTAGAAATTATTGATGAAATTCCAGAATATGGATCTGCTGTTTATAAAGGTATAGAACCTAGTGAAGAATGGAAAAAGAAAGTTAATGAAGCACGAGATGCTATGGTGTAGAATTTAGTAATTAATAGTAATACTACTCTGTAATTATTAAAGAGTTGGTATGCTAAATATTCTAAAATGAATTTCCTAGTTTTATCATCTGCTAAAGATTAACCTATGAATATTAATTATTTTACTAAAGTTTAATAGGATCGTATTTAAGAAGTTAAAAATCATTTATAGAATGAATGGCATAAAGAGGTAGCTGATCTCTATTAAAAAGAATTACATGTTGCAAATAGAAATAAAAGACATGCCATGTTATTCTTTGAAAGTACTGCTACTTTAATGAGTAATTTATTAAGAACTTAAATTAATGAAAGTTTAATTTCATATAGAAATTTCTTTAAAAGATTTGATAAGAAGATTTTAAGAACACCTTAATAAGTAATTGCTGAAGAAGATGATTTTGATAAACCTATTGAAGATGTTTTTCTTACTGTTAAACTTAAACATGATGGAAATAAAATAGAATTTGCTGACCATCTTTAAATGAGTATCAAAAATGGTATTTTAAAGTTAATTGATGATATTTATAAATGTTCAGAGAATTTTTAAAGACCCGAAAATACTATTTCTAGAAGTGAAAAAACATCACTTTGGAAGATTCCAGAAGATGATGATACTTTTGTTTCTACATACAAAAAAATCAATGAAATTCTAGATATCAATTTAAAAAATGTTGAAAGTACTTTGGAAATTTATGAGAAATATTCTTATCTCTTAAAAGAAACAGAAAAAGCAACTTAATGGACTAGTGTTTTAAGAACAAGAAATGAATTTATTTAAGCATTCAATAATTATTCATAATTATATGAATAAGTCAATGAAGCTATTCCATTCTTTGTACGTGTTAATATGATTTTGGTTGATGGATGTGAAGTAAAAAGAAAGTATTTGGATATAATCTAAGAGATTATATAATTATTAGAAAGAAATATTCATGATTACATTATGACAACTAATTAAAGAATCAGTAAAGAAATTCAAGCTCTTTAAGATAATATTTAAGGTAGAGCTGATACTACTGAAAGATTAGTTGAATTGGAAGCAGCTTTAGAAAAAATAAGAAAAACTGAAAATAAAAAGGTTTAAAATGATTTCACTGATTTGTAAAAATGGTTGTATTAATTGTATACAACAAATTATTAAATTAATGAGGATGATCTAATCTAAATTTCTAATACTTCTAGATTAGTACATTCTCTGATGCTTAAGGTTGATTAGGAAGAAATTCGTATTTAGAAGGATAGAGATTAATTAGAATAATTTATTAGAGAAAGAAGAGAAAAGTTTTAATCTAATCTTGATGATATTACTTAAAGCATCAATAGATTGAAAACATCATATACTTCTGCTTATTAAGTAAAAGAAGCTAATGATATTGTTGATAATCATGTTAAGAGATTATAAGAATATGTAGCTGAAATGTAGGATATTTAAATGAGAGAAGAATAATTGGGTTGGTAACCTACTGAGTTTGTTAAGTTATAAGATGCTTAAAGTAGTATAAAACCTTATGAAGAATTATGGCATTAATTAAGAGATTGGGAATAAAACTCAACTAATTGGACAAAAGCTAAGTTTATATTTAGATTAGATGCAGAAAATATTGAAAAAGATGTTAAAACAATGTTAACTTAAGCTAAAAAATTGTAATATTAATTCCCAAAAAATGTTACACCATCAGGTACTCTGACTTTAATAAAATATTTAACGGATAAAATAACTGATTTCTAAGTTTAATTACCATTGGTTAGAGTATTCTCTAATCCAGGTATGAAAGAAAGACATTGGGAAGAGATTTCTTAGATTATGGGATTTCCAGTTAGACCAGACAAAGAATAATAATTATCTAAATTAATCGAATTAGATTTGAAATAACATTTTACTAAATTTGAAGAAATTTCTGATTCTGCAACTAAAGAATATAATTTGGAAAAGATTTTAAACAAAATGTAAGAAGATTGGGATAATGTAATTACTGAACTTAAACCATGGAAAGATACAGGAACATTTATTGTTTCAGGAGCATCAAATGATGAAGTATAAACTTTATTGGATGATTAAATTGTAAAAACAATAACAATGAAAGGTTCACCATATGCAAGAAGTTTTGAAAGTAGAATAGCAGAATGGGAAGCATTTCTATATTATACATAATCATTATTTGATTATTGGTTAAAAGTACAAGGTGTTTGGATGTATTTGGAACCAGTATTTACAAGTCCAGATATATTAAAACATCTTGCAATGGAAGGTACTAGATTTAAGGAAGTTGATGCTAGTTGGAAATCTATTATGAATAAAGTAAATTCAAATCCTAAAGTAATTGAATATACAAAAAATAGAAAAATGTTAGATATATTGAAAGAATGTCATACATCATTAGAAGTATGCTAAAAAGGATTGAATTCTTATTTGGAAGGTAAAAGAACCAATTTCCCAAGATTTTATTTTCTCTCAAATGATGAATTATTGGAAATTCTATCAGAAACAAAAGATCCATAAAGAGTGTAACCACATTTGAAGAAATGTTTTGAAGGTATTTAGAAATTAAAAATTGATGGAGAAAAAAAAATACATGGAATGTATTCATCAGAATAAGAATATGTATAATTTTAGAATATTGTGGATACAAATGCAGCAAGAGGAAATGTTGATGAATGGTTAGTAGAAGTAGAAAAAAGAATGATTGAAAGTATTCATTATTAAACAGAGAGAGCCTTTAAAGAATATAGTGATGTAAATAGAAGAAGTTGGGTTATAAATAGATGTGGTATGGCAGTATTAAATATGGACATGACATTTTGGACAAGTGAAACAGAAAGAAATATGTTAGAAAAAGGAAATGAAGGTGTTGGTTAATATGCAGCAACATGTACATAATAATTACAAGAGATTGTTGCTTTGGTTCGTACTGAGATTTCAATTTTAGATAGATGCACATTAGAAGCAATGATTGTATTAGATGTTCACAATAGAGATGTATTAAATTAATTACATAAAGAAAAAGTAGAAAAAGTAAATGAATTCTCTTGGTAAGCTTAATTACGTTATTATTGGATAGATAGTAATACTACTGTTAAAATTATTAATGCAATATGTGAATACAATTATGAATATTTGGGTAATTCTGCTAGATTGGTTATTACACCATTAACAGATAGATGTTATAGAACATTATGTGGTGCAATCCATCTTAATTATGGTGGAGCACCAGAAGGACCTGCAGGAACAGGTAAAACTGAAACTGTTAAAGATTTAGCTAAAGCTTTAGCTAGATAATGTGTTGTTTTTAATTGTTCTGATGGTTTAGATTATAAGGCTATGGGTAAATTCTTTAAAGGACTTGCTAGTTCTGGAGCATGGTCATGTTTTGATGAATTCAATCGTATTGATTTAGAAGTCTTATCTGTTGTTGCTTAATAAATTCTTACCATTTAAATGGCTAGAGCATCTAATAAATCTAGTTTTACTTTTGAGGGATCAGATATTAGATTAATTTAAACATGTAATTGTTTTATTACCATGAATCCTGGTTATGCTGGAAGATCAGAATTACCTGATAATTTAAAAGCTCTATTCAGATCTGTTGCTATGATGGTTCCAAATTATGAAATGATTGCAGAAATTTCATTATATTCTTATGGATTTAGTTAAGCTAGAGATTTAGCTAGAAAAATTGTTACAACCTATCAATTATGTTCAGAATAATTATCATCTTAAGATCATTATGATTATGGTATGAGAGCTGTTAAATCTGTATTAACTGCTGCTGGTAATTTGAAAAGAAAGTTCTAAAGTGAAGATGAATTCATTTTGATGCTTAGAGCTATTAATGATGTCAATCTAGCTAAATTTTTATCTTTTGATTTGCCTTTATTTTAAGGTATAACTAATGATTTATTCCCTGGAATTAAATTGCCTGAAATCGATTATAAAAATATGTATGAATGTATTAATATTGAAATTGAAAAATTGAATTTGTAGAAGGTTCCAGATTTTATTGTTAAAGTTATTTAATTGTATGAAATGATTCTTGTTAGACATGGTTTAATGGTTGTTGGATTACCATTTGGTGGAAAAACTAGTGCTATCAAAGTATTAGCAGGTGCTTTAACTTTATTAAATGAAAGAGGATAAATGAATGAAAAGAAAGTATAAATTATCACATTAAACCCTAAATCTATTACAATGAAAGAACTTTATGGTAAATTTGATGAAGTTTCTCACGAATGGTATGATGGAGTGTTGGCTGTTAAATTTAGATAATTTGCTAAGGCAGAAGATGAGGATAGAAAATGGTTAATTTTTGATGGTCCAATTGATGCCGTTTGGATTGAGAATATGAATACAGTTTTAGATGATAATAAAAAATTATGTTTGAATTCTGGAGAGATTATAGCAATGAGTAAAGCAATGAATATGATATTTGAACCAATGGATTTATAAGCTGCATCTCCAGCAACAGTATCAAGATGTGGTATGATTTATATGGAACCATAGATTGTGGGTTGGAAGCCACTACAAAGATCTTGGATGAATACTTTACCAAAAGTATTGTTGAAGGAAGACTTAGAAGAAATTTAAGAATTGTATGATGCAATGATGGAACCATTAATGGAATTCCATTCTCATTAAAGAATGGCATCAGAGAAATATGAAATATCTCCATGCTAAAATGCAAATTTATTAGTAAGTCACACAAAACTGTTTAAATCTCTTCTTTAGGTGTTTGATGATGAATAATTAAAGGCACTTGATTCAAAGATAAGACAAGGATTATTGTAGTAGTAATTTGTATTTGCATTGATATGGTCATTTGGAGCAAGTGTGAGTACAGATTTCAGAAAACCATTTGATTAATTTATGAAGAGATTATGTGGAGGAGATATCCATACAAAAAATGATGCTCCAAAAAAGAAGGTGGCAATTCCTGATAGAGGAAGTCTTTTTGATTATATTTTTGATTTGAAGTAGAATAAGAGTGACGGGGAATGGGTTTTATGGACTTAATTGATTGATAAGAATGAATAAATATCACCAAAATTGTAACCACATGAAATACTAGTGAAAACAACAGATACAGTACGTTATTCATATTGGTTATTGAAGAATATATTTTCTGGTACTGCAACCTTATTTTGTGGTCCAACAGGTACAGGAAAGAGTGTTTATATAAAAAATGTTTTAGCAGAATTGCCAAAAGGATAATACTCTGCAATAGAATTAGGATTTTCAGCATAGACAACATCTACATAAACATAATTCATTATTGATTAGAAATTGGAGAGAATTAGAAAAGGATATTATGGGCCAAGAATAGGTAATTATGTAATATTTGTGGATGATTTGAATATGCCAGCAAAAGAGAAGTGGGGAGCTTAACCTCCAATAGAAATTTTAAGACAATTTTTAGATTAAGGTGGATGGTATGATAATGGTGATAAGGAGAAAATGTTTAAGAGTATAATAAATTGTGTGTTTGTTACAGCTATGGGACCACCAGGAGGAGGACGTACATTTGTTACTCCAAGAATATTGAGACATTTGAGTTTGATATCATTAGCTGCTTTTGATGATGAGACATTGAATCGTATTTTTGGATCAATTTTGAAATGGTTCTTTACAAATTAGAATTTCCCTTAAGATATTTTAAAGATGGAATCTAAGATTGTAAATGGAACATTAGAAATTTATAAATTAGCTATGAGAGAATTATTACCAACTCCAACTAAGAGTCATTATTTATTTAATTTAAGAGATTTTGCAAAAGTGATTTTGGGGATATGTTTAGCAGATAAAGATAAGATAAATACTACAGATGTAATGGCTAGACTTTGGACTCATGAAGTTTGGAGAGTATTTGCAGATAGATTAATTAATGATGATGATCGTTTATTAATGTTGAGATCAGTAAGAGAGATTATGAGAAAATCATTTGGATTGAATTTTGATACAATATTTGAACATTTAGATAAACCTGATGCTGAGGGTAAGAAAGATAATAAAATTGATTAATTGGATGAAATTAGAGGACTTATTTTTACTGATGTAATGACTCCTATGGGAGCTCCAAAAAGATTTTATGAAGAAGTTGTTGATTAGGTTAAATTAGCTACTGCTGTAGATTAATAATTATAAAATTATAATGATTTAAGTGATAAACCAATGGATTTAGTATTGTTTTAATTTGCTATTGAGCATTTATTAGTCATTACACGTATAATGAAATAACCAGGTGGTAATGCATTACTTGTTGGAGTAGGTGGTTCAGGTAGATAATCATTGGCAAGATTAGCATCTTCTATTGGAGATTTCAAAGTTGTTTAAATTGAAATTTCTAAATCTTATGGGAAAACAGAATGGCATGAAGATATTAAAAAATTGTTAAAATAATCAGGAGGTAAGAATGAGGCTTCTACATTTTTGTTTACTGATAATTAAATAAAATTAGAATCTTTTGTTGAAGATGTTAATAATTTATTAAATACTTCTGAAGTTCCAAACATTTTCCCAACTGAAGAGAAAACTGAAGTAACTGAAATGGTTAGACCTGCATATTAATCAATTAATAAAGAAGGAGAAGCTACTTTGAATTAATTGTATGCCTTTTTCTTAGAAAGAGTAAAAAAAAATCTACATATTGTTTTATGTATGTCTCCTATTGGTGATGCTTTTAGAACAAGAGTAAGAATGTTTCCATCATTGGTTAATTGTTGTACTATTGATTGGTTTAATGAATGGCCATAGGATGCATTAGTTAGTGTAGCTACTAGATTCCTTAAACCAGTTGAAATGGATGATAGAATAAAGTAAGAATGTATTGATATGGTATAATTCTTCCATCAAAGTACTATTCATTGGGCTAAAAAATTTTATGATGATTTAAAACGTAAATATTATGTTACTCCAACAAGTTACTTGGAATTGATAGTAACATTCAAAGCATTATTGGGTGAAAAGAGAAATGAAGTCACAGCTTAAATAAATAAATATAGAAATGGTTTAAGTAAAATTACAACAACTGAAAATAATGTAGAAGGGATGAAAACTAATTTGATTTAATTGTAGCCTCAATTAAAAGATGCTGCTGAAAAAACAAAAATAAAAATGGATGAAGTACAAAAAGAAAAAGTTCAAGCTGATAGTCTTAAAGCAGGTATTCAATCAGAGGAAGCTGTAGTGCAAGAAGCTGTAGATAAGGCTAATGCAATTAAAGAAGAATGTGAAGCTGAATTATCTGAAGCAATGCCTGCTCTTAAAGCTGCTTAAGATGCTCTTAATGTTTTAGATAAAAAGTAGATTGAATTTTTAAAATAAATGAAAGCTCCTTCAAATACAATCAGAAATATCTTAAGAGCATTGTGTCTCTTGTTGTATCCAAATCCAACCGAAAAGACTAAGGATAAAGATGGTATTAGATTGGTTACAGATTGGTGGTCTGCTTCATTAAAAGTACTTGGAAGATCTACACTTCTAGAAGATATGGTTAGTTTTAATACAGATACTGTTGAAGAAAAAGTTATAGTAAATTTGGGTAAGTATTTGTAAGATCCTGAATATAAGGATTCATTGGAATTATCTGCAGCTGAAAATGCATCACCTGCATGTAAAGTTATTATGATGTGGATAAATGGTATTTACAATTTTTATTTTGTTAATAAGAAGGTTAAACCTAAGAAGATTGCTTTAGCTGAATCATAAGCATAAGTGGATGGTTTGAATGCTAAATTAGCTGTTAAATAAAAAGAATTAAATGATGCTAATGACAAAGTTAGTAAATTAAATAGAGAATTACAATAAACAATAGATAATAAGAATAGATTGGAAAATGAATATGAAGAATGTTCAAAATAATTAGAAAGAGCTAAAAAACTCATTGAATCTTTAGGTGGAGAAAAAGGGAGATGGGGAGCCTTCGCTGAATAACTAGAAGCTAATTATGTTACTTTGACAGGAGATGTATTAACATCGGCAGGAATGATTGCATATTCAGGAGCTTTTACTTAAGCATTTAGAATTGAAATTGTTAAAGAATGGGTAGCAAAATGTGTTGAAAAAAGCATTCCTTCTTCTTAAATCTTTTCATTACTTACTGTTTTAGGAGAACCAGTTAAAATTAGAGCTTGGAATATTGATGGTTTGCCTTCTGATTAATTCTCCATTGAAAACAGTATTATACTATTTAAGGCAAGAAGATGGCCGCTTTGTATTGATCCATAAGGACAAGCTAATAAATGGATTAAGAAGATGGAATAAGCTAGAAAAATTGCTATTATTAAATTATCAGATTCTGATTTCTTAAGATAATTAGAAAATGCTATTTAATTTGGAAAACCAGTTTTATTAGAAAATGTTCTTGAAGAATTAGATGCTTCTCTCACTCCTATTCTCTTAAAATAAGTATTTACTAAAGGAAATACATCTTATATCAAATTAGGAGAAAACACTATTGAATATTCAAATCAATTCTAATTTTATATAACTACTAAATTGAGAAATCCTCATTATCTTCCTGAAATCTCTACTAAAGTAACTTTGTTGAACTTTATGATTACATATGAAGGATTAAGTGATCAATTATTGGGTATTTTGGTGAAAAAAGAGAGACCTGATCTAGAAAGAGAAAAGGAAAGACTTATTATGGAAGGAGCTAGCAATAAAAAGTAATTAGCTGAAATTGAATAAAAGATATTGGAAGTGTTATCTGGAAATAAAAATATTTTAACAGATGAAACTGCAATAGAGATCTTAACAGCATCTAAATTAAAATCAAATGAAATTAGTGAAAAATAAATTATTGCTGAATAGACCGAGAAAAATATCGATTCAGCTAGATAAGAATACGTCTCTGTTGCATAATAAGCTTCTTGCTTATTCTTTGTAATTTCAGATCTTAATAATATTGATCCAATGTACCAATATTCTCTTGTTTATTTTATCGATCTCTTCACTCAATCAATTGTAAAATCAGATAAATCAGATAATATAGGAATAAGATTAGAGAATCTTAAAAACTATTTCCTTCTTTCATTGTATAGAAACATTTGTAGATCATTATTTGAGAAAGATAAACTATTATTTTCATTCCTGTTGGCAACAAGAGTTATGGAATTCCGTAAATAATTAGATTAAGAATCTTTTAGATTTTTAATGACTGGAGGATTGTCATTATAAGACAAAATGCCAGATTAACCAAAAACTGATTGGGTATTACCTAAAAATTGGGGTGAAATTACAAGATTAAGTTTATTGCCATCAACTTAAGGATTTCATGAATACTTCTATAAGGATGAATATTTAAAGGGATTCAAAAGAATATATGATTCATTATAACCATAATCTGAAGATTTACCTGGTGAATTATAAGTTAAATACACAAATCCATTAATTAAGTTATGTGTTTTGAGATGTATAAGACCAGACAAATTGATTCCAGCTATTTAAATATTTGTTCATGGATATTTGGGAGAAGAATTTATTTTCCCACCAGCTTTCAACTTAGCTGAGATATATGAAGATAGTTCTTCAGTAACACCATTAATTTTTGTTTTATCTCCTGGATCAGATCCATTTGCTTCATTAAGTGTTTTCGCAAATTCGAAGAATAAATCATTTGCATAAATTTCATTGGGTTAAGGTTAAGGTCCATTAGCATAGAAATTGATATCTGAAGGTGTAATAAATGGAAGTTGGGTTGTATTATAAAATTGTCATTTGGCAGTCTCTTGGATGAATACATTAGAAAAGATATGTGAAGAATTATCACCAGATCCAAAGTAAACTCATCCTGAATTCAGATTATGGTTAACTAGTTATCCAAGTCCTTAATTCCCTACTGCTATTTTATAAGCCGGTATTAAGATGACCAATGAACCTCCAAAAGGATTGAAAGCTAATTTATAAGGATCCTATTTAACTGATCCTATATCAAATGATGAGTTCTTTACTGGATGTAATAAACCTGAATGGTTCAAAAGATTATTATTTGGTTTATGCTTCTTCCATGCTGTTATTTAAGAGCGTCGAAAATATGGTCCTCTTGGATGGAATATTCCTTATGAATTCAATGAATCTGATTTACGTATATGTGTTAGGTAACTAAGAATGTTCTTAGATGAAAATGATTATGTACCTTTTGAGGCTTTGAGATATTTAACTGCTGAATGTAATTATGGTGGTAGAGTTACTGATGATAAGGATAGAAATCTTATTAAAATTCTACTTGAAGATTATTATTGTCCTTAAGTTATAGATGAAAGCTAGAATTATAACTTTGGTTATGAAGAATATAATGCACCTCATTATGAAACAAGAGAAGAATATTTAGAACATATCAAATAGCTTCCCCTTTTGACTCCACCTTAAATATTTGGTTTCCATCCTAATGCAGATATCACTAAAGATATGAATGAAACAAATCTTATTTTAGAATCATTATTATTATGTTCTGCTCAAGGTGGTAGTTCTAGTGGATAATCTTTTGAATAAGTACTTGAATAATTAGTTAAAACTATTATGACGGATTTCCCAGAAGAATTTAATTATGAACAAGCTACTGAAAAATATCCATTCAATCCAAAAGAATCCATGAATACTGTGCTCACATAAGAATTGACCAGATTTAATAAATTGATTAATATTATTAGAAAAAGTATGGATGATCTAAAATTGGCACTTATGGGTAAGATCTTAATGAGTCCATAACTTGAAAGAGCTAGTAGATAATTATTTGATGGAAAAGTACCTGATCTTTGGATGGAAAAATCTTATCCATCATTAAAACCACTAGGAAGTTATGTTATTGATTTGAAAGCAAGATTGACCTTCTTCTAAAAATGGCTAGATAATGGAATTCCTTATAATTACTGGTTATCTGGATTTTTCTTTACCTAAAGTTATCTTACTGGTGTTCTATAAAATTTTGCAAGAAAATATGTAATTCCTATTGATGAAATTAAATTTGAATATAAAGTAAACCTATAATATAATTTTAGATTATGGATTAATCTATAGATGAGCATATTTAATCAAGACCAGATGATGGTGCTTATGTTTGGGGTTTATACTTAGAAGGTGCTAAATGGAATTTCAATATTATGGAGCTTGATGAATCAGATCCAAAAGTATAATATTATTAATAAAATAGGTATTATTCACTAAATGTCCAACTATTTAATTATGTCCAATGCATATTTCCTAAATAAATCCTCCTCCTACTTATAATTGTCCGCTTTACAAAACAAGTGCTAGAAGAGGAGTGTTGTCAACAACTGGTCATTCTACTAACTTTGTGATGTACGTAAGGCTGTATACTTCTAAACCTGAGAGATTCTGGGTTAAAAGAGGTGTTGCTTTACTTACACAATTAGATGATTGACATTAATATAAATATAAATAATTATAAATTTATTAATTTACATATTTATTTTTTTTAATTGTTTATACTTCTACCAATATCATGAAAATCAATTCTAAATTAATTTTTTAATCTATCATTCTATAAATATATATATCTCCATAATCATAGATGGGTTTCTTTGAACATAAAAATTATATAAAATATCTTTAATTAATTTTTATCTTCTTAAATATAAATCAAATGAAAAAATTTATTGTAAATAGAATAAAAATTCTCCTTTAAAATAATGAAGTTATTTGGATTAATCTATAAATTAAGTTAAAATATTTATATAAAAATTTAGGGATACCAATTTAATTCAAAAGATTTAATTTTGTTGATTCCTTGTTATTAGAAGCAGGGTATACAGTAATAAAATTTAAAATATCTAAGATGATATATATAGTTGAGAAATACTTCAAATAGATCTTTGATAAACCCTAAAAGCCTTAAAAAAACTTGGAAAGAATATTAAAATTAATTTTCTGAAAATCTTTTTTCGATTTATTATAAATTACAATCATCTTATGTGATAAAAATTAGTAAGACTTCTAATCTTTATTTTATTATATGTTAAATTTGGTATTTATTTTTATACCACATCTTAAACTTAAACTTCTGTTCATAAATTTATTTAAACCAGATTTTTATATAATTGGATTAAATTTTTATCAATATGTTTTTTAACAATGATGTAATTTATGGGGATACTTATCATTTTTATTTTTTAATATATTCTTAAATAAATAGGTGATATTCAGTGAATTATAATGCAAAATAATTTTTTTAAAGGTTTAAGTATGTAATAATAATTATTTAATTATTCTATTTCAAATTTATCGAACATCATGTGACAATTATGTTTGAAATTAATTTGATTGATTTAAATACTTATTCCAACTTTAAATTAATAAAAGAGTAAATGCCAAAAACGTTCCTTTTATATCATTTGATCTTACTTTTTTATAGACTGAAATGATTTGACCAGCACTAAAATAAAAATGTTTTAGTAATTATTTATCACTAATATCTGTTTTTGTAAAATAAGAGTAATAACTTTATCAGGTATTACGCTTATTGAAATAAGATTATATTATAATAAATAAATTATCGAAATAATTTAAATATGTGGGGATTGATCTTGATTATATCTGTTGGGCTTTTTTAAAAAATTGAAATACAATCTCAAATTAATGTTGTTAAAGATTGTAATATTATTGCTATTTAACTTTTTACATTATATATTTTAATTTTATTATTATAATTATAAGATGTCAGACGAAGAATAACCACAATGTGATTATCAAAAATTCCTAAATTAACTTTAAACAGTTAAAAAGATGGATGATGTTGAAATTTTAGATTCTAGTGATGAATTTTAAATGGAAAAAAATGATACTCAATATAGTTAACAAAACATATACCATTCAGGACTGGATGAATTTGTTATTCCACCTAAAGAACAGGACTCAGTTTCAATAGATACTAAACCATATGAAAGCACATAAATAACTAAACCAAAGATTCAGCCTGTCTAAGTATTTTGTTTAAATTTTAATTAGTTACCTCCTCTATCAAAAAAGATAAATAAAGCTTTAGAAAGAAAATTTTGTTTTAAAAATGTGGAAATCAATTAGTAATTATTAAAATATGAGACTGTTTATTATGAAATTGAAAGTTATATTGATGAAAATGATAAAGCACTTGTTATAAGATAATATTCTGATTTTGAATGGCTTTTCGAAGAGCTTGTTGAAAACTTTCCAGGTATTATTATCCCTTCTATACCTCAAAAAAATTTATTCGCTAAATTCAATATAACCGGATATACCAATTCTATTAGATCATAAAGATAAAAAGGTCTTGAAGAATTCTTAAGAAAAATTCTTAATCATACTTAACTTAAGGATTGTGAAATCATTGAAAAATTTATGACATCTTAAGATTAAGACTTTAGAAAACTAGTTTAAAATTATCAAGCATAAAAATAACAGAAATTATTGATAAATGTCAGTAAGAATATGGTTGTAAATGCACTTGGAAAAATTGGAAACATTTTTTTTAGTATTTTTATTTATTAATTATTATCAGACTCATAAAACAATGACAATGAAATGGAAAAGTATTGTTAAATTGCTGTTTAAGAAATCAATATATAAAAAGTTAAAATTAAGAACATTAGAGATTAATTAGAAAAGACATTTCTAAATAAATTTGAACAGAGCAAATAGTTTATGAAATTATCTACTCTATTTGATGAAATTTAGAATGATATTGGATATAAAGAACATATGAATTCTAAATGCGAAACTATTTCTTTAGCATTAAGAGATTCTTTTGAAAGTGTAATCCCAATTATTTACATGATTGATGTAATAATATATTGAAAATTAGGCTAGTAATACTTATTAGACATGGAAGTAGTTCTAAATAATGTAAAATACAGGGCAGATTTACAATTATTGATAACTGATCATGCAGCTGCTTTAACAAGTGCTAAATATACTGTATTATATTTTATTAAGTAAAAAAGCCTGAATAATAAGCATTGATCTAAACATAATTGAATGAACATTAGAAAAATATGAGTAAATTTGTAGAAAACTTTAAAAATGAATACGAAACATTTACCGATTAATACAATAAGCATTTTAATAAAATGATGTAAACAGTTTTATCTGTTTGGCAGCAAATCAATACTCAAATGTAAGAAACTTGGCTTTGATTTTTTTTAATTAAAATAATCGAATCAACTAAATATTTAGAAAATTAATACTATTTTTCCCTAAATATTTCAATTAATAAGATTCTAAATATTTAACAAAATTTATTATATATATTTTTTTTTGATCCAGATTTTTGTATCTTTTGAATTTTTTGCTCCAAAAAATCTAATTAAAAGTAATTTTATCAAATATTTGTACTCCTTTTACTATTTAATTTAGAATAAAGTTAAAGATCATATTATATATATTGACTTTGTAAATACAAGCTATATTCAGACTATTTTATTGATGTATAGATAAAAGTAATTTTTTTAAAATATAGACCTAAATTTTACTTAATTTTATTTGTTTATTAGTTTCAGTTAAGACTAAATTATTTAATTAAAAGTTGATTGGTTTTTCTGGATAAAAACCTAAGATTTATTTAATTAAAAGGAATAGTAATAAGAAATTGTTAGTAATTTATTATAGAAGTATAAAGATTTATAGAAAATTCTAATTTTCTCCAGAATAGTATTTTCATTATGATCACATTCATAAAGGAATATTAAAAATTAATTGGCTCAATTTATTTATGAAAAATATTTAAAAAATTTAGATTATATAAATTATAATCAATTTCATTAATTAATTTTGATTCTTTTAACAGAGGATTCTTTTTCTGGATCTTTTTTTTAAAATTCTGAGATAAAGTTCCTAAAATTAGGTCTAGCTTATGAATTGCCTTTTTTAAAATACTATTTTAGTTGAAAACTATGATCTCCATTTAATGGTAAGAATACTTCATTCATTTGATTAATTATCACTTCATTTTAAGGCATAACGATTTCTTTATCTTCACAATAAAAGAATTCATGAATAATTCTATCCTTTGTGATAATTTGTAAAATTACTTTAGAAGTATTGAACCAATGAAATTAGTTAAATCTACATATGTATTTCTTGATTTGATAAGTAGAACTTTCTTTACACACAAGTAAATGTTAAATGAACTAATCTAAGGATTACAGTGTATGAGATTTGTTAATTGGACATAAATAAACATTTTTTTCAAGGACATCATCATAAAATTCTAGTTCATAAGTTTTTAATTTTTTTTACATTAATTTAAAATATCAAACTAAATTAAAAGGTTTAAAAAAATATGAATAAGAGATGATGAATAAAAGGTGAACAATTTATTTAGATAATAATAATCAATCTAGGTATACCTGATTAAAAAATGGATGATGAATAAGTTTTTTTAAAGGCTCTCTTTCTTAAGGATCAATTCGGAGCATTTTTCTAATTAAATCAAAAAAGTGGAAATGTTTAGCTGGGATTAATTCTTCGAAAGATTTGAATTTCTTAACCCTTTCAATAGCAGAATCACTAGGTGCTACTTAATTCCATTTAAAATAGGATCGATGCCAATCAAAGTACCTCTAATTTCAATAAGTGTACTTTTAATCATAATTGAAGTATGTTTTAAATTTGGAATTTTTAAAATGATGGTAATTCATAGGTCCAATAGCTTTTTCAATCATGGCAATATGTTCTAAATCATCTTTATTTTAGAAATATAATTCTCCTAAATGATAAATATGAATATAATACCTGTATATAATTCAAGTAATACACAAGCAATACACCAAATATCACTATTTTCATTCCATTTTTAAAATCCCATAATAACTTCAGGAGCACGATATTATCTAGTATTTATAACAGTGCTATGATATTCATTATCAAAAGTAGCTCCTCCAAGATCTATTATTTTAAGAATTTCTCTTTCAGGAACCCAGATTCTAATTTATATAATATAAACAATACTGTCTTCCTTTAAATGGAATCTATTTATATTCACAATTAGTAGTTAAGATGTTTTCTGGTTTCAGGTCTGTGTGAGTGAGCTAGTTTTGATGAAGAAAAGCAACAGAAATAATTATCTATTTGGCAAATGCTTACACATATTTCAATGGAAAACCTATGTAGTTGTTCTATTTTATTATATCATATAATGATTTCCCTAACTTAATGATTATTTTAGAGATACCCTTTCGAAAACCATGAAATAATTATCATATCTTTCAAATGAAGTAAACAGTCTTACTATATTGTATGATCCATTTTTATCCTTTTCTTAAATGTACCATAATATTTTAGTTTCTATTTTTGCCGATTCTATGTACCTTTCTACAGCCCTTATACACTTTTAAATCCAAATAATATTACTTTCATGGCATAATAATTACTACTATTTTACACTTCCAATACACGACCAAAGGTGCCATCTCCTAAAAATCGTGTAATAATAAATTATCCATTTTTTATCTTCATCCCAATTTTATATTCAAAATGCCCAGCATCTTAATCCTCTTTTTATTTTTATTTGTTTTTTCTTCTCTACTTTTTATGAGAGTATCTTGATGAAGATGATGAACTTGATGAAGATGATCTTGAGGAGGATCTTGAAGAAGAAGAACTAGATGAAGAACTCATTAAAAAAATTATTAAATAAATTATTTCATTTTCATTCCTAATTTTGGATTATATCAGACTTTTTTATCAAACCTTATTATTTATTCATTTTGCTCATTTCCATTCAATTAATCTCTTTTTCTTCTTAATATTCAACTTTTATTTATCTTATAGTTTATTCTATCAATCTCTTTAATTGATCATATATTAATGATTGTATATACATATATACAAATCTAAAAATATTTATACATTTTTGTCAAATTATTAATATTTTCTATCTTTTTCAGAATAACTTAATTGTTTGATTAAAAAATTACTTTTTTTATTCAACATTGTAAATGTATGGTAAGTGAAATGAGAAAAATAACATAACAACTATTTCTAAATCAATTATTTGCTTCCTCCTCATACCAACTTTTATTTTTATTATAATTAAATTCAAAATTCAAAAGTTTTATTATTGAAATATTATATTAAGTTTATTTTAGGAAGAATTTAATTTCAAATATTCAAAATTTCTAAAATTTAATATACTCTATATTTCCAAGTAATGGTGAATAATTATATTTATCTATTTTTTGTATAATTTTAATAAATAATAAAATTTTAGTAAAACTTGTAAATTTAGAAAATAACAATATGAGAATGATGAAATTTTTTAATTTGGAACAAAATAATAAATATAAATGATGAATTTTTTTTAAAATTGTAGAACAATGTAAAGAAAAGTAGGCAATGAGATTATTGAATTGAATTTATATTACATATAATTAAATAGTTTGTACATGAACAGAACAGGTGAGAAATAAAAAAAAGAAATTATTACTAAGAAATTATATATAATTTATTTTAAATTAATGTCTAAGAGAAGAAAGAATAGTTCATCTTCATCGTCATCATCATCTTCATCTTCATCTCCTGAGAAAAAGATCTATGTTAACCAATGCGACAAATACAAGGAAGAAAGATAATCTGAAATAAGGATACATTTTTATTTCAAGGATTTGTACATTGGAGGATTGAAAGAAGATGAATTTTTATTTTATTTACATGGACGCATATAAAAGGCTGTAAGAATCTCTCTTTCTAAAAGAGGGTCCATGCGATTTGTTACAAATAAGTTCAATAAATAAGNTGAAGATGATGAACTTGATGAAGATGATCTTGAGGAGGATCTTGAAGAAGAAGAACTAGATGAAGAACTCATTAAAAAAATTATTAAATAAATTATTTCATTTTCATTCCTAATTTTGGATTATATCAGACTTTTTTATCAAACCTTATTATTTATTCATTTTGCTCATTTCCATTCAATTAATCTCTTTTTCTTCTTAATATTCAACTTTTATTTATCTTATAGTTTATTCTATCAATCTCTTTAATTGATCATATATTAATGATTGTATATACATATATACAAATCTAAAAATATTTATACATTTTTGTCAAATTATTAATATTTTCTATCTTTTTCAGAATAACTTAATTGTTTGATTAAAAAATTACTTTTTTTATTCAACATTGTAAATGTATGGTAAGTGAAATGAGAAAAATAACATAACAACTATTTCTAAATCAATTATTTGCTTCCTCCTCATACCAACTTTTATTTTTATTATAATTAAATTCAAAATTCAAAAGTTTTATTATTGAAATATTATATTAAGTTTATTTTAGGAAGAATTTAATTTCAAATATTCAAAATTTCTAAAATTTAATATACTCTATATTTCCAAGTAATGGTGAATAATTATATTTATCTATTTTTTGTATAATTTTAATAAATAATAAAATTTTAGTAAAACTTGTAAATTTAGAAAATAACAATATGAGAATGATGAAATTTTTTAATTTGGAACAAAATAATAAATATAAATGATGAATTTTTTTTAAAATTGTAGAACAATGTAAAGAAAAGTAGGCAATGAGATTATTGAATTGAATTTATATTACATATAATTAAATAGTTTGTACATGAACAGAACAGGTGAGAAATAAAAAAAAGAAATTATTACTAAGAAATTATATATAATTTATTTTAAATTAATGTCTAAGAGAAGAAAGAATAGTTCATCTTCATCGTCATCATCATCTTCATCTTCATCTCCTGAGAAAAAGATCTATGTTAACCAATGCGACAAATACAAGGAAGAAAGATAATCTGAAATAAGGATACATTTTTATTTCAAGGATTTGTACATTGGAGGATTGAAAGAAGATGAATTTTTATTTTATTTACATGGACGCATATAAAAGGCTGTAAGAATCTCTCTTTCTAAAAGAGGGTCCATGCGATTTGTTACAAATAAGTTCAATAAATAAGCAAACACAAACAATTGATGTAGCAGTGGGATTCAAATATGATGAAGATGCACTAAAAGTTTATTAAGGGAAAGTTTCCGTTAAAACAAAAGATAAGCTTACTCCCATCTTATCTAAAGTGTATACTGAAATGTTGAAAGAACAAGGATTTATGATGAAAGAATAATCAAATGATTTTCGTAAGTCTCAGTAGAAAGAATTATCTCGTGAAAAAGAGAAGCCTTCATAATACGTTCCAACATATAATTGTATAAATATCACCAATTTAGATAATATAAAAAAGGAATAGTTATATATTTTTGGGATTCCAAAAGAATTTACTTTAGAGGAATGCATATCTGAAATAAAGTAAATCTATGATTTAGTGGTACGACCTGAAGGAATATTTCGATCTGAAAAGATTGGAGATATTACTTATGAATATTTAGAATTGCAAGTTGAGAGGATTCCATGTCAATAAATTTTGAAGAAATTGCCATTAGTATTAAAAAATATATCTCTACTTTGTTTTTAAAAGAAAAAGCGAACAGATCCTTTTAATGAAGTTTTGAAACCTTTTTAAGTAATACTAAATGGAAAAGTAAATTTATCTTAAGTTTATGTTCATATGAATACAATAGGAGGTGTGCTATTTCATTAAATTAGGTAATTATATAAATCTATATAATATAGTGAATAAAAGTATTGTATAATGATGTAAAGTGAATAATCTGTGATTGATTTAAAATTACCTTGTAATTTAGAGATTTAAAAAGTTTAATGTTAAGTTACTTAGAATTCAGATTTTGTTATTTAAATGGGAAGACCTAATTTAAATGAAACTACATATTATAAGATCTAGGAATTCAAAAAGAAATAAGAGGAGATGAAATTGGCTCGTCTACATTCTAGTTCAAGTTCTAGTTCTAGTTCCAGTTCAAGCTCAAGTTCTAGAAGCAGAAGTAGAAATAAAAAGAAGAAGAAACATCATCACAAAAAAAAGTATTGAGGTTTTATATATTAAAATATTGATCTTTCATATTGTAATTGTTTTATATTTAATTTTATTGATATAAAAATAATAGATAATTTTATATATGAAAATATTATTAGTTAATGGATTTCCTCCAACACCTGAAGGATTAAAATCCTTCTTAGATTTCCGTTATATAGTTTAAAAAGCCTTTATTAATTATGTAAAATTGATGATACGAATAGTCTGAAGTACCAGACTAAGAAATGGAATATATAGTTAGAGATTTCTCTTCAATTTCTGATTTTTTGTATGAGATTCAAAGCTCCTATGTGAATTAAAATGCTGTTTAGTAAAAATATAATAATAATAAGAGCATTTAATGCCTTTGATATTATATTTGTTGCAGGTAGTGGAAATACATTACCATGGTCACAGTAAATGGAAAAAATTTAAGTTCTTTAAAGAATGTGCATCAAAATCAATAAATATTTATTTGCATGTGGTTGTGGAATGATGGGCTTAGTGTTTCTTTCTGCTTCTAACTTTGATAGAACTGTTTATTTTACAAATGATGAATTGCATCCTCAAAAGTATTTTATTGAAAAGAGTACTGGAGATATCTTTGTTTATCATCCTGATACAAAAACATGGCAACCTAAAAGCAATGCAGGATTACATAATAATAAATCAGCTCAAGAGTATTAAAAATTGGGAAAGTACATCTTAAAAGCCCCTATTTATCGTCCATTTAAAAATATAGAAGTTTATGCTAGCAAAAGCAACGAAACTATTGTACATATAAAATCTTCTCATATTAATCATTACATTTTCGAAGGACTTAAGAGTTAATCTTTTGTAGCTACTACATCTTCTAAGTGGGATGTTCATTCATTTTCTTTTCCTTCTATTGAAAGGGCTTTTACCATTTTAGCTGAATCTGATAAAGGTCCTATAATTATAGAATATGGCTCATATATTATAGCAACCTTATTTGATATTTCAATTAAATATGAGACCACTACTTAAATCATTGAAAATTATGTCAAAACTACTGTTGATAAAATTAAAGGAGGAGCAAAAATTTAAGAATAATCAAATGGTGTTTATATTGGTAAAAATAAATTCAAAGCTACAAGAAACCTTAAAATTGAATTGCTTTATCGATCAGCACCTAGCTCACCCGAACGTTCTTAATAAAAATCATTTAAACATAGTGGATTTGCTGTAAAAAAATCTTAATAAATATTTACATCTTAAAATTTCATATCTCCTTATCGTTTTCATTAATCTCTTTAATTGACTAAAAGATTACAATAAAATTAAAAACACAAAAGTTTTAAATTATAATAAACCGAGAAAGTATAATAAACTTTTCAATCACCTCAATCATCCATGACCAGAAATGAAATTATTAAATTTCTCCATCCGTCTTTAGATATGGAATTTAGTTCTTTCTGGATTCCTGGTTAATATACTAAATTATCCAATACTTTTAAACCAAAAAATAAATGACTTCATTATTTTAAATATTTCTATATAATTTTGTACCTTTATCAATAGCCAATGCCAAAATTCTTATAGATTGAGTAACATTTAGTTTAACTGAATGCTTTCAATTTAATTTATAAAATATATTGTCCCCATTTAATTTATATAAACTTATTAACTAATATTTATTTTATTGATATTATTTTAAATCTCTATTTGCTATTATGATGAAGTATTTGGTAACCATATCTGGCTATGAAACAAGAAGTGATGTTATTTTTTATAAAATCACTATCAATGGATTGCATCATTCTAAAGTGATTTATAAAAGATACTCAGATTTACGAGCATTAAATGATTAACTTTTAAAAAAGAATCATGAATTCAAGCTTAAATTAAATCTCCCAAATTTTCCAAAAAAAAAATTATTTGGAAGAACTAAACATTCTGAATCAGATATAATCACAAGAGTAATAGTTAAAATCGATTCTTAGGGGCTATAATTATAGTAATACTTGGAAACCATCCTTAATATTTAGATGCTATGCACATTTTAATTTATAAGAGATTTATAACCAAAGGATGAGACATTAGAGGAATCAATTATGCAAATAAATATAAACCATCAATATACTAAAGATGTTTGTTGGCCATAAATGTAGAAATTAAAGCTATAATATTTATAACGCCACGATTCAAATTCTTCTCCAACTAAATCTTAACCCAAAAAAACAAACGGATATAATTAAAGATTTTATTTTTAATTTGATGATTATGTGAAACAGCAAGACTTTGTTTTATATTATATTACTTTATATGACTAAAAAAAGATTGTAAAGTACTTATTTAATACTCGATACAGTTAACTCAAAGATTATCATTCTTTATTGGAAAAAAAACAATTCAAAAATTAAATTCCTTCTTTTCCTAAAAGAAAAATTATTGGATAAACATGCGATAATCCAGAAGAAATTCAAGAAAGACAAATTTAATTAGAGAGATATTTAAATGATATTTTTAGTGTAAAGGAATTTGTCAATAGTGAACCTTTAGTATATTTTATATTACGTATTCAGCTTGAAAATAAATGTATTCAAGACTTCAATTCATAATAACAAAGATGTAGTCGATATTCACAATAAGTTAATTGCTCATCTTTAGAAAAAGAACCTTTAGAAATACCAAAAAATATTCAATCTAGTTGAGTTGAATTCATTTTGTGTCATTTTTAACTCTTTTTCAAAAATTCTACTTTGATTTATTTATATTATTAAGATTAAAGGAATTTTATTTATTATTAAAAAATAAAATAATCCCTTGAGTAATTAATATTGGTTTAATGAAATTTACTTAATCATAATTATTTAAATAAATAAAAATAAATTCAAATCTTTCTATTTTAATTATATGATTAGTTAGATTATTTATACTTTATTGATAATTTACCAATATGTTCTACTAATAATAATTACTTTATTAGAGTGTTTGAAATTCACACTTTTAATAACTAAACTATGTATTTAGATTTGGGCATTTCAATATAAAAGGATAGCTAAAATAAAAGCATATTCTTACTTACTGTAATCAGAAAAATTATTGAGTCAGAATGAAAAAATATTAGCATCATTTAGATTTAAAATTCCTAAAAATATGATATGGAGACATAGGTAGAAAGACTTTGCAAAAAATTTTAAATCTTTAAATTTTAAAAATATCTTTTTCCTTTTTTTTAAAAAAGAGTATTTTTGATTAATGAAAGATTAAAATAAATTGAGAAACTAAATTAAAAATTTATTGATCTAAGTTATTATTTACAGAGTAATAAATATCTAAATAGGGATTTAAAGAAAATTAATTATTAAAAATTATTAAAATATGCATTTTAATTAATTAAAATAATTGTAATTAAATGTGATCATGATTTAAAATAAAATATGATGATTAGTATTGAATCATAAAATTAAAAAATATGAATAAACAAAGAAAAAGTATTCAATGCTCAAGATCTAAATGGATTTTTGAGTTAAGGAAAATCTAGTTGTCTTAATCTACAATAATAATAATAAATTACTATGTGCATAGATCTTCTATCTAAAACTATTCTTCTTCAAAATATGAATGCTGCAAACAGACTACTGCACTGGGCCTTGATTAAGCCACAGATATCATCGATTACAATAATTCCAGAGCATTGAGATTATAGATTTATGACAATGAAATGATGCTATTTCTATTCAATATCAATAATTCTGAAGCTTTAGTTGATTTAGGTGTCTGGTATAGTTTTTTTCCAGTTAATAAAGCGTGGAACACACACCCTAAACTATATATATCACATAATTCATTATATTGATTCATATTTAAAATTTCAGGAGCTATATATCCTGGTGTACCACATCTTTAATAAGAAAATTTCTCCTCATCAATAAATGATGAGTATCCATAATCCATAATTTTTATTGAATTTGGATCGTTTTTTCTCATTAACATAATGTTGTCTAATTTTATATCTCTATGCATAATTCCAAGTTTATGAAGATGATCAATTCCTTATAGCAATTTTTTCATCATTTCTTATGTTACTAATTCTGGTAAATTTAAATCATTCTCCATTAGATATTCATAGAGTGTTCCACCTTTGCAATGATGCATAATATATATAATTGACTATTCATATAAGAAAATTTAGCTTGCTCCTAAAAGATATTAATGAGGATTATAAGATAATTTCATATAGATCTTAGCCTCATTCATTACGAAAGACTAAATTTAATAGAAACTTATTACATTTTATTCAAAATCCGTAGGCTTAATTTTAGGGAACTTCACTTATTTAGCAATAACAATCTCCTCTGTTAATAAATTTTTACATATCATAATCTAAAAAGGATTAAAGAAAATTACTTCGACATTTTTATGAGATTTAATTACCTCTAATTTCTGGTAAAACTATTTAAAATTTCTATAGTAAGCTTTTCCATTAAGTTTGTTCTATAAGTCTTATAAAATTTCATGTTTTTCACAATATACAATTCTTTGATTTTATTTTGTGTTATACACCATCATCTCTTTGATAATGTTATTTCTAAATAATATTTCTATGCTACTCATAATTCCATTTGATTTGATAGTCCATTTAAGTTAGATCAAATTTCCTATCAATCGAATTTAAACTCTCTCTCTAGACCAATAAATCATAGACCTTACCTTATTTATTATGAGATAATTTTCAACCAAGTATAAGTATCTATTTTCTTACTCATTATTTTGTTTTTTCAAGAGTGAGGTTTTATAAAATACAATATTCTTCATAGAAAAAAGATATAGATAATAAATAATCAAAAATGTAAAATTTATTACATAAAAATACTGAGTTTTAGAAATCCTTTTTCTTATAAATTATTCAGATATTTGAATTAAATTTGATACTAAGAATTATGTTAATATAAGCTGTTTTTTTTTTAGATTAATTTTATTATTATTATTATTATTTTTATTAATTCATAGGTTTGCTTTTGCTGGAATATTGAAAGTTGAACCATTTGGTTTTATATTATTTTCTGTTTCTGCGATTAAGAATTAAATTTATGTTAAAGATTTTTCATTAGGTTATATTTTATTTTCACTTGAAAACATTACATAAAAAATATAAATATTTATTTATTAAGAATCTATTATTTTTCAGAATAAAAATATTAAAAAAAATATAAACATGAATTAAAATTGCAATACGATTTAATGAGCAAACTTTTTTGAAATAATCTGTCTTTAAATAAAAATATTTCAAATTTTTTATTATTCATTTTGAAAATTAAAACAAGTCCTTTTTTTGGGTAAAATTATTCATGTCAAACTTTAGAGAATCATAAATTAACATAATTTCCTTTATTAATCATTTATTTAATTAATAGAATATGAGAAGTTAATAGTTTTAAATAAATATTATAAATGTTAGATTTCTAAATATAAAATAAATTTTCCAATAGTTTATTTCAAAAGACAATTTTTAGTTATTAATGAAAATCATTTAATCGAGAGTTTAATAGATTTCTAATAGGATTCTTCATACATTCATCATTATATATGATGAAGAATTTTAAATCATTTAATATATTTTCTATCAATAGGTTTATATGTGCTAAGAAAGCTATTTTAATATTAAGAGAAGAAATTGGACTTTAAAAGTCTTATAAAAAACTATTTGAAACTAGAACATTAATAAAATGATATAAGTTTTTTGAATAAAATAATAAACTCTTTTTATTGAGCCAATTATTCGAATCTCAAATTTCACTATAATTAGAAAATATTTTGTAAAATAAATAATAAATAAATTTAACTCCTTAAGCAAAATCAAATTTTGAAAAATTCTTAAAACTTATAAAAATAGCCCACGAAGCTATTTGTAAACAAACAAACTTAAAATTAATCATTATTAAACTAATTTAGGAGAAATAATTCATTAGATAAATTTTTTTCTTAAATTGACTATAAAAATCCATCATTATATTAAGAAAATTTTTATTAAAGAACTTTATCAATAAATAGGATTGTGATTTATTTAAGTATATATGATTTTTATTATTTTTAAAGTTATATTTAAGATTAATACATTCAGAAAAAAATTTGCTCTTTTAAATTTAGAGGATCTTGTAAAATTTGGTCTGATATCGTGAATATTAAAAGGTAGAAATAAATAATGATTTAAACATTTTTCGCTAAAGAGATAATTAATTAGTTGTTTTTTTAATTACTTTATGCAATTCTATTATATTTTTTATTTTAAAATAAATAAAAAATAAAGCAAGAATGGATTATTTTGCGAAATAGTCTAATAAAAATAAAGATCGTTATAATAAAATCCTGAATTATTATTAATCTCTAGACTTAAAAATCATATAATCGAAGATGTTTTTGTCTTAATTCACATATATAATATTTGATCCGATTATTTGCTTAAACTTCAAGTTTTTACTTGATTTTATTTCAAAGGATTAATCAAATAATTTTAAACATCCTTTATCTATTCAAATAATCGAATTGATAGTAAAAGAATATGAAAAATTAAAAACACTACAATTAGTTCATAATTAATTAAGCTTAGAAAATATTTTAATTTGTACAAAAGATCCTGTTCCTTTTTTAAAGATTTAAAATATTAAAATAATTTTTTTTAACTTTTAAAATGATGAACCTCAAACCAACACTGATGAATAATAAATATTTTATATAATCAAAAATTTAATAAAAGATAAATTGATATAAATGAACAATTTTGAAGAAAACTTAAGTTAATGTAAGAATTTGAAAGATATAAGAGATAAAATCATAAATTATAATAAAACTAATAATGATTAAATGAAATTTAATTTAATTAATCCATCTCGATTGGAATATTTTTATAAAGTGAATTAGATATTTAAAAAAAAGCAATTGAAAAATAATTATGTTGAATTTATAGAATAGTTAATATGGCAAAATTATTATTATTATTCTTTAAAATTCGAATAGAAAGATTATGAATTGTATTCTATATAAAAAAAGATAGATAAGAAAATATAAATTTATCAAACAGCTCAAAAACAATTATAAAATTATTTGATATAGGAATTAAGATTTTTAAATTAGTTTCATTAAAGTTTATATAGAGATAATTATGAGGAAATCATATTTGGAGAAAATATTCAAAAAGAGTATGAAGAGAAAATGAAAATAAATTTTTAATATGAATATTATTAGATTTTAAAAACTTACTTTTAAGATTCAAAAAATTTAGAGGGATACATAAAAAAATAAATTCAAAATAAATTATAATATCTTTGGCAGTAACATTAGAAAATGATTTTTGACTAATACTTAAAATAAGCCACAACATTAATTATTTCTAATATAACAGAATTAACAGGCAACTACCCAGTAGAGTAATAATTTTGATATCAAAATTATTTATATATTAATGTATACTTATCATCAATTGAAATCTTAATGTGATTTAGCAATTAGCTAAAGTTAATATAGAGAAGAGTAATCAATTATTATTATTGTACATATATTTACAAAATTAATAAAAACAATTAGTAGGTATTGTATAATATGTGGAAAAATATTTGAATGTAATTCTGAATAATTCTCATGATCAAAATTAGTTATAATCAAATAATAACCAAATTATTGCAAATATAAGATATGCATATTTTTCAATGATTACTTTCTTTGTTGAAAGGCGTTTCAAGAATACTTATGTAGTATATTGCCTAATTTTAACTTTCTTTTTATATAAAGACTTGTAACTTTCGAAAAACAGTAATCTAAGTTACTTTTGTAAGAATAATGGATTAATAGCGATCTTAAACTAATAATAAGGATACTGTTTAAAAAATGGCGATTTTTATTTATCTGATGAGGATTACTTTATCAACCTTCTATTTGATATAGTTATTCATCTCCAAAAATTTAATTTCTCAATTATTTTTTCCTCCTCCTTTTGAATCCAGTTAATACAATATCCACACTTTCCGCCCACAACATTAGTAACCATCTATTCAATATAATAACCTTCTTTAGAATTTAATTCTTAAATTTTTTCATTGAAATAGTATATTCTTCAATAAACTAACTATTGAAACAAATTTCACATTATAATTTCTCCTTTTTAATGAAAATTCATATATTAATTTTATTTTTATATGTAATAATTTATTGATCTTTGTAAACTGTTAATTTCAGAAAGTACAAACCAAGTTTAGAAAGAATTAGAAAATCTCAACTAGAAAGAAGCTTAAATGTTAAAAGAGTATTAATAAAATGAAGAGTATGATTAGGATGACCCAATCATCTCGAAAAATCTAAATGAATTAATTATTCATTATAGAAACTACATATTGCATAATTATTTATAAAAGTATTAGAAATTTTTGATAGAATTAGATTAGTTAATAAAATTCTAGACTCCAAAGAAAAGATATTTCAAATAAGAAATAATTTAAATACACTAGACTATTATTTAGGTAGTTAAATTATGACTTTAGAATATATAGCCAAAAAATTAATTAAACTTTAAGATTTATAAACTTTAAAAAAAATAATTTTGAATGATTAAAATCTTCTAATAGAAGAGGATCAATATTAGGTAAGCCCAATTATACTTGACTTATTCAATTTGTAAATTGTTAGAGATATTTATTTTACATAGTTTAACTTAAAATATGGAATAGAAATGAATGATTATCATAGAAATTAAAAAAAATTAGAATTCGATTTTGATGATGAAAATAAGTTTAACTAAAAGAATAATCATATATGGAGCATCAAAATAACTTAACCTGAACTCGTTAATGATTATCCATTCTCTTAAGATATTTGTTAAACCTTAAAAAATAATTAACCCTCTTAAAAATAATCAGTTGTAAAAGAAACTCTAAAAATATAAACTCAAAACCAAAATGATTTCATATAAACATAGCCAAATTATTAATAAATATAATTATCCAGATCTCCCACCTCATTAGGTAATAAAAATTAGTTTTAATCATAATTTTTCAGATCTCCAACCTCAGGCTAAAAAAAGTAATTTGAATTCAAAATAGAGACTTAATAAAATAATTTTAGTATAGCTGAATAAATATTATAAAGAAAAGATAGGTAAACAGCTTTTTAAAATAAAAACGATAATCGTAAGAAATATATTATAAACTATAAAAATGAGAATTCTGATTAAGATATTTTTGATGAATAATCATTTTAAATATTGAGGAACTATTTGGAAGGCAAATATACTTAAAATAAGATAGATAGAACAGAAGATTTAAAAGTATTGATAAACAAATAAAGATTATGATAATGGTATTTGATTTTTATCTTCGCAATATAATAAATTTATATGATTTGAGAATAATTATATACATTTAAAATTAATAAATAAGTCAATTTTAGATGTTTTTAATTTTTTTACCTTCTATCCACTCTCCTCTCTTAACTGATCCATCCAATAAAATATACTTTCCTTTTCCATGTTATTTTCCACTAATCCATTCTCCTTCATATTTTTTACCATCAGCCCAAGTATAAACACCATATCCATGTTTTTTATCATTTATATATCCTCCTTTATAAGATCTACCATCTTGCCATGTATAATGTCCTTAACCATGCATATTATTATTTAACCATTCTCCTTCATATCTTCTACCATCACTCCATTAATAAACTCCATTCCCACTAATCTAATTGTTATCCCAATCTCCATCATAAAAACTTCCATCATTCCATACATACTTTCCTTTACCATGCTTTTTCCCTTAATTATACTGTCCTTCATATTTAGAACCATCTGCCCCTATAATCATAATCTAATTATAAATTACAAGTTTCTACTCCAAATCCATGTTATAAGTCATTAAACCATTCTCCTTCATATTTTGCTCCATTTGCATGTGTATATATACCAAAACCACAAGCCTTATCTTCTACCCAAGTTCCTTCAAATATATCTCCATCTACATGATAAAACTTTCCTTTCCCATGAGCCATATTATTTTTCCATTAACCTACAAATTTTGCTCCATCATTCCATAATTATGAACCTTATCCGTCTCTTGAATTTCCAATCCATTCACCTTCATAAATAGCACCGCTTTTATACTTAAAAGGAGGTCTTTATTCTCTTGTTTTTGAATTACTATGTTATTAAGCATAATCTTTATCACTGCTAAAATATTTATATCCTAAAGGAGGAGCACTTGCAATATCATTTGTACCAATTGATTTTCTTTATTTTTTTTTTCTAACTATATATCCTCTCCAATGAGCTTATATACATATTGCAGCTTTGATCTTTTTATTTTTACTACCATGATCCCCACTCAAATTTGAAACTCTTTATTTACTTGTCTATCATAACTTAAATAAATCATACTTAACTTTATTATTAACTAGTTCTATATGCCTAATACTAAATATTTTTTATTTACTTATTAATCCACTGTCAGCTCTCTTCCATCTGGTTTTTAACAAGATTAACAGTTATTACATTATCCCATTTTAGATTTTAAATTTATATATATATTTATTACAATTACTGAATAAAGGTCACTTGATTTTAGACTTTAAATGCAAATATTTTAAATACATGTATTTTAGTAATAAATTTAAACTATAAAATTGGAATATACTAATTATTAAGAAAATTTTTTTCTTTTTTTATTAAGTCTTTAAAATTCAAATAAATTAATTATTATATTAAAAATTGGCATCTTTAATAATAAAAAGTAAAGATCAGAGTTTTATAAACCTAATTAAAATTTTTCTTATATAAATAAACAATAAATATTATTAAAAGAATCAGACTAAAATTTAGAAATTTAAATATAAAGCCTTATTCTTAAAATAAATACATAAATTTAATTTCAAATGTGATATTCAAAGTTAATATTATCAATTTAACATTTTAATTCTTTGATCTCTTCCTAAATCATAGTAAAATTGGGTTGATGATGAGCATACTAAAAATTAATTGGACTATATTCTAACATCTTTCTATGTTGATTAAAAGGGGAAATATCTTATTCTTCCATTCCTGCAAATTACTTAGAATCATATGAGTCTAGAAATAAATGATAAAAAACGACCTTAAACTAAATTAATGGATGGCTATTTACGATGAGAAGGTGTTTGAATTATAAGTAATGAGTCGTTTTTTGAATTATCATGTTCTTCTTTTAAACTCTAAATAGTTTCTAAAGGTTGATAAAAAGGCTAAGAAACATTTAACATAGATTATGGAACTATTTTTTATGGTTGCTCTTGTTCTAATTCTATTGATTGATTATTGTCATCATCATCCGATCTTTCCTCTAACATATGTACTCTTTTTATATAAGAGTAAAAACGATTCTTCACTTAGTTTTCCTAATGATAGGTCCTCACTGTACTGGTCTTCGATTTAACATTTTAGCTATTTCGCACCACTTAGGACCATATATTCGATATTGTTCTAAAATTATTTGATCTTCTTATAAAGTGAATTTTTGCTTATTTATTTCAGGATCCAAATTATTTAAGAACCTTTCTCTTATCTATTTACTTGAACGACCATCCATAAATCCTTCAATCTATTTCCAATTACGACCATACTCATTAACTAGTCTTATAACTTCTTGATCTTCAAAATCTGTCCATTATTTTCGGAGTTTAGTCAAAAAATAGATTCAAATATACTTTATTTGGGTTAATTCTTTTCCATCTTTATTAACACTAACTAAGATTTCTTCCTGGAATACCCTCAGCAATTAATTTCCAGTTTCCGTTATGCCGATTCTGCAATTCTATTAATATAGAATCCTCATTGGGTTTCCAAAATTTCCCAAACCTTCTCTCTGATGAACTTGAATCAGAGACTTTACTCTATTTATAAATAGATTTTGCTATTTAAGCTGATCTATTGTAAGTTAAATTTTAAATGATACTTGGAAGTTGTTTGCTTTCTTTTCATTTTTTTTAAATTTAATTAATATTATAATATAAATACTAACTACTATTAAGATATTATTTAAAAATATTAATCACTATAACTGTCAATCTATCATACTGTTTTTGCATCCCCCTTTTAAGTGCTCTTTATTATTCAAGAATTAATTTAAAATCTCTTATAAATCATTCAAATTTTTATCTACTTCTTGATTTAAGTATATTATTTAAAAGAATATATCAATAAATTAACATCAAAAATTCCTATTAATAACATCATTATAACTTTTAAAAAAATAAATTTATTTTTATTAAATTTTGAATCTTAATTTTTTTTTTTCCTAACTCCCATTTTAAATTATTTTTAAAATAGACATTTATCAGGATGTATTCTAAATTACAAATATATTTAATATCACAGTAATATTTTTTATCCTTTCAATTTAGAATGTAGAAAATGGAAGAAAAACCTATAAATTTCTTCTTATTTGCTTAAATCTTATTGTTTTACTCTAAATATAAAAATCTATTTTTCTTTAAATAGAACATTTTATACACATAGGCTTATTTAATTCATACACACCTATAAAATTTTGATTTAGGGTCTTTATTTGTATATCCGAATAATCTTATATGTATTAATTATTTCTTTTCAATTTTTTTCTTTAAATTTATTTTTAAGACAATCAATATTAATATGATTATTTTTAAAGACTCAATTTAAAAACAAATGATAAGAAAGGATCCTTCTACATCAATCCATAGTCATATATTACTTTCATATAAATCACAACATCTTTCTATATATTTTTTATAACGTGAATCAATTATATTTAAGATAATTCAATTTATCAACAATTTTTTAAGAATTCTCTATTTATTTTCAATATTGAATTGCAGTCAACAAAAAAGGATTGCAGGACACTAAAATAGTGTAAATATTTATTTATACATTTTATAGCTCATTTTTTATATGAAAACTTTGTTTTTATGATATTTTATTTAGTCCTCTTCTTAATTATAACTTTATTTATACAGTTTCTTCTAATTTATACCAGAATGTATTAAATGAATAAAATGTAATTGATCTTAATATCATAATTATCAATTATGATAATGAGAAATAATAATATATAGAGATTATTTCGAGATGAAATAACATGACATTCATATTTAGAATTTAAAAATTTAAATAAATATTTTTTCTTGATTTAAAAAATACTTTTAGGAAATTTCTCATCAAAACTTAAATAATTAGTGCTCTTTCTTTCTTTAAATATCTTAAAGGAATTGCCTTTTTTTATATCATTTATTTTTGTTTATTAAGTTAAAAAAATAAAATTTGTTAAACTATAATTCATTTTTAACTTAATGGAATTTAGAAAAAATATCAAATCTAATATCAATATATACATCTATACAAAGAAGTTATCTTGAAATTCTTTATAGAGCAGATAAAATTTAAATAGCGTTTCATAACTTCTCGAATAAAAAATACAGAAAGAGAAAATTGATAATAAGGATTTATAAGATAGATATCTAAAAAAATACAATTATTATTAAGAAATTTCATTTTTAGATTATATATATTATAATTATAGTATAAATTGATAAAATCCAGTGAGTATTGAATATAATTCTAATTTATACATATTCATAATCAGTTTTTTGATCTATTATCAGTTATATTTTATTTAATATACTTAAAAATGCTTCATTAGCCTTCAGAATCTCCTCATAAATAGACCTCAAAACGATTTGCTCTGAAAAAAGAAATACCTATTATAAAATAATTTCGAAAAATTTACAAACAATATAATTAAATACCTCATCCACATCTAATCTAAAAAGACTTTAATAGAGAATAAAGAAAACAAATAGAATTAGAAGTTGAGCGTCTTTCTAAATCTCTCACACTCGACTTTGATATCTTTTTTAATAGAAAAATCCAAACTGATTAAAATAAATCTAGCAATGATGATTCAGAACATTCCCCATTTTCGTAAAACACTTTCACGGAAGACACATTGTTAAAGAAATAAAACAAAAAAGAATTAGATTTCAACATGTTATATTAAATATATTTAAAGAATCAATTTACAGAAGGTAATTACAATAATTTACATTAGATAAGAAATAAAGATGTTTAGAATGGTTATCGAAAAATTGAGTTTAGTTATTCAAACATTTAGGCATTATCTAAATTACTATATAATTACCGCAACATTGATAGTCTGTAGTAGATTGGTGAGTGGAGTTTTTAGTGATTTTATAATGCTATTCTAGTATAATAAATCTTTTCTCTTTATTTTTGATCTAATAAACTGACTCACAATTAACAATCAAAATTAATTAACCATTATGAATTCCATTACAGTCTCGTGATTATAATATATTAAAATTATTATTTTGTTTGAGAATTAATTTATTTTTTTTTGGATATTGAAAAGGAATAAGAATATGTATTGGAAAAAACTTGGAAATTGATTAACAGAATTGCAATTATCACTAATTAAAATAAATTTTAATATATAAAATTTAATCTAATAAACTAAGTTATGACATAAAATTAATTAATGTGTAATGGTTTACTTAATTCAATCAATTAATAATAAATCATAAATTAATCAAATTCTTATTTTGGTATGTAGTATAAAATAAGTAATTAGGAATGGAAACCTTGAAATGCAAAATGTAGACTTATAATATTTAAAATTAGAATAGAAATGAATGCTATTGCAAAATAAATGATCAAATTTTGAAATCATCATCATCTCTGCTCATTCTTCTTTGCAATCCAACATTCTATGGTGTAGTTGGTATGCCGAATTTATAAATTGGTGAAAATTCTTCAACATCAATATCATCTTAAGCATTTGTAAGCATTCGTTAATCAAGAATGAATTGTTAAAGTATTTATTATTGTTGTTTATGCTGCTGAAGAACTTTATATAATAAATTTTGATCAATCATCTTTTTTTAAGTTGGTTATTGGCTTGTATTTTTTTTAGGCTTTTTAATTTTATTTGTAACTATTTTCTCTTTGAGATCTTCTTTTTTTGCCTCTTTTTGCTATTATCTATAATTTTTGTAAACAATAAAAGGCTCTTTAGAATTAGAAGCCATTCTTGAATTCTTTATTAATTATATTATTTTATATTTATATTTATATAATACATATTTATATCATTAGTTTGATCTAATAATAGTCATTATATTTAATAACTGTATATAAAATATGAAATAAGAAAAAGAGATAATATTTAATGGAGATTTTGAAGATAGTGAAGAAGAAGATGATGATTAATCATAAGAATATGAAAGTGATGAAGAGTTAAATAAAAAGAAGAAAAAGAAATCACTATAAAATACAAATAAAAATTTAATAATGAATGTTTCAGGTATTTCTTACATTATTAAATAGATACTTAGTATCCTGTAGTAAAATTTGTAGGGAAAATGATTTACAAATTTAAATTGTAATATGTTCCTTATTAAGAAATTAACAATTGGGATTTTTGTTGGACTGACAATGCTGTACTTCCAGAAACTTTAGCTAAAATGCAATGTAATAAACTTTTGATATAAATTATAATAGCACATTAAAAGATTAATCATTTTCCAGGTATGTATTCATTGGCTCGTAAGAATCATTTAGGCAAAAATTTGAACAAAATGCAGAAGCAATTTCCAGAAGAATATGATTTTTATCCTAGAACTTGGATGTTACCAAGTGAATATAATGATTTTAAATAATAATTTGGTAAAGCTAAAACATTTATATTGAAACCTGAAGCATCATGTTAAGGGAGAGGTATAAATTCAGTTTTATTAAAAAAAGGAATCTTTTTAACTCGTTGTATTGAATAAATAAATCCTACAGAACATTATGTTGCATAAAGATATATTCATAAACCACTTCTTATTGATGGATTGAAATTCGATTTAAGAATGTATGTTTTAATCTGCGGTTGTGATCCTCTTAGACTTTATTTATATAAGGAAGGTTTAGCAAGGTTTGCCACTTAAGCATATATTGCTCCAAATACTAATAATTTGGATGATGTTTGTATGCATCTAACTAATTATGCTATAAATAAAGATAATCCAAATTTCATATTTAATTCTGATGAAAAGAAAATGGATGTTGGACATAAAAGAAGTATGTCTAGTGTTTTTGAACTTTTAAGAGAATAAGTATATATTTAATTATAAATAGAATCAAAATGTTGATCAATTACTTGATGATATTAAAGATCTGATAATCAAAACATTTTGTTCTGTCTAACCAATTCTATAATCAAATTATACACAGGTTGATAATTATGCAAATAATATGTGTTTTGAAATTTTAGGCTTTGATATTTTAATTGATAGTTCTTTAAAACCATATTTATTAGAAGTTAATCATACTCCTAGTTTTACTGCAGATACTCCTTTAGATTAATTTATTAAAAAGAGTTTAATAGCTGATACAATTACATTAATGAATATCAATTTGAAAACTAAAAATGAATCCATCTAATAAAAAAAAGATGAAATGTAAAAAAGAGTCTTAACAGGCAAAAAGTTGAAATTATCAATTGAAGAAAAGAAACTAATCAAACTTTAATTTTAAAAATAAAGAGATGAATATGAATAATAAAATAAAGGAAATTATGAATTGATTTATCCATGTTCAAAATCATATGAAGAATATTTATAACATTCTTTAAAAATTTATGAAGAATGGACTGGAGCAAGTAATAAAATCATTTAAATATTATAGATATAAGAAGAAATCAGAAAAAAGAGTTTATATAAATAAATTAGGAAACTTAGAATAAATCTTAATCTCAACCTAAAAAAATTATACTTGAAAAAAAGAGTACTTTATATAAACATGTTCAAAGTAAAATTAATACAAATTTATTTCCTAATAATAAAAATGAATAAATTAAAGGAGATGAAGTTATTTAAGAAGGTGAAGAACAGCCACCAAATTAAATTAATACCATACCAGAAGTTGATAATGATCATTTTTTTCCTTATGAAGATTATCAATAATAATCATTAGAATCAATTAAAGATTTATGTACTTATACTGAGAAACGAGGACAAGAATTATAGATTTTGGATTTAATTTAATTTAGAAAGACTGATAAGAGACTAAATAGTTCTCATAATTAATAATAAAATGTATAAAGCATTTTATCTCCACTTTCATAAATTAAGGGAGTATTATAGGGTATAGCAATAAAAAATGTTAAACAATTTTAGATAAAGAATAATAATAAAAATGTTAAGTCATCATCAAAATAAATTAATGAGAGTGAATAAGATAAATTTTAAGAAAACCCTTAGAAATAATAAATAATGCAGTCATAGTAAAATTATTAGTAGAGTAATCCACAAGGGATAAATGGTGCCTATATTAAGCCAAAAGTATTTAGTTTAAAGTTATCACATCCTCCAAAAGGATATAAATTACAATCTCTCCCTTTATTGATACAATAAAATTTTACTAAATATAGATATGAATGATTTTACATTTCTACAGATTTAATATTTTTTTATTAGGATTTTAGATTATAAAATATAATATAAATAAAAAATGATATCATATAGTTAATAAACAGGATTGGGAAATTTAGGGAATACTTGCTTTATGAATAGTGCCATTCAAATATTATGCAATACTCCTGGATTTACAGATTACATTTTAAATGATATTTATTAATTTGATATAAACTTAATAAATCCATTAGGAAGTAGTGGTGAGATTATTTAAAGTTTTGCCAGTCTTATAAAGGAATTAAAAAGTAAAAAATAACAATTTGTCATTCCGAATTCATTTAAAAAAGCTTTTTCCAAATTTTATAATATTGTAAAGAATTAATATATATTATTAGTATAATGGAAATGAACAACATGATGCAGCAGAATTTCTATTATAATTATTAGATGCTATAAATGAAGATGTAAATTAAATAAAAAAAAAACCTTATGTGATTATGCCCTCTAGTAAAGGAAGAGAAGACTTAGTCGTGGCAATAGAATCTTGGGATGTTCATAGTCAGAGAAATTAATCTATTATTACTTAACTATTCTAAGCTTAATTTAAAAGCAAAATTGAGTGTCCTAATTGTAAAAATATATCGATTACGTATTTTTTAATTATTTATTTAGCTTTGATCCATATATGATGATTTAATTACCATTAGCAACAAAAAAAAATGAAAAAGGGATTGTTTATTATTTATTAGATGATTAATAAATGTAAAAATAAATGATTTTATCTGTCTTTAAAAATTATAATTTTGAATGGATTTAAAATGAAATTAGGAATTAATTGAGAACTTAAGATCTAGTATTCAATTTATCCAATATGTATGCAAATTAAGAAAGTATTTATTTATTTTATTAAAATTAGTCAGATCAGAAGATGATATTTAGTATTTAAAATAATAACTTCAACATTCAAAATTGCTTGTTAGACCAATGAATATTTATGAAATCTAAATTCCTTATAACTATAGATGTCATACACTCATTACCCATATGAATTCAGAATTTTAAATTTTAACTGAAATTATTACTATCATTTTTGATTTCAGAACTAAAATTTTTGAAATCTATGATTATATTGAAAAAACTTATGTTTAAAAATTTTAATGCTAATTCGATTTATTTTTAGAATCAAACTCATAATAAACAGAATAACAATGCTATTTTTGTCATAAAACTTATTGTAAATTTTGCGAATTGAAAAAATGCTAACACAGTTTAAAATTTTATAATAATTGCATTTCATAACCAAATTTTTAATTGAATATTATCATCAAGTGGTATGGCTAAGGAGTTCCTCTAATTTTTAATAAAGAAGTTTCAAATCTTAAATTAGATGATAAAAATGATTAATTTTCTATTAATAAATCTTCAATTACAATTTATGATTGTTTAAACTATTCATAACAACAATAATAATTAGATGAAAACAATTCATGGTACTGCAATTAATGTAATTAACATGTAAAAGGAATTAAATAGTTATTATTATATTCAACACCACAAATATTAATATTCTAACTTAAAAGATTTAAATCATCAGATGATATCAGTTAAAAAATAAAAAACAATATATTTGTCAAATTTCCATAGATTCTTAATATGGCAAAATATGTTACAAATTTGAAAGTATTTTATGAAATAAATTTTAGCTACCAAATGATTATTTAAATGGTCATGATATAAATGAATTAAAATATAAACTATTTGGAGTTATAAATCATTATGGAGAACTTTAAGAAGGCCATTACAATTCTTTCATTAAAAATTTAGAAGATTAAAAATGGTACTGCTATGATGATTCTCAAGTCACAGAAATGCAATTGCAAGACATAGTGACTGAAAATGCATATGTCTTATGTTATGAAAGATAGAATTGAATATTTTAAACTTTATTATTAGTATGTTATAATATAAAAAGAATATGAATTCTTTGAATAATTAAATAGCTCCAAGTAAGACAATAAATTAATTTATAATAAAATACAAAAAGATTATAAAATTCTTCAGATTACAGTAATTCCGTTTTCATCAACTTTTTTTTTATTTTCAATTTAAATTTTATAATCAAAATTAGGCTTACCCATTTTAACATTTTATTATATTTGTTGTCAATAAAACTTGACTTATTTTATAGAAATTCATTATAATCTATCAATTGGATAATAAATATTTTATCTACCTAATTTGATTCAAATAGGAATACTAAATTATATTCACAAATTTTTGAATAACTGAAATAAAGAAAAAGTAAATGTTATCAATTAAAATACATACTTACTTTAAATATAATTATAAATTACTTTTTTTCCAATAGAAGAAAAATAAACATGGTTCTTATGGTTACAAGAAAAAATAAGGTAAAAAACAGAAGGTTAAACATATAAATCAATTAAATTTATAATATAAAATTTTAAAGTTAGATCTTTTATCGTTAAGTTAATTAATAAGAAATATTTGAATAATTTTTAGAATAATCAATCTGATGAAAAATTTACTTTATAAATTTAATATAAATCTTGTAATTTTTCTTGTTCTGCATCTCGACAAATATATTTGTAAATCTCATTAGGAGAAATTAAATCTTTGCTTTTGCGGCCATTCATAATACCTTTAAAAGAGAGTGAAATTTAATTTAAATTGAATACTCGATTAATCAAATGGCATATAATTGATTTCAATAACATAGTATTATATTTAATTTCTGGCTTTTATGCAAGTTTCATTTCTCTTTCCAAAAACTTGGAAGTTGTTTATAAAAATTTTCTATATCCATGTTTCAAAAATTCCTCAGAACGACATTTGTATATACTTAAAGAATGACTATCGTTTTGTTGTCTTTAAAAACAACCTGAATCTGCTTCTAATTCATCTCGAACAACTTTCTCAATTCTTTCATCTTTCAAATAGATTTAGCAATGTGTAATAAATATTCCTTTAAGAATGGTACCTAATTCTATAATTTTTTTTTTAATATTGTTCTCAAAAATAACTTTTTAAGTATCCATTTTAAAGAGTTTCCATACATCTTATTATTAATTGTAACAATTCCATGGGCAGATATCTTCATTTACTTTTTCCAGTAATTCAACCAAAATAAGATAACCCATTTTTCTTAACAAATAAGCTAAGACATACTCTAATTAAAACTTTTTTTTTTATAATTCTAATATAAATTCCTCAGCAGTTACCTCTAAATATGTATGTTTAAATAATTCCATTCTTATGAATTACCATATTTAATAAAATCTTGATTCCTATATAAATATAATATAAACTTACATATTGACCTTAAATTTGATGAGGAAAATATTTTTCAATATTATTTTAATCATCTAATTCACTTTGGAAACCATCTTACAATCTTGAGGATGTTGATGGAAATGAAAAAGGTACTTAATTTTCTGAATTTTTAGGACTCAAATCAAAATTTAAGGGAGGAATTCTAAAAAAAGTATAATTTCAAATTTTTACATTAGTTCATAAGGGTAAAGATTCGGTTGTTGAAAATGAAGTTCTTGAGTTTATAATATCTCAGATTCACTTTTTTCAATAGTTTTTATTTCTTCAATCATCTATTTTTCATTGAAATTTTCATAAAATCTCAAATAATTTTAGTATTTAGGGAGATTCAAGCTCTTTATAAACTGATTATTATAAATTTATGAAAAAGAAAACCTATCATTCATATTATATGTGAGAAGTCCTTAAATAAATTAGCAAAATTCTTTGGGGTATCTATCAGTATCAGCATCAATGCATTTTGATTTATCCATTTATATTTTTAGATAATTAGCATATTCATTTATATCCTTATAAAACATTCTTTTGGTTTTAGTTGTATCATTTTATTCTATTGCATTTATAGGTCTTAATTTTACTAAATGAAATAGTACTGCTCCTAATAACCAAGAATCAATTTTGATATTATATATTAAAGGAGATTATTCTAATATAATTTATATATAATTATTACCTTCTCTTAATATTTTGACTATTTCTGGTGGAACGATAATATCTGAGGTTTAGTTCATTAATTTTGGTCCAAAACCAAAGTCCATGAAATGAAGTTGTCCTCTGCAATCCAATATATTTCTTGTAGAAAATACCCTCCCCAATATATTTTTTTAATGCAGTTGATATAATGTATCAAGTATCTAAGTTAAATAATGCTTGATAAGTTCAAAACTTATTGATTCTGTATTCCCCCTATGTTTCTTTATTTTTGTTTCTAAATTTTCTCCTTCTACATATTCAAAAAGAATATATTTTTAATTATTAAAATCAATTTACTTTACATATTACCTAAGAGATTTGCAGTTTTTTAATAATTATTCTTCCTTTTTTAGACTATATTATTAAAAATTAGATTAAACATTATAAGCGTAATAATTTGTTTTTTTCTTCTCAAATTCTTCTTCAACCTGATATAAAGTCCCTGTATTAGAAGTAAATATTTCAAATTTGATATTTAATTTGTTCATTTGTTAGATAGAATATATTAAAAGAAATAAATTATAAAAAATTTGTTTAATAAATAAGATTTTTATATAGACAAGGCAATTATTAATTATAAAATATTGAATTAAGTAAATAATAAAATAAATATAATATGCAAGCTAATCCTATATGTGCTTAGCCTTTAGCTCAATATTTAGAGAATTATGATAATTTTGAGGAAGTGTCAGAAACTTTTAAGTGTTTATAAAAAATTCATTAACCACTTGAACCTGAGGCAACATTTTTTTTGATACGCGCTCCAACAAAAGATAATGTTCATCGAGCAATAAAATATGGTATTTGGACTAGGTATACATACTTATGAAAATAGTTCGAGTCGAAATAATAAAAAGTTGAATGATGCTTCTCGACCTGTATATTTACTTTTCAATGTTACACAGACTTCTCATTTCATTGGATTGGCAAAAATTATTAGTGAATTTAGGGATAAAATGCATTTTAAATATTGGGCTGAGGAAAATAAATGGTTTGGATCATTTCTAATTGAATGGGTATTTATTAAAGACATACAAGGTTTTCATTAGAGATTTACCATATAATGAACTAAGTATGATAACATAATCAAGTGGCAAATGTATACATGAAATGATAGATTGTACTCAAATTGAAAATGCTGAATAGATTTACAGTGCATTTTAACGTCAACCACAAAAAAGCTGTATGCTTAAAAGTTTCAAGGAATTAGATAATTCTGAAGTATAAAATTTGATAATTAATTTAAGAGAAGAAAAAGAAATGAAAGAGATACAAATCCCAACTTTGATATCTAATTTTAAGAATATATATCTGTCTTTGAATAGATGCCTTTCTCTTTCTCTGTCACTTCTTATTAAAGGAGAAAACAATAAGAATTGTAAAATTAGTACTTCTAATAATACTAATACTATTATTCAAGTCCTTGGTATGGAGTAGGTATATTATATATCAATTATTCTAGCTTAACCTACTTTTTGGAATTCTGAGTTTTAATCTCAAACTCAGTAATACTAATTATAGAAAGTATCAAAAAATAATGCTGGTTTTTACTAGACTTAAAATTAAAATAGACCTCAAACTTAAAATATTTAATTAACTAAACATTTGTAAAAAAAATAATAAGTTTAAAATAAAAATAATACTCTAGAGAGTCCGAAAAAATAATGATTATTTAGTATATAATTAATGTTAATTTATTATATATTTATTAATCAACAATAGATTAATTATGATTAAATTAAATTAAAAATAAAGATCTTAATCTAGTAACATGTAAGGACATTATGAAAAGAACATTAATTTTTATACCTAATAAGAAAATGATGTAGAAAAGATTTTTGGTTAATTTCTACAGGAATCTCAAACAAAGACTATAAATTATGAAAAACTATAATAATATAGATAATTTTTGGCTATGACTCATGAAAGGATAAATTAGGAGTAATCAAAAGCAGATCTAATAGAACTTAATAAAATCTAAAAAAAAGAAATAAAAAAGAGTAAAAAGTCAAATTACTAAAAGGAATGACTAATTTTATACATATATGAATTATAAATTATCAATTAATTGCTAAATATTTATCTCAAAAAAATAGTATTATAATTGTAGGTTCCATAATAGAATTAGGAATATTTTTATTTCAAATATATTGTTGAATATTTGAGTGATTAAAATAAAATATAAATGCAATAACAATAGCAAATATATGAGCAATATGATGCTCTTTGTTTTGGAGAGGAATAGGAGGAACATTTAAAAAATTTAATTCATTTATTAAAAACTAAAAGGAGAAAGCCAAAGCCTTAGATTATTCAAAAAGATGATGAAGAAGGCTATTAATTTGATACTTTGAAGGAGGTTAAAGAGAATGGTTCACATTTATCTAATCTTTCATCAGATACTCATTAAACTTTTATTTCAATCAACATTACCGATTATGAAGCAAGATAATTATAAAAAATGTTAGAGGATTTATTTAAGGAGTTTAAATAACAATAATGCGAAAAAGAAAGATATAAAAAGGCTTATTCAGAATTGTATTAAAATTCTTAATCTGGAATTAAAGAAATTTAAAAAAAAATTAGTAATTCTGATGTAGTGTAAAATAACAAAAAGATTGAATCTTAAGATATTAAATATTCTACAGATAACTCAAATAAAACGAGCAAGAAAGTTTTAAATCCAAATCAAATAGTATAGAGTTTAAGAAAATTAAATACCACATATTAAAAATATTTGGATGAGATAAGAAAATCTAAGTAACATAATCACAGTGATTAGGCTTTTAATTAATTAAGACAAAAGGTTGAGAAATTTTAAGAATAACAACAAAATATGAAGAAAGATATATTAATTCTTTAAGAATGTCGAACAATATTGAATGAAAATGAAAAAATATTGTTAGAACATGATTAGGAATTGATAGGAATAAATTAAATATTTTAGAGATGAGTCGAATATAATGAATATTTATAAAATTTTTATGCTTGTTGTAATTAAATATGTAAATTGAATCATTTTTTTTTGCTTGTAATATGATTGATCAATCCTTCAGGTTCATTTTCTAAAGGAATGCCTCTATTAACAACAATATCAGTGGCTCTAATTTCCATGGAGATAGAACCTTCAACAGGACATACAGCATGACATAGAGCACAACCAGTACATAATTCTTCAATAATGTTTGGGTAGGAATTAAAATTATCGAATTTAATTGCTTAATATCCTGAATCTAAACAGGTTAAATAGCACCTACCACATTTTAAGCAAGAATCTTCATTAATTTTAGGGATTAAGAAGTTCTCTCTTTTCATATCAGCTATATCTTTAATATGATGTAATCCAGTTCCTACAAGATTTTTGATTTTATTATTGGAACTGAATGAATAGGCAGGTTTAGAAGTGGTTGGGAATTATCCTTTCCATTATTTTTAATTAAGATGATTAGAAGCAAAAAGATGTGCTTAAAGACTAGTTTTAAGATCATAGAAGACTGTAGCGAAATCTTAGTCTTACACAGCTGAACAAATTTAAAAGGCAGAGGCTCCATATCTTAAGAATGAGAGTGCATGATCACCTTGAATGATACCTCCACTACCAAATATGATAAGATCAGGGATAGCTTTAGCAACTTCTGAAGTTTTTCTCAAAGCAATAGGTCTTAACATAGATCCACATCCTCCACCATAGGTAACATTATTTTCTTCTCCAACAGCTGGCCAAGGTGTTCCTAAAGGATCTGGATCCATTAAAGTAGGAAAAGTATTAGTTAATGTAACTGCTTTTGCTCCACCATCTTTTGCAGCTTAAGCAATAACTGCTGAATCAGGATAATTTGGAGTAATCTTAACAATAACAGGAATGTCTATCTCAGATGTTACCCATTCACAAATATCCTTTACTATTTATGGATTCTCTCCACATGCTCTACCCATTCCTAATTCTGTCATTCCGTGAGGACATGATAAATTCAATTCCAACATATCAAATTATGCTTCATTTTTACATTTTCTTGTTAATTCTCTCCAATCTTTTTCATTATGTTAACACATTATGCTACCTATTAAAACATTATTCGGAAATTCTTTCTTAATTTATTTACTACCCTCCAACCAATATTTTGCTGATTTTTCANTAAGAATGTCGAACAATATTGAATGAAAATGAAAAAATATTGTTAGAACATGATTAGGAATTGATAGGAATAAATTAAATATTTTAGAGATGAGTCGAATATAATGAATATTTATAAAATTTTTATGCTTGTTGTAATTAAATATGTAAATTGAATCATTTTTTTTTGCTTGTAATATGATTGATCAATCCTTCAGGTTCATTTTCTAAAGGAATGCCTCTATTAACAACAATATCAGTGGCTCTAATTTCCATGGAGATAGAACCTTCAACAGGACATACAGCATGACATAGAGCACAACCAGTACATAATTCTTCAATAATGTTTGGGTAGGAATTAAAATTATCGAATTTAATTGCTTAATATCCTGAATCTAAACAGGTTAAATAGCACCTACCACATTTTAAGCAAGAATCTTCATTAATTTTAGGGATTAAGAAGTTCTCTCTTTTCATATCAGCTATATCTTTAATATGATGTAATCCAGTTCCTACAAGATTTTTGATTTTATTATTGGAACTGAATGAATAGGCAGGTTTAGAAGTGGTTGGGAATTATCCTTTCCATTATTTTTAATTAAGATGATTAGAAGCAAAAAGATGTGCTTAAAGACTAGTTTTAAGATCATAGAAGACTGTAGCGAAATCTTAGTCTTACACAGCTGAACAAATTTAAAAGGCAGAGGCTCCATATCTTAAGAATGAGAGTGCATGATCACCTTGAATGATACCTCCACTACCAAATATGATAAGATCAGGGATAGCTTTAGCAACTTCTGAAGTTTTTCTCAAAGCAATAGGTCTTAACATAGATCCACATCCTCCACCATAGGTAACATTATTTTCTTCTCCAACAGCTGGCCAAGGTGTTCCTAAAGGATCTGGATCCATTAAAGTAGGAAAAGTATTAGTTAATGTAACTGCTTTTGCTCCACCATCTTTTGCAGCTTAAGCAATAACTGCTGAATCAGGATAATTTGGAGTAATCTTAACAATAACAGGAATGTCTATCTCAGATGTTACCCATTCACAAATATCCTTTACTATTTATGGATTCTCTCCACATGCTCTACCCATTCCTAATTCTGTCATTCCGTGAGGACATGATAAATTCAATTCCAACATATCAAATTATGCTTCATTTTTACATTTTCTTGTTAATTCTCTCCAATCTTTTTCATTATGTTAACACATTATGCTACCTATTAAAACATTATTCGGAAATTCTTTCTTAATTTATTTACTACCCTCCAACCAATATTTTGCTGATTTTTCACTAATTAATTCAATATTTGCATATCCTGGATCTTATTTTAATGGATCTGTAGTACTTTTATAAATTCTCGGAGATACATTTGTAATTGCATCTTTATCTAATACAAATGTCTTTACAACTGCAAAACCCCATCCTTCTTAAAATGCTCTTTTTATCATTGGATATGAAGTTGTTGGAGGTGCTGAAGCTAAACCAAAAGGATTTGGAAAATTAACTCCCAATATATTAATACTTAAATCTATATTGTCAATCTCTGTTGAATATGAAGGTAAATGATCTGGTGTCAATTAAGAAATCGAATACTTTCTCTATAAGTAATTATGAATATTCCAAGAAGATGTTTTACCATCATTCACAGCATCTACTAAATTTGCCACTCCAACAGCATCCCCACCTGCATATAACCAATCACATCCTTTTACTTAATGTTTCTCATTTATTTATACAAATCCATTCTCTGAATTTATAAACTCTTACAATTCTTTATTCTGTATCTCTGAACCAAATGCTGTTATCAAATAATCAAAACTCATTCTGCATTTCTCTCCAGTTAGCTTGTATTTTAGATTATAGGGATCATTATTTATAGGAAGATTTTATTCCAACTCAATTTCTTTCAATTACCCATTAATATCAATTAATTTTATTGGCTACTCATAAGGAATAAAGTTAATCCCCTCATTCTTAGAAGGTATTAAAATCTCATCATTTGCTCTAATATCCTACCATCCTCTTCTAAATATAACACTAACTCGTTCAGCACCACATCTATATGCTGATCTAGCACAATCTAATGCAGTATCTCCTATACCTAATACTATGACATGTCCTGATAATTTTGGAGTCCCTTCTATATCTTTATCTTATTTCACTGCTTTATTCACTTTAGGCAAGAAGGTCTTTGAATTTAATATATGACTTTATGAATAAATATTTCCTAAACCCTTTTTTGGCTCATTTAATCCACAACCAATGAATATACACTCAAATCCATCCTTTCTTAGAGATTCTATACTGAAATCCTTACCAAACTCTTTCCCAAATTGGAATTTAATTCCTAATTGTTTTACTTATTCAATTTCCCAATTTATGTCATCTACTGGAGAACGATTCATCGGTATTTCGCTCATAACTAATCCTCCAGCATGTTGCTACTTCTCAAATATAGTAATATTTTTATAGCCTAATCTTCCCAAAAAGGTAGCACATGATAAAGAAGCTGCACCAGCGCCAATCAACGCAATGGATGATTCGAATACAAAATGATCATTTTTTGGTAATCTAATATCCCGAATTTGTTTAACACCCATATCCTAAATGGTTATTAAAGTTTTTACCTTAAACATTGAAACTGCAAACTCTTATAGTTTGTTTATTTTTATAGCTCCCTTCTCACTTGATGATACATTGCAATTTCTTGCACATAATTCACTAATTGGACATAATTGGCCACAACTCAAACCCAAAGGATTATCTGTTAGAATTACTTTAGCTGCTCCATACCTAAAGATGGATAGAGAACCGTTTTATACCAATTTTTTTTCTCTATGTTGTATATAAAGCTTTTGATATCTATTGTTGTACTGCATCCTTTTTAGCAAGGTGCATCGGTACATTTTAAGCATCTTTAAGCTTCCCGAATAGCTTCACTTATTGACAGACGACTCTCATCTTTTTTCCAGTTTTTATTTTTTTCACAACCTTGACATTTTCCACTACGATCATAGCATTTTGAATATTTTTCCCTCTCTTTTGTGTTTCTAATTGTAGCTGTTGATATTTATCTTGGAGCTGAAGATAAAACATTCTTCTCTAAAAATTAAGAGAAATCCAAAAAGTTTTTAGATGAAACACTAGATTGGTTATACTTTTTTATAGAAAGAATTTGACGAATCATAATAAATAATATATAAACGCTGATAATTGGTATTCCCTTAAAAAGCTCTAAAATGATAATATAAATTGAGAATTTTAAAATTAATGCGTAATATTTAATAAATTAAAGAATAAATTAAAATTCAATTCTTTTAATTGAAAAATTTGCAAATCAGTTATTCTAGCAAGAAAAAGAATCATTTGAATTTTTATAAAAATATGAAATAACTTATTAGAAACTAATTATTATTCAATCAAATACATGTTTTAACGATATGAATTAATCATTTTAATTAGCCTAGAAAAAAAGCATATCACAATATTTTCACCAAAAATATGATGAAGATACTTTTAAAATATAAACAAGTTTAGAATTCATAAAATTTATTAATATTGGTAATCAAAAATTGTGTAATATTTTTCCTTATTATTATAAATACAATATAAAAAAAAATAATCAAAAATTATATTATCTTATTTATTATTATTATAAGAAATATAGAAAATGTCAAATCTTCAAAGCAGTATTCCTTTTCATGAATAGTAAAATCAAGATTAATTTAACCTAATTTTTTAATTATAAGAGGAAAATTAAAAACTCAAAGAGGAAAACTAACAACTATTATTAAATTAAGTTTAGCATCTACTCAAAATTTCATAATTATAAATGAAAAATAACGAATAAAAAAAAGAAAACAAAGATTTAAAAATGTATATTAAATCATAGATTAAATCAAAAGAGTAATAATTGCAATTCAATAATGAAATTCTTAATAATTATAGAAATTTATAAAAACAACAATAAAAGGAGAATCAGATCATTCAATAAGCACTCTTCGCATCCTATTCTTATGCATCTATTGAACAATAATAAGAAAGTGAAATAGAATAGTGATCTTTATTAAAATTGACATCATATTATAAAAAAAAATCGTCAGCTGCAGGATTCGAACCTGCGCGGGTAAACCCAGTGGATTTCAAGTCCACCGCCTTAACCACTCGGCCAAACTGACTAGTATGCTTACTTTCCCTTTCAAAATTATAAATATAAGGAGGATTTAGTTACTAAATATATATAATAAATTATTATTTATTTTTCTTATATGACTTAAAATAAAATCATTTTTCTATTTTCATTTAATATTCTCTCCATTTATTAATGAATCAAATAAATAATGATTAAATCATATTATTATTGAATCTGAATTAATGAACAAAATAAAAAGTATTATTCAAAAATTTAATTTTAATATTATAGGAAAGATATTGGACAATATAATTTAAAATTTAAGAATTGTCTTAGCTTAATTTATTATTTTTAAATGAGGAAATCTTACGAAATTTCTAGTTAAGATAATCATTAAATTATAAAATCAGCTGGGAATCATTTAATTTTTACTTTTGTTTATATCATTACTTTTTAAATCATCTATTTTCTTGTTATTTATACAATTATAAAATTTTTGTATTTAAACAATTAATGATTAATGCTTAAATGAGCTATAGAATTTATTTAAATTAATATTTTTATTTATTTGAATAAATCTTTAATACTTGGAATCTTAATGTATAACAAAAAAAAATTTAATATTAATCAATTCAAATTAAAGAAATATCTTAAGTCTCATGATAATAGAGGTATTATAAAATTAACCTTTATTCAAAACTTCATATTTTGATTAAGAAATTTTTTGGGGATGCAAAAATAAATATTAAAATTAAAAATGTGTTTATCTCATAAAAAGAAATTGGCTTTGAAGCAAATGATATTTCTGATAGAATATGATTTTTTGATATGATGAATTCATAAAAAAAAGAATTAATTGATATAAAAGTTATAAGTATGTAAATAATTGAAAAGTTATTTTGATAGAGAGAAAGATTGAAAAATAAAGTTCCATGAGTGGTTAATTATTTAAGAATAATTTATTAGTAAAAATCATTAACAGTATATATGTAAAAATTATCTAATTGTTAAATTGATTGCTAAAGAACTTTAATTTGAGTGTTGTTTTTACACAAATGACACAATTTAGTCCAGAAATAGATAGAGAAAATGAAAAATGGAAGAAAAGGATTGATTTAATTTCTAATTTCTTTTTTTTTTTTTTTCTTAATTTTGATCCTTTCTCATTTAGATGAAGATGACTTATGTGACTAGCGTTATTTATTGCTAACTGATGATCTGGACCTTGAATTACTTTGTGATCTTTTGCAACTGGTACTTTTCTTTCTTTTGTTATCTCTTCTTGGACTTCTACTTCTTCTAGTGTATCTACTTCTCTTCTTATTATCTCTTCTTCTTCTTGAGTGAGAAGATGAATAAGAAGAATATGAACGAGATCTTGAATTGGATCTTTTTGATCTTCGATGTCTAAGAGATTAATATTACATATAAAATACCTTGATCTTGAATTAGAATATCTTCTTCTTCTATTTGGTGATGTACGATTTGGACATTCTCGAGCCCTAAAATAAAAAAATAATAATTACCAATGTCCACCTTTTCCACATTTAAAGCATTCATCATTTTCTTATGGACCATTTCTTTTACCTTTACGATTGTCTACAATATCTACTTTAAGTTTTTATCCATTAATAGTTTGTCCATTTAAACCAGAAATAGCATTCTATGCTTCTTATTCTGAAGTAAAGGTCTATTTATATTTTAGATGAAATTGTTACAACAAAAGAATAGGATCCTTTATAAGCAACATCCTTTATGTTCCCATATTTCTTAAAAATATCTTTGATTCCTTTTTCATCTGATATTTTATTGCGACTGTAACCAGCAACAAATAATTGATTTGGTACTATCTCACCCATGTTATAAGATTTAAATTTTTTAATAATTTATGAATAATTTGCTCAAACGATTCGAACCATCCTTAACAGATGTGATTAAGTAATAAGGAAATTAATTAGGTATCTTTAAGAACATTAAGACATGATATTAGTTGAACGTAACCCTTATTAAGCAGATAGATTGATGATGATGTTAGATAATGAGAAATTAGATGCTTTAGATAAGGAGTTTCATGAACATCCAAATGGTATTGAACTTCCTAATTTTATATGGTTAATGAAATGTGCTATCTCACATGCACCAGAAGATAAATATGAATTAGTCAATGGATTAATTAAGTTATTTTAAGATATAGATATTAATGGAGATGGTCATATGGAATGGGCTGAATTCACATAATATATAATTGATGCTGTCATTGGTTCTAAAGATGCATAACTTTATGATACTAGATTTGAAAAAGAAAGAGAATTAACTGAAATTGAAGTGCTTGATAGAGCTTATTCACGTAAATCTAAACGATATATACCTATGGCTTAAGTTGATGATTCTAATCATAAAAATCCTATCAAAACTGTAATACTAATTTTATTACTATTTTTTAGATCGCTTATTGTTAATAATTAGATAGTGTAATTTGTTTAGAATAGAATTCTTAACATTTGAGATTCTATACTCCAGAGTGTTAAGATAAAAAATTTACATTAGCTCCAGAATCTGAATCAGGAAAAATATTTATTATACACTTTCATACTGTAGATAATTACATTGCAGCAGTTACAAGTGATAGATAATTGATATTTTGGGATGCAACAACTTTTAAAGTTATTAAATAATTTAAGTAAGAAGTATTATAAACTGGTATTTGGTATTTTCCTTATCATGAATTATGGGTAACAGCTGGATCTGATTACAATATTAGGGGATGGAGTATTCCTTGGAATGAAAAGGATTCAAAAGGATAAGTTATAAAATTTTTAAATGCACATACAAAATAAATAACTGATATTGTTGAATTGATTAGTCCAAAATTATTGGCATCAGCAAGTTAGGATGGTAAAATAAAATTATGGGATATGTAAGATTAGAAATTTATAACTGAATTGAAAACACCCGCTCCTTCAAAAAGAGGAGTTAAAGGATTAAGTTATAATTAAGATTATGGATCAAATTTAATTAGTTATGGATTTGAAACTTTTATTAATGTTTATTGTCCTGAAGTATCAATAACTAGAGCCTATATTGGAAGATTAGAGGGTCATTCTTCATTAGTTGTAACATGTAAATTCATTCCTTAATCACCTAATTGTGTCAGTATTGATGATCATACAAATATTCGAATTTGGGATATTAGATAAATGAGTAGTGTATAAGTGATACCAAATGATTAATAATCTTTAGTGACTGATTTATGTATAATAACAAGAACTGATAGATTTGTTTATTCTGGAAAGAGATTGAATTATTTTTATAATGCTGCTTAAATGAGTAGTAATTAGAAACAGAAAGGACCTAATGAGGAAGTATATCCAATAAATGTAGAATTCAATATGTATTTTAATTAATTTGTTGTATTAACAAAATTTGATATAAGAATTTATGATGCAATGGGAGGTAAATTAAAGAAGGTGATGAATGAAGTATTTGATGATAAGATATAATTGGATTTATCAACTTTTTGTTTTGGTGGAAGATAGCGTAAATTATTTATAGCTGACAATGCTGGTTTGATAAGATAATATAATATGAAAACAGGAGAATTTTTAAAGAAGGTTAATATGCATAATGAGATTGAGAATTCTGAATTTGCAAATAAGTTGGCTAATATAAAGAAGAGGGATACTTTGGATATAAGTGCAATTATATTTTTGTAAGAAGAGAAACTATTAATATCTGCGAGTTAAGATTCTACAATTCGTATATATGATGAGACAGATCCAGAAGAATCAATACTATTAAAAGTATTTTGTGGTGGACATTAGAATTCAGAAATTTTATCAATGGCATTTAGTCCTAATTTTACAATGTTAGCAACAGGGAGTGCAAATGGATTAATTTCTTTATGGGATTTTGAAACAAGTAAATTATGTGGTGTACTTAATACACCATAACCATTAGCAGAAGTAACTGCATTAGAATTTGCTGATCCATATCCTGTATTAGTAAGTTTGTAAGGTATATTAATAAGTATTTGGAATATAAAGACTAATAAATGTCTTTTAAGAATTAATACGAATCCTCAACATCCAATGTTATCTCTTGCTATATTTTCAGATATTTCATAAGGACCTTCTAGATAAGAATTATTACCTGAATTTGCAGGTCCTTTAATTGATAAAATTGCTTAAGATAAAAAATCTAAATTAAATTTATAAGAAGAATAAGAAGGTTTAATGAAAGACGTTCAATAATATGATACAGAATAACACTAAAATAAGAGAAGAGCATTACTCTATATGGGAGATTAAAAAGGATATATGCATATCTTATCATTAACAGAATTTTTATAAAGAAAAGGTATTACTGAAATGGAAAAACTAAAAAAAGGTCATTCCTATTAATTAAAAAGAAAAGACTTAATAGATGTTTCTAAAAGTGTTGAAACTTTCTTAGTTTAAGAGGAGAAACAATAATCTCCTGTGCTTACTTGTAATATATAAGCTTTGCTTATTAGATAATGGATTGCTCATAGTTCAGCTATTGTTAAAATTAATAAAATTAAAGAATTAGTATCATTTATTAGTTCATCTATGGATAAACATTTTAAGATATGGTCTATGAAAGGAGATTTATTATCAGATATAAGTTTAGCAAAATATGATGGATCTAATTATTGGAAATTTCCATTTGATTGGGTTGGTTAAAAATTAAAAGATATAGAATTAGTTTTTGATGCTTTAAAATTAATTGAAAAGGAGAATCTCTCTCCATATGAAAAAGAAAGAGTTAAAGTTAGATTTTTAGTCAATAAATATTTTAATGAAGCATCTTTAGAAGAAATGTAAAGAAATTATGCATAACCAGAATAAGTAGTTGTATAAAGAGAAAAAAAGTATATTTATATAAATATTAAATATTAGACGTCTCATCTAATCTTAATCTCAACCAATGAATATTGCTCTTAAATCTATTGCTGAACCCTATAAAGAATTAACATAAAAAATGAAAGATGATCAACTCAAAAAAAAGAAATTAGAATTACCTGAAGTCTAAGAGGAACAAAAAAGACCATAATCTTAACATGGTCTTGTCTAAAGATTAATGTTAGCATTTAATGATAATAAAGATATAGCTAAAGAAGATGGGATTGATTCTAAAAAAAAATAACCTAATAAAAATACACATCAAAAAAGAATTTAAGAATTACCATAAATGAAACCATCTACTAGTCATTCTACATTCATTTAAAAATATTAAAGAAATTATAGATTCATCTAAACTTAAGTCTAAACAAGACCACATACTGAATCTAAAAAATATAAATTTGTTCATGATATCAAATACTAATTTGGAGAATCTTAAAGAGCTATGAAAATCAAATATTATCAAAATTCACTTAAATTCTAATCTGTTAGTCCATAAATGTTATGTGATGATAATGAAATCCTTTAAATGAAATGCAAATTTTATAAAAAATAAAATGAAGATCTCATAGAATCAGAATCATCAGATAAATCTTATGAAGAAGATGATCTTGGACATCCAAAATAACATAAATAAATTATTGCTAGTCATAATTTCTTAAACAATGCTTAAAAAAACGATCATAAAGTCTTAAATACAAAAAAAAAGATTTTTGTTGTCTGATCTATTATTATTATTCAAAATTTATATATCAAAAGTCACTACTCATTTTTTCATCATTTCAATTTATTATCTATATCATAATCATTATTTAACTTTATGAATTTATACCTAAAAGAATTTTATTTTATGTCTAAATTTATATAATACAACTCAAAATTAAATTATTCTATTAATTCTTTCTTAAAAATACTTTTATTTAATAATTAATTTTATTAATACTACCCTAACAACATACTAAAATTAAAGACAATAAAAATAAATAATACCTGAATAATTAATTAAAACAGAAATAAAATATTATTTCTTTTTATTTTATTATTATCTCAAATTTCTTACCAAAATGAATAACTTAGATTTAGATTAAAAATACCACAATTGAATCTCAAATATTGATTTTAAGAGAAATATAAAAGTTTAATTAATGCTAAAAATTTGTATAAACTATTTACTATGAGATTTTGATCTGAAAATGATAGTTTTAAGACTACTTATTCAATGCTCTATAAACTATAATTATTTTTAAATTTATTCAATATTAATTAAAATATCACGCTTCATCTATCAATCATTTGTTTCTTAGAAAATACCTCATTTTATGACTATAAATAAATATAGATTGCAAAAAATATATAATTTAAGACAGGTATATAAGATCAATAAATTATTTATTTTTCTCATTTCTCCAATAAAAAAAGTAGTTCAGCTGCAATAGATCCTCGAAAGTGATCTTAATTTAAAAACTATTGATTATTTATGAAGTTATTTTCTTTATGTTTATTGTCAAACAAGAAGTCCACTAATTTATCTACTTATTATTATGATATAGAATGAACGAAACTAAAAACTTCTCTTAAGTCTTAATTTATTGGTTATAAATTTCTATTTCTAAGTTTTATTTTTTGATCTCTCTATAAAATATTTAATTATATTGTATTCTTCTTATGATCAAATTTTTAACATATTTCAGCAATTTCATCTTCTGGGCTCATAATATTTAATTTTGATTATTTTGATTCAAATATATCTCCATCTGATGAATCTAAAATATTAGATTAAATATGATGAACATTGATTTCTGATAAAATATTTGAATTTTATTGAATCAATAAATCACTAGGTCCTTATTATGTTTTTTCACTAGCTAAAATAATACTACTAAACTATTTTTCAGATTTCAACTATTTAATCATAAGCTATAAAGTTGAATCAAGGCTTTGCAATTAGAAATTTTCAAATTAAAAATAAGTTGATTCTAAACTTTCTTTTGCATATTGTAATTAATTTTCGAAGTCTATTTCACAGAATTGCTTAGAATATCTCTCTATAAGATTTTTTTATTAACTTGTTTACAACAATTTAATCTTTTCTTAGATTTTTTATTCAAAATAGGTAAAAAATTTAGTATTTAGTTTATTTTCACAAATCCAAGTTGGAAGTATTGATTTCATAAAATTATCATCTTTTTCCCATAAATCTAAGAATAAAATTAGATCTCCTTTTGATTATTAATTTAATTCATCAAAAAAAATTTCAGTATCATTAATGATGAAATCGATTAATTCTTTAAGCTTTCCATAAAATTAGAAATTACTATCACCTATCCATTAAAGATGAGCAGCATCAATATTCAAATCAATTAAGGCGTTAATGACTTAAAATAAACTAATTTTTTTTTGGGTTCGATCTCTTCTAACATTTTCAAATTATTTTTTAATATAATCAATGTTTAATTATTATACGTATGTTCCCCATAATTTTCCACCTATAGTTTCAATTTTTAAAGGGGGATTGATTGTTGCATAATGCTCATTAAAAAATTCATTCAATGGTTAAAGATCATAAATATCTGAATTGGATAATTTACATAGATGATTTTGAAAGTGTTCCCAAATCAAAACATAAACTTGACATTAAACATCTAGATTTTAATTTAGTTCTTTGATAATTTAATCAGCCAAACTGCAATAGCTTTATAAACCTTATTTTAGAAGGACTAAGCTATTTTAATAAAAATTATCATATTAATCTTTTAAACTTGAAAAGTTCATTAATCTAAAAGTTTTAACGAACTCTTTATCCATATTGATCTCCTTTATTTTTTTTTATTTATTATTGTTATTTCTAATTAAAGAACACTAGAACACAGTACTTGCGTAATTTAGTAAAACATCTTCAAAAAGAGTAATTTATGGTGGTATCGATTATTTAAGAAGATCGATTACTTTCTTGCTATAAAATTGTAAACAAAATGTTACCGATTTTTTTCGAATTTGCTAGAAAAAGAAATAGATATGTTCTTTAATTAATCAAGAAATTCTTTATCTACATAAAATTCAACATCTTCGACAAGCATTTATAAGCAATTAATTAAAGATTTCTTACAGTTTTTATTAGATGATTATCCTGCTCCCATTTATTAAATTATTAAATTTGAGATTAGTATATTCTTACATCATTTTTTTAGATTATAGAATATCAAACATATTTATGGAATAGAGTATATACTTTCATAAGGGAAATTTAAAATCCCATTTGATTTTAATATAAATTAAAAAAATTGTGCAAATTATTTCTAATTTTAGTATTTTATTTATTAGTTTATTAAAAAAAATATATGATTATACAATAATTAGTATGTTGCAATATTGATTTTGAACTTTAATTTTTAGTGTTAAAATAATATACAATTTTAGTGATATTGAACAATAAAACTAATATGAAAAAAAACTAAATGAAAATTGTTTTTGAACTTTTTTCAGAAGAATCATAAGACAGATTAGGTAGATTATGAAGTGATATTTGGTAAAATATATAAATAATTAGCATGTTTATTATTAATGCTCCATTTTTAAATGAAAATTAACAGTCGTAATTTTGAAATAATTAAAATTCAAATTACACTTCGGAATAAATGGATCCTCAAACAATATAAGTTATAGGTTTTAATGAATTACCTTAAATTGATCCAAATCAATTAACTTAATTGGCGGCTGAGACTTAATAACTATTTACCTATGGAACAAAAGCTTGGTTATAGTTGTTTTAAGCAATTACAAATCTGAGGTGTATTAACAAATATGTACCGCAATATGTGAATTAATTGTTTGAAATGTTTGGATAATAAGTCATGATTTCAATAGATGATTCTAAAGTAAAAAATATATTAATCAATAGCCAAAAATTTAAAGAAATGTTGTGACATTCATAAATGAAGTATTTTCTTTAGGGAGAAATGTGCAAATATGTCCATAAATATTTTAAGTTTTTGTGCCAAAGTTGATTTTGAAATCTTAAAACTCTGAACACAAGTAAATTAAAGAAGAATGTTTGGTAAATTTTTAATCACTATTTAAGGTTGCTGTCAGTAATTATATACTTAATTGTTCATAATATGAAGCAGGCTTATTTGCAGTGATTTAATTGACTGGCTAAAAGAAATCAACTGTTCCACTTCAAAAGTTTTGTCTTTAAGTTCTTGCTAAATAAATCTAGACTATTGGTTCATTTTTATAGTCTTTTAGTGTAAATACACTCACTTTGCTTTTATAAGCATTAAGTTCATTTTTAAATTCTCAAGGAGGTGAAATATAAACATATGCATTTTAAATTTGTATGTATTTACATTCTTTGGTTGGAGATTAAAATTTTAAAAACTGGATGTCAGTTTCTCTAGATCCATAATCTACTTAAATTATGGTTAATAAAATATAAGAAGTCTTAAAGAAGAAATCAAAAGCAAAATAACACATAACAATGACTGATATGAAATAAAGAATGACATTTGGAGTTTATGAAAACTAAGAATAAGTTGAAAATTAAAATCATTTTTAAGAATTCGTTAAAGATAAATAAAAAGCTAATAATTTCTTGGATTTGAATCAAGTTTAACCTCTATAACCTTCTGTTTATTACCATGAAAATTTGAATTACTAATAGCAATCTTAACAATCAATGTAAAACTTGAGTTAATAATAATTCATATAATATTAATGATTTATAAACAAAATTTCAAAATTTATTTATAAAAGAAATTTATCAACAATTAGTATTTAAATGAGATCATAAGTGTAATTTTATCAATATTTCTACAAAGCTTCCTAAATAGTAAGCTATTTAACTCCTACATCTAATACATGGTATTATAAAAGTAACACTCATTAAATTTAGTATATATCTAATTCTTTAACAAGTTTTTATAATGAATTTGATTCAATTGTTTGCAAAATTTAGTTGTAGAAATTACACACTTAAAAGATTATCGGATTATTTTAATATATCATATTAAGATATATTTTTTAATTCTTAATTATGGTTTATTTATAATCATAAATAAATATATAAATGATTTGCTACATATTTCTAGCTGTTTTAGCAGTCCTATTTTATGTATTTGTAATACATATCTATGTGCAATTGTGGTTATTAAATTGAAACATGGAAAAGAGGTTTATATTTTCTATTTCCCTTTATTTGGTGATTACTTTTATTTGAAAAACTCTTTTGAAAAATATGGTGATGCTACAGAGATCTTTAAACAAAGGTATTAAAAGAATCCTGACATCAAATTTGTAGCTACTAACTTTTTAAATAAAGTCTTTCTATTCATCTAAGACCCTGAATATTATAAATCAGTTCTTGTAAATCATTAGAGCTATTCAAAAGTAGATATCCTATATCATCCGTAAAAATTTAACTAAATTTAATAAATTATCATCAACTTCAATTTTATTTGGTGGGCCAGAAAAAGTTAAGTAACAAAGAATTTTATTAGGTGAAGCTTTCACATTTGTAGAAATTAGAAAAGGATGATAAAACAAATATCTTAGATTTTTTAACAAAAACATCAAGTGAAATAATAATTAAGACGTTTTTTTGCAAGGAATTATAAGATATAATTGTATAAGGAAATGATATTACTACTGAGATGAATGATTTGATATAGTTGTTAAATGAAACCTTTTTTTGAATATTATAGTAGAATTAAACAAAAATAATTGATAACTCTAATTAAATAGTCAAGAGTTCACCTAAAATTTAGAATAATACAAAATGATAATAAAAAGAAAAAATAATATTAAGATTGATATACTATAACATAATTAGGTAATATGCAAATGAATGATTTTTATGTGAATGTTAAGTTAGCATTATTTGGTAGAAAATCTTTTGGTTTTTACTCTTCGAAAAAAGAAAAACTTTTAGATTCTCGTATTGATAGATTAATAGATGATACTTTGATGCCAGTAATAAAAAATAAGATTTCTAACTATAAACCTAATTAAAATTAGGATTTTTTAGATATATATATTGAGACATATCTTAATTAAAAGGCAAATGAACCAAAGATTACAGAATTAGAATTATGTTAATTATTTGTTTCAATTGTTTCAGCAGGGACTGATACATCATCACATTAAATAGCAATAACTCTTTATTATTTGGGATTAGATAGAAAAGCATAAGAGGAGATAAGATAAGAATTAGTAAATGTAGTAGGGGATGAATTAGACATTTAACCATAACATTTAAATAAGTTGGCTCTTTTGAATGCATTTATTTATGAAGCCTTTAGAATTAAAAATACTGTTATTCAACCATTGACTAGAATAGCTAAAGAATCTCATTTTATTAAAAATTTGAAAATTGAGAAAGGTCTATCACATTATTAATTTTATTAGGTACTTATGTATTATAGTCTATAAAAATAGTCATCTATAGCTGCNTATCTATGTGCAATTGTGGTTATTAAATTGAAACATGGAAAAGAGGTTTATATTTTCTATTTCCCTTTATTTGGTGATTACTTTTATTTGAAAAACTCTTTTGAAAAATATGGTGATGCTACAGAGATCTTTAAACAAAGGTATTAAAAGAATCCTGACATCAAATTTGTAGCTACTAACTTTTTAAATAAAGTCTTTCTATTCATCTAAGACCCTGAATATTATAAATCAGTTCTTGTAAATCATTAGAGCTATTCAAAAGTAGATATCCTATATCATCCGTAAAAATTTAACTAAATTTAATAAATTATCATCAACTTCAATTTTATTTGGTGGGCCAGAAAAAGTTAAGTAACAAAGAATTTTATTAGGTGAAGCTTTCACATTTGTAGAAATTAGAAAAGGATGATAAAACAAATATCTTAGATTTTTTAACAAAAACATCAAGTGAAATAATAATTAAGACGTTTTTTTGCAAGGAATTATAAGATATAATTGTATAAGGAAATGATATTACTACTGAGATGAATGATTTGATATAGTTGTTAAATGAAACCTTTTTTTGAATATTATAGTAGAATTAAACAAAAATAATTGATAACTCTAATTAAATAGTCAAGAGTTCACCTAAAATTTAGAATAATACAAAATGATAATAAAAAGAAAAAATAATATTAAGATTGATATACTATAACATAATTAGGTAATATGCAAATGAATGATTTTTATGTGAATGTTAAGTTAGCATTATTTGGTAGAAAATCTTTTGGTTTTTACTCTTCGAAAAAAGAAAAACTTTTAGATTCTCGTATTGATAGATTAATAGATGATACTTTGATGCCAGTAATAAAAAATAAGATTTCTAACTATAAACCTAATTAAAATTAGGATTTTTTAGATATATATATTGAGACATATCTTAATTAAAAGGCAAATGAACCAAAGATTACAGAATTAGAATTATGTTAATTATTTGTTTCAATTGTTTCAGCAGGGACTGATACATCATCACATTAAATAGCAATAACTCTTTATTATTTGGGATTAGATAGAAAAGCATAAGAGGAGATAAGATAAGAATTAGTAAATGTAGTAGGGGATGAATTAGACATTTAACCATAACATTTAAATAAGTTGGCTCTTTTGAATGCATTTATTTATGAAGCCTTTAGAATTAAAAATACTGTTATTCAACCATTGACTAGAATAGCTAAAGAATCTCATTTTATTAAAAATTTGAAAATTGAGAAAGGTCTATCACATTATTAATTTTATTAGGTACTTATGTATTATAGTCTATAAAAATAGTCATCTATAGCTGCATTAACAACTGCTCCAAATTGGAGTGATAAGTATTTTAGTGATCCAAATAAATTTGATTATAAAAGTTGGTTAAATTAAAGACCAATTAAAGAGGATAATGGATATGTATTTGTTCCTTTTTCTGCTGGAGGTAGAAATTGTATTGGTTAACATATGGCAATGATGACTATGAAAATTATGATTGGTTAAATTTTAAGAAAATATGATGTCATGGTAGATTAAACTGTGTAAGTAACATACCCTTTAGTATTGTTTATTCAATATTCATCTAAAGATCTAGTCAAATTAGAAAAGCGTAAGCCATGAATTATTATGCACATATAAAATAAAAATATGTCATTCTATATCATATTATTATATAACTTATACTTTTATCTACTTTTCATCTTTATTAATATTTATTAATTTAATCTAATTAAAATTAACCTTTAATCACATTAATTGAACTTTAATTGAAATTTATATGAACAAGAGTACTAAGTATTCTTCAACAATCAACTTGATTATGTATTTAAATTTCTAAAAAATAAAGAAAATTAATATCAAGAGAGGAAAATTGTATACCTGATTCAGAATTCAATATTTATATAATTTATAATGAATTTGTGGATATTTCTTTTTCAACATATTTCCTATGTTAATTTATGGTTTACTTTTATATCAAAAAAATTCTAAATCATCTTTTACTGAATAATCTTATTATATTTCTTATAAACTTTAAAATGATATAAAACAAATAAATAATTTAAATAAAATAAAATTATATCTTGAAAGAAGATTTTTCTATTTTCCTTTATGGATTTATTTGTTTATAAATAAATAATTTTAAATATAGATGAAA